ACGACGCTCGCACCACTAGGCTCAATTGTGCTTAGACAGCCCCAGACCCACTCGCTCTCCCGAGGCAATCCCTCCTAATGTGGACTACCAACATTAGGTGCAACTATCTGCTGCACAATGTTGAACAATGGGTGGCAACACTTTCAGCGATACAAGGATCTCAACTACGAGCTGGACACGGAGACGCCAAAGGGTGGCGTCAGCCTTTCTCCATATAAACATGCGAGGCGGGACCTCAGTTAGATAGAAAATCAGAGCATTCAACGACAATTATTGTACTACGACTGATTGTTCGACACACAAATACGTGAAGACGTACTCACACGAGAGAACCAACATCTCTCGTCGAGAGTACAGCGGCTTACGAAAAGAATAGGTCAGTCAGATAAAGAAAGCATTGTCGACACTATGCAGGATAGTCTGTCAGACAGCAGGTGCCTAGTGCCAAGAGCCCCTATTCTGGCCTATATAGGGGGCTTTTCCCCCCCTTCCATAGTTGCAATCTGCACACGAGTTTTCTACCCGCATCTCGCTCCGTTTGACACAGTCACCCATTGATTAACCTTCTAGGAAGAGGTACCGAAATGCCGTTCTCTCTCGTTTCATCCACTACCGTCGTGCTGTTTCTGCTTGATCCGGAATACATCTAGCATCAATCAGTTCACTTTATCACTCACGTGCAAATGGGGACCAGGACACATACGATGGATTATGGCGCGGTGGCATCTTGTGATGCTTCAGTCTTGTCCTGGAACTGGAGCTAAGGCCTTTCCAGAGTGGTTACTGTTCCATTGGATCATGAAACGGGCCCCGGACATCGCCCCTCGATTTTGTAACAGATCCACAATGGCTTTATGGCATCCCTTTTTGGCTAAATCAAGAGGTGAGAGACAATCTTGGTCCGGAATCGAGCATGGCGCCCCTCTGTCCAAAAGTATCTGGACCACTTTCTGATTAGGCCATGGATCAATCGCATAGTGTAGCGGAGACCTGCGTTTCCGGTCTACCGCAGAGATATTAGCTCCACGGTCTAACAGTAAGATGACCATTTCGTCTTGTCCGCGAGCCACCGCGTGGTGCAAGGGGGTCGCGCCAGCGATGTCCTTGTCGGAGACTGAAGCGCCCTGGTCCAGTAGAGCAACAGCCACTTCCCGGTGCCCTTCCTGAACTGCTCTCATAAGAGCAGTTTCCTCAAAACCTCCGCGCGGTGAATGAGATATCCCCTGGTCGAGCATTTCTCGGACCTTGGCCAGATCACCTTGAGAGGCTGCAGCTAACAGAGCCGACTTTTGGTCCAGAGAAGTAAGAGGTACACGGCAGGTCGGACATGCCTCCCCGATATAACGGGAGAAACATTCCTTGTGAGCCCAATAAGAGCATCGACATCGAAACTTGACGACGGAATCCCCGATTTTGAAAGGATCAGCAAGGCAGAGAAAGCAGTAGTTGCCTTGCAAACTCTCATCAACTGTCCTCTCATCTGTGATGTCTAGGTTCACTTCCCGATTAATTGTAGACATTGGGGATGATTTCGTGAATTTCAGCGTTTACCAACGTTGGGCCGAGAGAAGATTGATTGATTGAATCTATCTGAGCGAGGCGCGAGCTAGAAAAAGGCCACGAAGGTGTGGATTTCTGCCAAGGATTCTGGCTCACGCTAAGCTACATTCGTTTACGGAATATATATAAGTAAAGCGGCCACCCCCAGCAGATAGTTTTAGTTAGTTCATACATTCTCTTCCCGCCGCTACAACCACAAAGGCTGCGGTGCACGTGACCAGGCTAGTCCCAATGTGGACTGCCAACATTAGGTGCTGCGCTGGCATCAGATAAAAAGCTCCTGCAACCTGACCCGACCCTTGGAGCATGGAAAGTAATTATTCGAAATCTCATTTGATCTGCTCCAAAATGTGCGAAATTGCCTGCAAAACGTATCGTGCTTGCAGACGCCGGCCTCGACATAACGTCCGTGGGGATTACCTCCGATGCCCTACAGCTGAGGCTCGTCCAAAACGAGCGCCCTATGTACCTCAAAGCGGGCAGCTAAGAGACTTGCCCTTGTCCATTCAGCCTCAAGACGAAAACCTGCCAGGAGAGTGCCCCATTTGTGATAAAAGAACGCCATCTGATTCCTCCGGTTGACGCCGGTCAGTGCCCCAAATTACATCCCGGCAGCGTTGGCGAGCATAATTGCGTGCAGAGGCATCCAGCTGCTGAAAGTAACTGACAGATGTTTAGTCCACGCCTTCATGGAGAACGGGTTAACATGCAACTCATCCTTCTTCTTAACCTTGAACACTTCATACTCCATCTTATCAAGTTCGACCGACGGAACTGTCTTGCAATGCATGTCGAGGACGATGTGCATCATTGGAGATTCATTTGGGGCCATGAGATGGGAGTAAAAATCATCTGCAGGGTTTAGACCAGATATAGCAAAGAATCTTTCGATGATAGCTGCTTCTTCGAGCTCGTAGTTTACGTGGAAACGAAGAACAATTCGCCTTGGTTTGGTGTCCTGCATGGCAAAAGCGCAATATTCCGGACTGTTTTTGAGTGATTTGGCCGGGTAACTTCTGATTCAAAACGAGCATTAGTTAAACCTTGTGAACTACTGAACTTGTGTCACGTGCCGAAATCCAAAGCAACCGGCCCAAAAGCTGGGGGGTATTATTCTGTACACCGCGATAACAGAGCTTGTTGTTGTTGGCCCGGCGACGGCGAGAAAACACTAGTAAGTGGCGTAGCTGTGGAGGGGTGACGCGTTAAACTCTCCCCGTTATAAGTGGTTGCGAAGCAAATAAACACATTCGATTCCCTTTTAGTAGATAAGTACCGTGCATTTTTGAGCTTCTCTGTGAATTATTGTAGCCTCCATAGCCGGATTTGTGTAGAGTATCCCCTGCACGGTCGATACCTTGTGCTGACTAAGGTAATAAGCCAGCGCCCATAGGCTTGGGGGGAACCGCATATAAGCGCGGCAGTTAGCCCCCAGCTTATGGGTAGTTCCCCCCTCGGCTTATAAGCGGCCCCCCCAAGCCTATGGGCGCTGGTTTGTTACCTTAGTCAGCACAAGGTATCGACCGTGCAGGGGATACCATCGTTAACCATCGAATCTCTATAGCCGAACATATTGAATGAACTGCCATCGCTTCTCATGCCCAGCCGATCTTGTCCGTCACCCAACACTTCACCCTAGACTTCTAGGCTCTTCTACTCAAAGCCCTCGAAACGGTTTACGGCAATAAGGGCATTTTTCGAATTTCTGACTCAAGTCGTCGTAACAATGGGAATGTAGAACCCCTTTACAACATGAGAGGGATTTTGTCGCAATGTCATCGGTGAAATCTTCCAGACAAAAGCCGCAGAAGCCATCTATGTTCGTTGGAACAGATTGCGCCGAGAATCGCGGTTGTTTCCCATGAGAAAATAGCTCCATTGAATCCTCCGGACCGAGAGCTATGTCTGGTTCTCTTAGGGCCTCTACCTTGGATATATCCTTTAAATTCCAACGGATTTCTGAGCCTAAAGATTTCAGCTTCGAGAATTTGAGATAGACTGAAGAGAACATAGTGCTCTGTATTCCCTCCTTTGGAGAAAATAGGACGCACACTTTGAATTTCGTGCCAGTAGAATTTTCAATAATGACATTGTCAAAAAGGCCATAGTCCAAATTGTTCGAACAGCAAGAGCAGGGTTTTGGCGGAGATAGCCCAATCAGCCGCGCCCAGTCCGTAATTGTGATGCTGACATTGAAACCTTCCATAATTTCTTTGTCCAGGCCACTGCCCAGGCACACATTTTTCAAATCTGTGACAGGATTGAATTGAATTTCGTTAACGGTCCCAGGCCGAACCTCTATCTTCAAGCGTACCAACTGAGGCGAATCTTGCCATTTTGGCTCGATTAGTCGCAAAGCGTGTTTGCTGATCTCGCTATGACTCAGCGTGGTCCCAAATACCATCCAAGTGGGATGCTGGAGGCCATCGGTGCCGTGAAATGTGGCCTTGGCGACCCCTCCTGTTTGAAGCAATGACCCGTCCAAAAGAGCTTGAGCCTTGTTCTGGTACTGTCTCATCACAACTGCGCATCGTGCCCAGTATTCAGATCGACTGTGTAGTGTCTCGAAGTCCTTTTCGTTCAGGATCATGTTTATTCCTGGCAAATGCCCGTCAACAACTATGCATTGGATGACATGAGCTGTGGCCATCCTAGCCGGATTCGCAAAAGTCATGCTGAGACAGATGACTTTCTCGCCTTGGAAAGGGCTAGATCGAGTCAACTGATGACCTAGTGACTTTGCAAAGTCCGCATTGACTATCGTGTACGGATAACGAGGACCATAGTGAGCAAGAATCTCTCTTGACTGGCTGTGAATATCGAAAACAGTGATCGGGATATAGCTCATCAGAGCTCGGCTACCTCTGTCCTCTGGTTCTTTATAGAAATCATCGACCAAAATCCCATGCCCACAAAGGAAGCTCGATTCGCATTCTTCGCAGTTGCACTTGAACCTCGGTATAGTCTCGTCGACGCCCCGGGTTCGAGTTTCAATCCGTTCAATTTCGTGGAGGACTTTTTGGTTGAAGAATAAAGATACGGTAATTTCCAGCCCTGAAGCTGGGAGCCGAATTTGGCATTGGCATCCGGGACGCACGCGAAGGGAGAGAGAAATCCCAAACGAACGGTGAAGATTACAAGAAATTATTCCATTTGTCTCATTCGCATCACCACCGAGCTTCTTCACGCTTCTCTTAGTCGCGAAACTAAGATCTTCTCCGTGGCCCGCAAGCGCGTATATCGTCTTGCCATTGAGTAGGGACGATGAAATCAACGAAATGTTTCCGCCAGGTAAATTCGGGATGTTCTGGATACGTAGACCCATTCTCCTAAGCTGGAAGCGTGATCGATGGACGGTCTGCAAAATAAAAATGGATATGGAACGAGGACAAAGGTGGAAGTGGTCGCGTGTGACGCCAGTGTCCGACCGAGAGAAGAGACAAGAGGTCTTTATATCACGAGAGAACATCGGAGGCGCGGGTCCCGTTGCCCACATCTTCGTAGCATTCGTATGCTAATGTCAATCCATAGTTAATCACGACGATCCAACTAGGAGAAGTGGCTAATTCCGCCGAAGAGTGTTCAGATCTCCCGCCTGGTGATGTATTTTGGATACACCGGTTAGCCCTGGAAACGTTGCGAGTCCATTTAACTATTTGCCCGCGAAAGCCAACAGTCACCTCGGTGTGTATATTGTAAAGGTGATGAACGGTTTGGCACTTGAGTACCTGTTATCAGACTAAAAACGTGGGAGCAATTTTATGATTTATCTAGGCGCACGTGACACGATTCTAAGCGCCAAGCCTGAACATTAACCCCGCGTCGGCAAAAAAAGAGGCGATGCACGAACAGCCACTTACCAAAGGAGTCTGCAACAGTATACAATATGGCGTCCCTCCCGCAGGAGAACGATCTCACTTTAAACGACCAGCATCATTGCGAAGAATTAGGTGGATGGTTCAACAGTCAGGAATGGACGGATGGGCCGATAGGGGAGATAAAGGACAACGAGGCATGGAGGAAGAAAGCACTTGAACTGCGCCCGAAGTTAGATATTGCTCAAGAGGTTGGGATAACCGTTCATTAGCCCGTACCATGCTGACGTTAGAAGGGCAATCCTGGTCTTACAGCACTGCAAATCGATCGCAACGATGCTTCCAACAATCCACCAGCAGTCTATGATCAATCTCCATTCCTCGTTATCCCGATAAACATTCTGGATGGTGAACCGAAGGCAGAGAACATGAAACTGTTAAAGACAAAGGCGTACTTATGCCCCAAAACAACACATATCACACCGAAGGTACGGGTACTATGCATACTGCAACGGTGACATTCAGAAACGTGGGCTTGCTAGCACACCTTGGTACTTTTTGGCTTCGTTCTGGACCTAGGCATAGCGAACGATGGTCTATCTTACTGTGATACTTCGTTGTCTTATCCCAGAGTATTGAAAGTTAGAATTGAGTTCAAACTGCGTTCGTGGCCATATACTCGTTATGGCTCTGTCTGATGTTGATGGTGCCGGCCCTTAAGCTTTCTGCCGCTTCCGTACCGAAGCTTGTAGTCGTATCTGGGAAGATCGCGTTTGTTCTTAAGCTGTACATAGTGTCTGTAGCCGGTGGTGAGCGATCTTGTCCCGCAATGCAAACCGACAAATTTTCGGGCGACTGTACACTGGCGAAGATGGCGCCTGCCGAGAGGTCGAATGGTTGAGAGAAGACAGCGTGTGTTGAAAGATCGAATGGATAGCTGTCTTCAAAATCTCGAAGTCGTGGACTGAAGTTCACGTTTTCATTCGATTGTGTGGGTCTGTTTTCGGAGCTTAGTTGATGGTCTGCTAAGCTATCATAAGATCCCAGTACAAGAGCGCTCGGGTCAGAGTTTGCTGCCGGTTGTAAGCATGAGTCAGGTATTGATCCTAGCGCTTCATATTCTAAGGCCACAACAATTCAGCACTTTTCGTGACTCGAATTCAGGACATTTACTCACCCTGCCCCCGCACTGTGACAAGCAGCCCCTGGGTTTCAGCTAGTGGATTGGAAATGGTGATGTCGGTGCCTTCGTCGATTCTGTTGCTGTTCTCACTGTCGCGGTCGCTATTAGTGTGAATATCACTGTAGCTGATTGGCATGGTTTCTCTTTCACGATGGTTTCTCAAAGATTCACTCCTTCGCAAGCGTTTGGGACTTATGCCTTCCCCTTTACCATTCCGTCGTTTTCGTGGCCTGTCCCTGACTGGATGTGACAGGTCTTCGACAAGTGGATTTAATCCACGGGAAAGCGATTTGAGGAGCGATTGCGAGAAAGTTGTTGCCCAGTCGACTTTGCAGTCATATTGTTCTGCCACTTGCCTCGTTGATTTGTGACGATGTTCACTAAGAGAACGTTAGTTGTCAGGACATAAATGTACCTCAGTGGGCAACTTTCAAATCAAGCGCATCCTGAACGGATAGAGTAATCAGCACCCCAGGGTAACATTCTTCAACCAACTCGCGATATCTCCGGCCTATTGAGCAAGCATTGAAGAGATGATCGGTTTCGGTATCCGTGTTCGGTTTCTGGCCTTGTACAAGTTTAATAACTTCACCACATATCTGCCTTGTGACAGAAGTCCGCGGTTTGCCCCTTGTAGTGCCAGGAAACAGTTGAATCATAAGGTCGTAAAGAAAGACTTGTTTGTGTCGTGTCTGGATAGAAGCAACCGTAACTCCTTTCGAAGAGGCACTTTGTTCACATATCGACATGAACCTCTGACGATAGTCGGTGTTCGGCCCATGGTCAAGGTTTAATGAACCCTCTTTCCAAAAATCATTGATATCTTTAGACCATCGCTCGACGTCTTCCTCAGAAGGCGTCCAATAGTTGTCTGGTTTGGTGGACTTGCCAGCGTGGTCATCACCGCGGGGGAACTGAATTGATATCCCAAAGGTTTCTGTCAGTTTTTTGTTGAGTTCCGTTCGTTTCTACTTTCAGTCAGCAGGGACATGGAAAGTAAGAATGAGACAGTACTTCTTTGTTTAGGCCACTGATCCAGTTCCGAATATCACATGTCTCTTTTACGAACACCACTTCGTACAGGCTCTGGCAGTTTCCCATCGTTATATTTCGGCAAAGGAAAGAAAATAGGGAATGGATGGGAGAATTTTGCGGGGTTGGCGACGCTACAAAAGGCCGGCGCTAGCCCTGAACTTGACATTTCTGCTCGAAGCGCAAAAATATCAGGGCTCAGGGCTAGCGTCGGTTTTTTAGTACCCGCGATTTTTTAGTTCAACTACACTTTGCCATGGTATTTTTGGTCTGTGCACATAAAATCTTCATTCTCCACGACGTTCTTACACCGCCATTCGTGCGTCCTCACCGGTCAGCCAACCCTAGTACGCCGTAACAGGATGGGGGGCGCTCTTTGCCCCCGTTTTCTACGACCATTGATCAAGAATCTCCTCAAGACCCTTTTTCAACATTTTATTATCCCAGCTTTCTTTGTCTCCCCTAATGACCCGATAGTTTCGGAATACCCCAGATCTTGAAGGCTTGATCGATATATTTCGTCAAGATGAACAGAAAATTCTTGCTTTGCTACAGGCCCAATTCAACTCGATCTTCGATGCGCGTTTCTGCAAAGACCTTGCTCAACTCACGCCCTGATCTCTGCATTTGCCGCTGGTAGTTGGACCAAGTGACCTTGCTGTCAACGACAGGGGCCCTTATAGCCGCCAAGAGGGAATAGCGCCGTACGTGGGGTCTTACCCATTCTAACATGTACGGACCGCTTTCACTGGCCTCTCCGATCATAGTGCCCTCGTCAAAATGGACGTCTAGCGACAACCAGAGGTGCCCACCACTCCCACTTACGTCGGTCCAAAAATCCATGGCTGCCGTCGTTCGAAGATAGTCTGCATTAGCGTGCACTTGGCTTTCCTGTCAACTTTGGACAAAAACCGGAGATAACCAATAAGTAGGAAAGCCGACTATTGTAAGGGGCTCGTCTGCTTGGTGAACGAAAGACGAACTGCATGATTTGTGCAGTACGGGGAAGAATGCATCAGAAACAATTGTGGGTAGATCTGTCTTGTGGAAGCATAAAATCAGCCACGAAGATAAAATCCCTTCGCTGACCCTGAAGGTTTCCTTCTCGACCTCATCGGTCAGGTATTTTTCTCACTTCGAGTGGTTCGTAATGATCCCAGCTTTGATTGCCACAGTTGTTCTTGTCGGTGAGAACCTCGTTCACGACATTCTAGCCGGCTACGTTGTGTATCGATCACAATGCTGGATATTCTCTCTCTACCTGTTCATTTCTCACCGTGGGGTTCAAACTCTACTTGCGGTAACGATAACATTGCTCGCGACAGTGTTTTGGAATCCAGAGCGAGCGATTGTGACATCGCACTTAAGTATCATATGTGAAGGATCTGTGGAGGTGAGTTCATTGTCCAACGATGCAGCCGAATTCTAAGCTCGAGCAGCTCATATATCTGTACCATTCAATCCGGAGTGGCCTTCACTCCGATAACCAGATCTTGCGCTATGAGTCGATCGTATGCAGTGCCTGGATTGTGTTGAAGGTTTTGCCGTTTGGCCTGTTCAAGCTATTGTAAGTGGACCTATTTTGGCCGCTACCAGCCGCATCACTCAAATACTTTTCTAGGTTATGGAAGTTTCAATCCATTCCCTTCGCGGTCTCATATTTGATCGATCAAGCCCTCCAGATTTCTATGGGTTTCTTCTTTTTGAGACGTATACCCTTTGAGAAAGGGGGGCATCTGCTCCAAAGCACCGAATTCAGTCAACCACATTGTGTATGGGGTTTGATAAGGTCTCTGCTCCACATTATTCTTTCGGCCATCGTCACGACGGTGTCCGTCATATGGTCACACAATCAACTCTTATATCTTATAGTATGCGATACAATATTTACTTGTTTCTGGGGTCTAACCCATTCCAGGTTCAGATCGATCTCATCATGCTTTTCCCCACACCACGGTCATTTTTGAGATACACTCGCTCTAGGAAAATGGAGAAATGCTCTGAGAAGGTCGTCCCTAACCCAGTTTGTTATAACACCTTTCCGAGTCAAGAAAAAACGGACGAACACTCGGATAAGCAGCTTATCCAATCCCTAGCTCTAGATGAGCCGTCTGTCCAGTTCCCAGCTTCCGGGCTTCAGCAACGAATGTCTTCCACGTCTACCGACCTAGTCGACAACTACCACTTCTGCCTTGTTGATGGACGATACTTCTATCAGATCGAAGACCAGATAGATCTCTCCTCATTCCGTCGGCGAATTCCATGGTCCGCTAGATACCCGCCAGACAAGTGCTCTTCCGAAGAATTTCTTCTTCTCAGTCAAGACCTGCCTCGCGGCCACTCTTACTTGCAGGGTACACCTGCTTTATATGACACATTCCGCCGCATCTTTAGGGAAGATCTCCGGAATACTATCAAAAACTTCGCCACGCACAGGGACGCTTGTGGTGGGTGCTCAGTGGGGAATTGTTCCGAATTATTTCGTTTGATGTATATGCTATTGCGGGATATAGTCGGTACACAGATCACCGTTTGTCTCAACGACAGGGATTTCATCTCTCATGACGGCAAAAATATATCCTGGCCTTTGCTAGCCTCTGTTCAACCGCGGGAATCATCAATGGTGATGTTGCATTTTGAACTGGATACACGTTCTGAACTAGATTCATGTTCTGAACTGGACTCGGGTAGGATAACGATGGAGATTGGGTGGGCTGATTTGTGGGACATCAATGGGCTTGGAATTTTCGTTTACCCACTAAATGACCTATGGAGTGAAATCGCCGACATACTTCCTGGGTGGTCCGGGAGTATCTCCTCGGCGTAAGAAAAGACGATCAATCTTGTTCTGTTTTTAGTTATGCCTTTTCTATGGCTTTCCGATCAAACGATGATTACAATATTACAAGAAACTTTCACCAACAGTTACTATTCGCAAGGCGAATTAGCATATAGATAACCTTCCTCCCCCCTTTATCTATCCGTCCTTTCATTTTTCCTCCTAATACCCTAACCGTCTTTGTTCATGAATCATCGACTATTACTACGAGACCGCTCCTCAAAAGGGCGCAAAAACACGACAAGCAAACCTCTAGTTGTAAGCATTTTATTCGGGCCGTTATGCCTCCTCCGAAAAGAAAAATAGTCTATGTTTGGTAATGCGTGCGTGTCTGTCACAGATTTGCTGAGCATCCACTAACCACGCGAGCATACAGTGCCAGTGTGGAAAATCCGGAATTTCCATTCGGACGAGTCCGTGTCCTGGGTGCCACATTTCGAGGTGTGCGTATTGTAAGACTATCAGAATCGGCCCCAGGTAGACCAAATTGGAAGAGAAGAGGGTGGTCGAGCCTATCTTGGTTTGGTTTCTACTTTGCATGCAAGAACAGCGGGGGTATTCGGACACACTTTACGCGAAGACCAAATAAACGAGGGTAGAGGCAACTCCTACGAAGGACTGGCTTGGGACGGGAAGCAGCCACGGAAACATCCGAACGGAGTAAGATATATATGTCTTGAAGTCTTCACAGCACCTCTTTTCTTTCCATTTATCACCGGAGTTCACAATAAGTACTCTGATCATGCCGAGAGAGCTGAAACAGGTCCAGTTCACCTATTCATCGCGTACCTATTTTCGCTTTGCCCAGAACAAATCCCAATAGCGAGCAATCACTTGTGAGTACTCTGGTCGCACCGAAATGCACTTGTCATTTTTTATTTTTCTCTGTGTTCAAACGTGTCCAGTCGATGACCATGGAATTAGCATAATGGGGCTTACTACGACCTTCTACTACCACGACGGCCGGCCTTCAAGACTGCAAGTGCGAAATTACGAGTGGACCATCCCCTTCGACCCGTGGAGCATTCCCATCGACGCGCCCGTTCGTCCTTACCTCTCACCGGAGGAGAGGATGATCGCTCAAATTGGTGAGGGCAGGGCTGACAAGGTCTTGAGCCTCCTCTTGAGATATTGCAAACTCTCTGCCAGCGAAACAACCGTCATGAAAATGCAGGTTATGGCCTGGGTTAACACGCTTGATTTGAGAACTCTCGCAAATTTAAGGGTTTTTGTTGAAGCTTACCCAGTCGTCTATCTTGGTGGATTATTCAAAATCAATGTTCAACGCATCGAGGACAGTCTTAGGATAAGTAGAGGTGGGTTTTTACTGACGGGGATATTATGGTCTTGGAGAGTCCTCGACGATGGAACAGGAGTTTGCGTCTTGAAAAGAGGAAAAGAAGTGCATACAGAACTCTGGGCTGCGGAAAGAGAGGAAGGAATACATTTCAGAGTCGAAGATATAATGGCAGATGCCACCTTGATCGAGTTAGTTAGGAGTCCAGAGTGGTTTCCAAACCAAACGCTCGCGCTGCCAGCCCCTTGAAATAAGCGGTCCTTAAAGCCTTGGCAGCAAATACTAATTGGCTCTATTATATAAGCAGGCACCTAGTTTGCTCCGAAGATATTGGAGAAAATACTACCAATCATTGCCCGTCGTTTGAAATAGAACAGGCCTCCGAGTTGAAGGCATAGTAGAGTTGTCATTGGATCGCAGATAACAGGGGTAGTCTGCGTTAAGCGCACGAGGGACCGCCATCAATGGCCTCCCCGGTCCTAGTGCTTGGTCGGAGCGGACTGCCCATGACAAGCAGTCCACAACATTTAGACGTCTGCAGTGTCTTTTCGTCTCGTTTCGCACTACTATAGGGTAGTAGAAAAGCCAACTATTGGAAGAGCGTATCCACCTAGCGAACGAAGACGAACTGCAGGGTGTCAGGCAGCCGCTAAGTGGAGTTTGTGACCGATCGCGAGTGCATTAGGTGTATAATGGGTGGGCCTGAAACCCTCGAATCCTCTCACGAACGAAACTGGAGAGCGATAATGCCACGCGTATTAACTTTTAGGGATATGTCTCTGACCAGAAACGAAAAGATGTCGAATATTAAAATCGGGAATTTCCAATCTGGTTGCCTTGCATCTTGTCCGTTCTTCTGCATTCAACGCCATTCATCGACGTCTACACCGGTTAGTACTGCTGGTCTTGTAGTCTTCTACATCGTTGGGTTGTTGGTCAGATGGGCTCCTCGTCGCCGTTTCAAGATAATTCCGACCTCGACTCATTGTTGGATCCGGTGCAGAAGTTCTTGGGCCGCCTCGACCGATCTGTGAAGGATCCACACGCGATACCCTTCCATGTGCAACATTGGAACCCAGTTTACAAGTCAATCCGCAAGCATTGTCCCGCGCTCGAACCATACGCCGACGAACCTCTCATCGTCTTGGCCGTGCAACCCTTCCTGCCCCCCTTAACCCAATCTTTACTGGTGTCATGGGTAAATGGGTCGACAGCGCAGTACTTTCATTACCACTGGCCGTTGCGCCTGCGCTCGCCGAATTTCGTGGAGGCTGCCTTAGTGATGATTGCTCTCTATGTGTTTGAAATGCTCGTCAATCCTCCACTGGATCGGACTGATGTTCGTCTAGTGGACGACTTCAAGAGCCTTATCGATGGCCAATGGGTATGGTGCCGGAAAGAGCTCGTCTATCGACTCACTTGGTCATTAACCAACGTTCTTATGACCGAAGTTGAGGATTCAGGTGGCTCTCCCCACGTGAAATTTCTGTCTACAATTTTGAAGAATCTCTTCAAACCGGATCCGAATGTCTACAAACAGAATAAGAATGACTCGTCACTTTGCACTCGATTTTGGAAAGCACGATTCCAAGGACAATCGTGCCAGGAAGCCTTTCTTCATGTCCAGAACTGGGTTGCCTCGCCTTATCGCGGTTATCCCCCTGCCTTTGGGTTATCACAGCAGTCGACGACCACAGGCGACGAACCACTAATGTCGGACTCTTTTAAACCGCGTGTGCCACATCGCTCCGAGGTCAAACCCATGTCGGTGAGCTTTGCTTCCTGTGATGTGCTGTCTCTAATCGGTCATAGATTGAAAGATGATCAAGTGTATACTTGTCCCGTTTGCCACGCGAGCTTCCATCATGTATCAGCCGTATATTACCATAATGCAGGGCTTTACCGTCTATACCACTGGACCCTCAGCATTTTGGGCACGGCCACCAGACGAGTTCGGAAGTGGGTGAAGTGGCCTCAATCCCAGGTACGGGTTTGGCCAATTTCGAGGAGTTGTCCCTTTCATACGGTCGTTTCATCGACGAGTATAGTCTATCTGGCGAAGGAGGAGAAGGAGGGATGGGGACTTTGCTAATTAGCAGAGGCTTATCAAAGGTCGACACGCCACGTGTTTCTGGAGGAGGGGACTGCGTCACATCGTGCTTGTGTAACAGAAGCCCGCCACCTATTTTGCTACTGGACAGTCCAATTTAATTACATTCAAAGGTCGCTTAACTTCGCTTGTACAACAACGGTAATCTCTTTCCATAAAAGTGGCATCCCCGTTAAAGTTTTGGCATAAAAAATACTCTGATCGAGAGGTGTACTTGACCTGACAGAATATATAAGAAACGGCATCTAGCCCCTTTGCTACTTTTCGATGTCATCTCAGAAATTTACATTTACCCGCGCCATGGCTAGCTCCGCAACCCAACCTATTCCCGACTGCACGACAGAGAGACTCGAAGGTGGAACCATTCAAGCTATGTTAGCACCCTGGATGATGAAATACCTCGATTCCGATCCCGGCCTTAAATCCTCCGTTGGCAAAACTGAGGGATGGCTAGATTGCACCGATGCATTTGTTATCAGCCAGCACATAGCATTGAAAGTAACTGCCACCCATGGTTGTTCAGCTATTAATAAAGAGAGAGAAGCGGACCTGAATCATCTAAGGGATTTGGTCCAGAGAAAGTGTGAGGAAGCACGAGCTCGAAACGACCCCGAATATTATGCTCTGAAGGTTCTCTCATCAAGCTATCGCAAAATCAGCTTGGCATTTGGGGACGAATACTTCACGGGCACTATCACGAATTGGTCTCTCCCTGTCAAACTCGACGCCCGACCCATACAATGTACTTTCATCGGCCCTGGAGGTAGTCGTATACTGGCACTCAACGACAGTAGCGTCGAGGCCGGCGTTCTTGAAAGGAGCATTGCAGTGCCGAGAGACCAATATAGGGAAGGATTCTGGTGACCGTGCGGAAAAGGGACGAGAGCGAGGGCACAAAGGATGTGGTGCTCATTGTAGTAGTATTCTACACCGTTGAGATTGAAGGACCTGCTGAGAGAAAAGGGGGGGGAAGCCGAGAGCTTGTTGCTGGGAGCACAAATCTGAGAATTTGCGGAACTTCTCGGTGATAAAGTGGGGAGAATAGCTGTTGAATCAGGAAGCAGGTTGAGAAGATTTTGTGGTGTGGCAGGGCTTGCGACGCACTGTGAAATCCACTTTCCAGGTATTTGTTACTTCGAGCTGAGCATGAATATGTTTCTAGTTCCGAATTCAGGTACTCCCATGAATCGAGTGTTGAGTCATCCCATCTAGTGCGTTTTAGTGTACGCCATTCCACGCTCCCGTTGGCCCGCATGTGATTCCGTACGATGGACCGACTAGTCCCGTCCCCGCAACCAATGTTGGTCCTAGTTCGTCGCCAAAATAGACGACGGGGGATAAGATATCTGCAATGCCCCGATCACCACTTCGAGAGATTCCTAAGACTTGCGAGATACCACACACAACATGATGGCTGGACTAGAGTCAAACGTGATCCGAAACCCTTACGGTTGGCCCTTCCCTCTACCAGTCCCGTTGTTCCCAAATCCATGCTAGGACTTTCTGCAGTTCTAAAGGTTGACAACGCCACACGTACCATGATCGGTCGCTATGGAGGAATGTCGAGTTACTACTTAACGTCGGGAATTTTCTACTCCATCGAAAAGAGTTTTCAGTACGAGATTCCTTACCTTAACCCTTCTCGCTTCTCCCTCTCTCGCGCGAAATCCCTGGCTCGCTTCTTATTACCGTTTCTGGTTGAGTCATCTTTGTCTTAGGTCATTATTACCTTGACTTAAATTGTGAACCACTGTCTTCAAGATGGAAATCAAAGGAGCCGTTCCTCAATCCGAAGATCACAGTGATCTTATCCAACATGTGAATAAAATGAAGATCGCGTGCATCTTGAACGACCAGAGCAACGATCAGAACAACGATGGTTCGAGCTCGCCAACTTCCATAGATATGAGACACGCGTACATTCTCAAGAGCGAAGACAACGGTAGTTCTAGTTCACCATATTCACCATCGCCGACAGACGATGGCGCAATAAGCCAGAATACTCGTCGCAAAATCAAACACAGAATCATCCGCCGAAGAGCGCAAAAGAAATACGGAGACGAGAGAGCATACTGGATCTGGTACAATCGCATCGATCTAAATCGGTCATGGGATATTCTGACCAACGATTATTGTCACGTGTGGAATGAGAAAAGGGAAAAGGGAGGTCTTCAATGCAAGTTTTACCGCTTGCTCGGTGAACACCGGATTCTCAAGGTTAGGAAACAAATGGCGAAGAAGAGGAAAGGATATCCTGTTGAAAGGTTCGGTATGGTTGAAAGGACCAATCTCAGATTCCCCTGGATGCTCGATCGACACCGTCAGCAACCACCTTTGGCTGACGTGGGGAATTTGACTTAATGTAATGTGTGTTTTTTAATTTTTGGAATCGCCTGGTGAAGGCTTGGCGTCGCCACACGGCGCCAAGACCGTTGTGTTAACTAATCACGTTGGTCAATGGTTTGGCGGTGTCACGAGATCACGTGGCACCCCCTTTTCGCTGTGATTTCCTAGGCCACAGATGCAGTATCACGTGCCGAAAAGTGCTTGGCATGACTCGAATTCGTCGAGCCAAGCCACTGTAGCCACTTATATCGTTTGATAATTGACCCCCAATTGTCACACCGCACCGTCATCGGATCCAATTCGTGAACCAAAGTGGCCGGAAGGGCACCCTACTCGATAGAAGTCGATGTCGAGATGAACCACGCATCGGATCCAGTCCATGGGCCACCCACACAGACTCCACTAATCGCACTCGAGATGCTTCGTAACCGAGCGTGAACGGACAAGCCGCGATATCGAGATGATCCATGAATTGAATCCGATCATCTTGGGAAAAAGTGGGGCTATCCAAATATCCAAATGAGATCCAAATCGATTTAAATCAAATTAAATTCGAGGCTCGACTTGATTTGATTTATTTGTTTGCAAGCCTGACGCTATGTACACAGATCAGCGAAGAACCATACAATACGACAATAGCATTGAGGAGGTATAATAATCCAGTCACGACGATGCCGGTCATTTATCTTCCAACCTCCTCTATTTATCGATGTCCTTGCTCTTTAGAGGATAGTTTTTACTGCGACGGTTCATGTCAGATGCCGGAGGCGACCCTGTCAACACTCCCAAATACGCCCACAACTATCGATGACGATTCAAATTCGTTTCCTGACCGCTTCAATATACGATTAAGTTCCGAGGATCTGCGAGTGAGGCGTATTAGACTCACAGCAAAGGAAGACCCGAACTTTCAGAAGCTCATACCAAAACTCAAGCCACAACCGCAAAATTGGCCGCTCGCGACACAACAGGACTTGCGGAATCTCGTGAGTAGATTCCTTCAAGCCAGCCAGAACGCTGCCGAATTCTCGTCTACACTTGACCAATTTGTCGATGAATTTCGTACGTGGCAGCATACTCAGGGCATGTCTCCCATATCCAATGGGGAATTCAACGCGACCCGTGCATCTTGCAGACCCGGCATTAAAGTGGAAATTCGGCGGCTCATTATACCATCAATCATCAATATATGTCACATACCGAAAATCTTCACATTTGGGTTAGAAAAAGAATGGAAGATAGACAAGAACTATCGCTTACCTTCCACAGGGAGGGAAGACGTTATAGCCCCACCGAAACCCGACATTGCCATCTCCTTCCCCTTCGACGCCTTCGACGCCCCGAGCAATCGGGGCTGGCCCTCTCCATACCCAACGGACCTCGATTATTGTCTGTCCCCAAATGAGGAAAATGGGGGATGCTTTCCGTTCTTTTTCTGTGAGGCCGGGGATGGCACTCCAAACGAGGAGGCAGCTTGTCACGCAAATCTCTACAGCGCCAGCCAGGCGCTATACAACATCTTTCAGTGGATGGACCGAGCGGGTCAGCGCGATGTTTTCCTGCAGCGCGTCCGTGTCTTTTCGATGGTCATCGCCCGAAGCACGATCGATGTTCGCGTGCATCGCGCAGATGTTCAACATGGCCAACTCTGTTTCTCTTTTGACGAGGTCTTTTCGTGCAATAACTACACTAAAGATGACGCCTATCAAGTGTATCGGAATATTCTCGAGATTTATGGGAAGGGTGTTCTCCTGAAGATCCTACAAGCTGCGTTCCAGAAAGTGTCCGCGAAAGAGCGGTTACTGGTTCAGCGAGAAGGCGGGGATGAGGGGACGTGATGGTATAGGAATAGAGACACAGATGAAAAAAAAAGAGGGTGCAGTTTATCTCGAAGCAGGACGTTCGACATTGCGTTTCAGAAAATGTACATAATAAAAAAGAAAGGCCCCCTCCTATAGTCCATTTTTAACAAACCTATAGATGGGGCGCCGCAGCCAGTGAAAGCTTCAGCCAGACAAGTTCAAACTGTAGAAGAGTTTGAGTCAGTGACCTCCCAACGATATAAACAAGACGACATCATCAACAATCACTGGCTGGAGCGTACGTCACCGTTGCTGCCTGTTGATGATGACACAGTTTATTGAGCGAGTGTTGCAAAATGTTCTAGTTTGTTGTGAATGATTGGCTAGCATTTGTTCAATGCTATTGTCCAACACCGGGCTTTCTATCCATAATCATATGGAATAAGTTAATCCATATGGAGCTTTCCCATATTTCATAGTCCATATCCATCACGTCCCTCCTACTCATTTTGACCGCTTCTAACCTTTTCGTCCCACTTCTGGCCTAGTATCATATCGAACCTCCTATCATCTGGAATCACGGAAAAGGTATGTTTGTAAAGAGCTTTAGGTGTTGCGGAGGGATCACTGCTTCGGTCTTGAACGAAGAACTCTAGTGTACATTCCCCTAGCACCGATATTTTCTCCCCCCTCACATCGAGAGAACCGGACTTGCCAGGCCCGAGAGTCGTCAGCCCTGATTCCGCCGCTCGATCTGCGTGTGGTTCGGTCAAGACCGAAACAGAGCACGGGTCCTGTATAGCCGAGCAGAACCATTTCAATTCCCCGTCTTCCAGGACGAGTATATTCAAAATCCGCCTATCGTCATTGTCGGGGCTTTGGTCTTCCTGTCGGCTCTGCGGCGGCATTTGTAACGTCAGTCGACGCAGGAAAATGGTTGAGGTGAACGGTGAAAGCTCAGACAAGGAGGTAAGAGATGCGGCGTAGATGGAAGCCCAAATCGAAGCTAGGGAGTTGTCGAACGGAGCGAGATGCGGATAGAAGAGGTGAAAACTCGTGTTATAAATGACGATCAATAGTCTCCGGGCGGGCATTTCAGATCGAAGATCAGAATGTACTCCACTGTTCAGCGGCCCTAATAAGACGTATTCCCCACAATGAAGGCGTATTTAAATGCCTGTCCAAATGTACTTGAGCTTATTCGGCGAGTTTTACCTGGTCTGGATAAAGGCAGTTAAACAAGCCGAAGCCGGGTTTGATCTTTATCCGCCATATATCGACCGGCGTGGCGGTTCCACGATCAAGCTCTGGGATGATGACTCGGCATTGCATCTTATCGGCCGAAATCTTTCAAATGAGAGTCCAAAGTCTCTGATCTCTTCCTTGCTGAAGTTGGCTCCTTGACGGCGGGGAACAAAAACTGCTGGACGTCGTGAAACTCACAGTGAAGGCCAGCGTCAGGACTCCAGTGGGGGATGGGTCGTACGCACACACCAATGTTTCCGAGTTTTGTGAACGATGTTGTCAAGGAGCTCGAAATAGAATCACCATTGAAGCGGAGGTGTGTCTCTCCAAGAAGTCGAATTAGCCAGTGGTAGTAGAGTGTATTCCTAATGAATATAATTCTTCTCCGGTAGACCAGGGGCGGCGTGTCGGGGAGTTAGAAGCGAAGCACGCGAGGAGTATGGGTTGTACGCGTCTCTAGAAAAGGGCTGGTAGCCAAAGTCATATGTTTGTAGAAGGCATATATACAGTACATTGCATTGAGGTCCGCCTGAAAAAAATCTCAGACATCTCAATCAGCAAATAAAACAAGAAGAATAAGGGAGCAAAGGGAAGCCCAAATAACCAGACAACTTGAGCCATGTTCGGAACCACTAAGACAACGACCGAAACTGCGTGAGGGTGCGTACTCTGTGAAGGGAGAGGCCACAACGCCCGCGAGTGTCCAACAGGCACTGACCATTTCTGGCCATGCTGTGGAGGCCATCGAGATAAACCGCACAGGGAATTGGGAAAAGCTTACAAACCGTATTGTGATCGAGAGGATCGCAAGGCCCGACAGGCGGCAAATAAAACAAAAGGATCGAACTGGGCGGAGACCATGTAGAACGAACTCACTTGACGTATATTGGGATGGCGGTGACTTTCGGAAACACCTTGAATAGAAGAACTGATGGGGTATCTTCAGAGAGTATATAGTCAAATTCAGTGAAAGGCCACTTAAGCTTCGCTCTCTTTCTGTACCCTTTCTAGTGACAAAACTCTGAGAATGTCACCATATATTAAACAGTGGATACATGAAGCTTTCGTACTTCGAGTCGTCCTCGATGAAACGGTCGCGCGGATCATCGAGAGATTTCCACAGTTGGTCCGAAGGGAGTATGACGACAGGGTTATGGAAAGCGGCTTCAAAGGTTACGCATGGTCAGCGTTGAGAATATTGAGAGCGATCCAAATGGAGAGCGACGACGACGACGAAATACAAACTGCAGGCGAGACATCGACGGAGATTGTCCGATTAATATCTCGGTCACTTAATGCCGCCGGAACGCCCGTCGACGCGGTGCATAACAGCCCTTGCCATCGTCTGTGTACTTGTCGACGACACGACGCGCTCGGATGGCTGGCGTTGAGACTAGGGGAAAAGTTCCGCGTGCCTCTTATCGACGGGCAGTATTCAGGTGTGGGACAGTCCGAACCGTGCTTTCTTCAGACTTTTCATCTGTCACGCGGAAGAGAGTATGTGGTGATTCTCGAATTTGAAAGTGTTTTCAGGAGGGCAGAGAATGGCGGTTATATGAGTTCAGGTCCCAAGATTGTGGTTGAGCTTGATGAACCACAGATGTCATTGAAGACGGATATCGAATCGAAAGGAATTTTGATGTCGGAAGATGAGTGACAATGGCGGAAGACGATCTTTTAAAAGAAGCGTGGAATTCCCGAACGAATAAGCTGCGCAGAGATGGGAGCCGTTCATGAATAGAAGGATATGGACCGAGGTCTCTCTAAATCACGTCGATTTAATCATGCCGTGTGACACACTTTCAGACGTTCCATCGCTGCTCAGAAAATGTTCTTGCTCTTTCTCTCCTCGGTGCTAAAAACAATTTCCTTCACCGGTTTGGAGGTCGGCCAGACATACATCCGCATCGAGGAAGAGATTTTCCTCCACTTGACGAGAGGGATAGCGGTGATTCTTAGATACAGAGGCCATCGTATGGGTCTTTGGCCTCTTGCGGGCCTGTGTCGAACTCTGGCTGTCCTCTGGCGGTAAGCGTTTTCGCGATCTCGAAGGAGGCGGACATTCCTCTTGTATAAAGTCTCGCAAGATCTTTTTGTCGTACTCATGAAGGCGACGATTGAGTTCTGAATCAGACTCTTCATCTTCTTCAGGAACCATCCAGCACAGGACAAGATATCGGTGCGGTTCCGGGTCTAGCCATTTTCCCATGACTCTTAATATCGAGGGAGACGTAGAATGGTGCGATGGCTCGGTCGCTGATAGTGTTTTAGGGATTTCGACCGAATTTGCGCTCTCCGTAGAATATGGCGACACGCCGTCCAATGTAGGTCTTCCGGCGATGTCGTCGCTGGTTCTTGTATTGCCGACGAAGGATGACGCGCGGTAGGATTCGATAACCGCCTCACCACTATCGCCGGGATGTGCTGAAAGCTTCTTCGGCGCCTCATCTCTCTCGTCGGCATAAAAAGACGAGAATCGTATGCGCTGTGAGAGTTAGATCTCTAAACATTTCTAGAGGCTAAGGGTGCCTACCGCGTTTTCGTTTGTTGTAAGATCGATAACCTCCCCTTCGTCGTCAATCAGATCATCGATATCGTAGACGGAATTCCCAGATGAATCGGGGATTTCAGTCACGGAAGGACTGGATCTAGATCCGGCGGTGGGTGGTGGAGAGTCTTCACCGCACAGAGTTTCCGACATGGTTCTCTGGTCCGAAATTTTCAAAGGCAGAACAAATTCCGACTTACTCCTCACACTGTGCACGAAGTATTCAACGCCACGGTCCGGTAAATCAACGAAGGCTGCGGTTCCATCCAGGAACGTAGAAAGAAGCGGATTTCAACGGGCTGCAGGGCCTCGACTTTTAAATGCTGTCATCGATCCTCGTCATGTAGACCCGCACATACCGGCCCCTCGACTCCTTGCTCGATGATGTGGAGTGTTGCGCCCAATGCCGGCGCAGTCGACATTCTGACTCCGTTCCCCTGCAAACCAACCCCCCCCCTTGCGCGGGACGCTTCTGAAGTCAGAAAGTCCTACACCTTCTGGCATTAGCCGAGTTCCATGTGGAGCCGTGTCGCTACACGCAACTAGAACTCGAACAGCATCTCTGTGCAAACTGCCTGAATATTTGCACTCGACCGCACACAGCCTGAGTCTCTCCCTCCCTCCCCCCGATCGGTCCAGTGTTCTTTAGGTATATTCATGCCCCCTGCCTCTTTCTCGAGCTCGTGCACTCTCGACAATCTACCAAATTAAAACTGGACGTGCTTTCAGATTTCCATTAAGAGAGACGACTCGAGGGCCGGGTCCGCGGGTTCAGATCTACCAGTGTCGTGGAAAGAAGATGTTCTCGCCGTATTTCGACGTATATTGCACTCGTCCCCTACCTCTTTCTTCGACTGTGAATATCCTCAGCTGAAAAGAATAGTCCCACGCACTCCGGCCCAATTCCCACCTCTTTCTGAACCTGATCCCAGTCGCTACGTGCATAGCCCCCCAAACCGCCTTGCACACGACAGTATTAGTTTCTGGCGAGGCAGAATTCGAGCTTAGCGGGCACTGCCACCGCCAATGCCACCGAGCATGCCAGGATCGTTCTTCGGAGTTCGCGCGGTGCACATGCCGCGGCAGTTCATGGTTGTGCGCCTCGGCCAGCCCACTGTCTCATCCGTATGCAGGCCACCCCGTGAGGCATTTCTGCTATTGGATTGCATCGAAGATCAACCCCCTCTTCCACACTCGACCCACGGGAGGAGGAAGAGGAGGCACTGCCATTAGCCTGTCCAAAGTGTTCTCGGTGTAGGATTCGCTGCTGCCTTGAGGGGCAGATCAGAAGGGGACAAATGTCGCGACGTCCACGGGAGTTGTGAACCCCCTGACTGGCCACATCATCGCGACCGCAAATTCCGTACGGAAATCGAGGAAGTTGATGCTATCGAGCCGCCCCGGAGGTGAAGATTGCATTCGGCTGCAGTTTTCGAAAAACGAGCCCCACAGCGTCGGTAAAATGGTCATGGGCACAACCGCCAGGATATCGAGGAAGGCCAGTGTAGGTCAGATCGAGTGGAAGGGCGAGGCGCGAGAAGGGAAAAGGTAGGCTCGCCCCGGAGCGGGGAGAAAGTTGAGGCTACACTCTCCCATCTTGTTGATGATGACACGAAAGATGGTTGTGTCGAGCCGTCGACAAAAAGTCTGAGTGCGGAAGAACGACCGGGTTTGGAAAAGAAAAGAGACCAAAGGGCCTCCTTGAAGAACAATCGACGGTGGTGAAAAGCAGCGAGGGGGCATTCTCCTCAATATATCTACACCTAGAAGTGGAGAACCCGGCAGAAATGCGTCGCCGTGGGCGTAAACGGTAGACGGTCAGCGGCCAGACCAGGACGCCCTTCCCCCTCCAGGTAAAGCGCGCCTGATACCGCTAGCCTAGAAACGTACACATAGCAACGCTGCTTTTGAAAAACGCCGCCTTTTCATTGGATGGGCTTAGCATCGCCACAGGCGCGACGAAAATAGACCGAGAAGGCCAATCACCGTCGTTTCATACGTAGACCCACCGGGGTGAGCAATGCCAATGTCACACCATCGGGCGCCAAGGCGGCCAGGATTTCAGCCCCCACGACGGGTGAGACACGGGTGAGTCATCACCCGACTCGCGCGAGCCAGGGGTGAGCACAGGGCGGCATCACCCTCGTCCCGAAACGGGGTGAACGGCGAGCAGATTTTCCACAACTTGGCTGCATCATCTTATACCCTTCGCTGTTGCTTACGCTCACCGATATTTTGACGAATTTCTTTCCCTCGGAGATACTTCTCTTTTCGCATTTGCAGAAGTAGTCGGGTGACCAATATCTGTACAGAGCTTTTGAGATATATATATGCGATGGTGTCGTTTGAGAACCAAAAGAACAAAATTATCGTTGTTCCGATCGGAACGTCGCGAAAGAGCCGGAAGCAAAGCCAAAATATACAGAGTCACGGTTGCAATTGCTGTAATGGCTCAAACGATCGATGTATGTATGAGGAGAATACCTCTATCGAACCAATTCAAGTCTGAGCGAAAAATCTCAGTCACCACATTTCTATTTGCTTTACCCGAATATTATCCAGTGTCCCTAATTCTACGTCTTCCCGACTGTGAAAGCAGAGCCAAGAAGTTCTTTTGATCGAAATGGAAACAGATCGCAGAGTGAAGTATATCGACAACTGCGCCTCGTCAGTGGCAAGAGGTTTTCTTTTGCATCAAGTCGCTACTGTTGGTAATGTGTTGTGCGATTCACCGCTGACAAGGGCTCGGGTATGTACTTTTTAACCTTCCCGCGCTAGTGGTTCAAGGTAATCCACCAATTTCAAAAGCCAAACAGATGAGCATTTATGCTCCCATATTAATGACCAACACTTTAGGTATTGACTCTTGGTTTGTTTCGATAATTAAGAAGGTCCAGACTCATTTCGGCTTCGAAAGGAATGATTGAAAACTAGTGAAGATTGTGGATGCCACCGTGAGTCACAGACTGTCTGACTCCCTCACAACCTGGCGGTGGCTCGGGAATTTCTGCTTCTACCACATAATCCGTGTCCCAGAGGCTTCTCTGTGATATTTCCAATCTCTCGTTTCGCTCCAAGGTGCAAACGACATCCATTTCGAGGGAGAAGAAATCGACAATCATCCATTCGTGTGAACTGCTTATTTGCACGCACCCCATGCCATCAGATCATCGCGGCCGAGGTCGCGGCTCCAGAGACGACTCCCAGCCTCGCTCGGTCCTCGTCTCCAAAGCCCTGTCGCGCCTCCTTCGACATGCCGCCGTGCAGGAACATATCCCCATCGACAATCATGGATACGTAAGAATGGACCATCTTTTGGCCTGGCAGAAACTACGAAGCATGAAGCCACCCGTGACATTTGATGAGGTCATCGAGGTGGTGGAAGACAACAACAAGAAGCGATTTGCTTTGAAGTACGTTGCCAAAGATGAGACTCCAGACGATACAGCTACTTCGACTCAACCAAACGCCGAGGCACGAGCAGAAACAGAAACAGAAACTCAGCACGCAATATCAATGTTTCAATCGACCAAGGATGACAAGAACGTCGAGCAATATTTCATTCGCGCCACCCAAGGCCACAGTATGAAATCAATCGAGTCGGAGAATCTGCTAACTCCCATCACACTCGACGACCCGGCCAGTATCCCCTCCACCATCGTCCACGGAACATTCTACGGCGCATGGGATAGAATATTACAGACCGGTGGACTCAAACGCATGACGCGAAACCATGTCCATTTCGCGACCGGCCCCGCCTTGGACGAGGCTCTTTCAGAGTCCAACAGCAACAACAAGAAATCGCGCCTCGACTCGCTCCTGGGCAAGAATAAAGTCATCAGCGGAATGCGCAGTGACGCCCAGATCCTCATCTACGTCGATGTGCGTAAGGCACTGGAGGAAGAAAAGGACATGAAATGGTGGCGCAGCGAGAATGGCGTGATTCTCACCGAAGGCGTGCCGGCGGTCGAGGACGACCAAAAAATGGTCCCGATCAAGTACTGGATCGCGGCCGTTGAGGTCAAAAAGGGGCTCGGCTTGCTTTGGCAGCATGAACAGGGCGTGGTGCGAGAATTACCTGAGTATTTGAGGAATCGAGCCGTGCCCAGGGGTAAGAATCGAGGGACGTGAGGCCGAGGTCAGGGAGAGTAGGAGAATGTCGTCCATCAATCTACTCGGGCGAAGGGTATGGAAAAATCCATAAGATATGCTGATTGCGCCCGGAGAAATGTCCCCTTCTGCCACCTTACAAAAGGAGCTTCTTCGCCAGCTTGGTCCAGCTTAGGACGTTACTTGATACCTCGCCGTGATGCTCTCATGAATCAGAGTTCTTCTTCTTCTTTTTTGTTAGCCTGGTAAGTAACGTTTGACAACTTGAAACTTATGAGCCCGCACCTTTCGATAGAGCAAAGGGAATGAACGCGGTGTCGGCGAATTGTAGCCGCGGGAAGATTTGTTCCCGCTCAAATCCGGCTGGATGTGGGAGGTTTTAAATTGTCGCACACTGTGCCAATCGTTCCCATTCAAACCGGACTCACTTGGGAGGCGCTGGAGGTGGGCCCATATTTACCTTTTTGCTGGGCGGCACCTGGGGAACTTTGAAGCCTCCATCCGTCTTCACGGCATTGACCTGTGTAAATGTGCCACTAGAAAAGTACCCCGAATTCTCCGCCTCACGTTTTCTCTTAAGCTCGGCTTGCGCTTTCGGGTCAACCAATTCAAGACCTTGGACAGGTGTGAATGCAATCGAACTGGCAATTCCGGCACCCACTCCGCTGGTCCGAAGACCTTGAGCTCGAAGCGATGTCGCGTTTCCTCCCAAAGAACTTCCAAACCCTCTCAAAGAGGTATTGGTGCCGTGGCTCAGACTTGTTGCCGTCCCAGGACCACCCCAGCCAGGATTTTTCTTGCTCAATTTCGCCTTGGTCCGACGATCGATTTGCGTGGCCCGGATCCTCCCATCATTCTGCTGGCCGATCATTCCCAATCCCGCTGTGCCTTCACCAGTTCCGTAGCCAACCTCTTTCTCTTCCTTACCGAAAGCCATCCGATTTTGTTGTTTCCGCAACTCAGTCATGGCGGTGGCTTCTTTGGCTTTACGTGCTCGTCTTCCGCCACGTTTTCTGCTGGGTTTATCATCTGGGGCTGGGAGGGCCCTTGGTCCCCGATTTGGTGGAGGTTCGGTGAGTTTATCGAGTCGTCTGAGACAGTCATCGCGAAGCTGTTCTCCTGTTGAACCATCCCTCGCCTGGTGCACACTGTCTACCCGTGCGGCAAGAACGAGTTTGCCCGAGACGATGCGCATCGCTTGTATTTTCAAATCGGTGGGGATGCTCTGAATGAGAGGGGAATGATAGAGATATCCTTGTTGTCGTATGCCCACGTTGGTAGCCAAACCACTTTGCTTCTGTTTCCTTGATCCCATGGCTGGAATATTTCGATCTGGAGTCTTTGCGAGACCTTTTAGACCGCCGGCAAAGTTGAGCAATTGAGCTGCTGTGAGCGAGCCAATGAGTGCGGTCAGATTCGGGGCAAAGATGTTCATTCTGGACTGAACATATTCCGTAAGAACTTTCTTTGCTTTGTCCAGCTGCAGTATCATTTCACAGGCACGTAAAGTCGTCTCAAGCTCCACTTCACTCAGTTCCTGACCTCTCGTTGTAGTTCCTTCCATGGTCACCACCATGAGCGTTGGCCCATCAAGAATGGACCTGAGAGTGGCTCCAACAAGGTTCTCAGAAGAATCGGCCAAGGCCTTGATATTATCAAAAGGCCCATTCTTGAGGATCGCGACGGTTTTGGCGTAGTCTAGCGGATTTGTTACAAGAGTCTCTAATTCCGGGAATCGCGCGGAGTAATGGTCTCGGATGAATTTGTGAACAAGAATGACCTCGCCGTCGATTTGAGTGGAAAGGGAATTCGATTGCGTCAACAGGTGATACTCGGGGTTGTCTTCGATAGATCCCACGTTTGTTGTTCGCTGGTCAGGGGGAATATTCTGATAATGCGCAATTTTCTGTGGAATGGACAGAGCGTCAGGACTGCACCGCCAACTATGTAACCAGAAAGACTTTGGGCAGGATAAGCAGAAGAGGGAACTTACCTCTAGAACCGGTTGTAAAGTCTTCATTAAGCCAGCCACACTCCTCACATCACGGACGCCTCCCAACCGCATCTTTTCAATCTTTGCTTTGGTATCGTCCTCGTCGTCCACTGTGTCGGCCAACGCAGTGTCTTTCACAGCGAGCTCTTCCTCGGCGTCGTCCATTTCGTCGCCATCCTCTATTAGCTCCATTTGTGGAGATCCGTTCTCATGTCGGTCGTCATCGCCATCGCCCGTAGGAACGGTGGCATCGGTTCCGTCGTGAAACCCGTTCGCTTTATCCTCGTTTTCGGAGTCCTCATCCTCAAAATCGTTCAGAAGTTCGTCTGCAAGGGTTGCCATGAGGAGCGGATCCGGATTAAGTTGGGCGGGTTCTTCTGCGGCAAAAAATCGAGGAAGTTGGAGGCAACACGAACTCACGGTAAAAGCAACCGACGCTGCCAAGGCCAGCAAGGCTACCAGCCAAAACTTGCCAAACTGCAACCAGCAACGGGCAAGTCGTCGGTCTTGGGATTTGATTCCTCCAACATCAAACATCGACTCTCTACTCATCTCGTCGCGGAGGGCCTTGTGTACAACTTTGTGGTCTGTAGCATATTCGCGAACATGTGTTAGCCCACCATTCATTTGATCTTCCTTTTCTTCTAGTCTCTTGTGAAGGTCCGGCCACACTTTCGTACTTTTCGCCTATCCACCGGTCCTTTCGTCGCCGTCCTCGTCGATATGGCGCAGCCACAACCACAATTGAGCCACAAAGATGGCGCTCTTTTCAGACAAGTTGTCCGCAACTTTGAAAACAAACAGTATAAAAGAGGTACATCGTCTTCCTGCCGTCATGGCCGTGGCTCATCCCCGGTTTAATAGGTCTCAAGGCAGCCGAACAAATTCTTCGGAAAACTCCTAATCATGCCGATACTCAAGCTATGAAAGCCCTGATATTGGGCCACCAAGGTCATACGGACGAAGCCTTTGCTCTAGCCAAAACGGCCCTCAACAATAATATGAAGTCGCATGTATGCTGGCACGTGTACGGTTTGCTGTATCGTCTCGACAAGAACTACGAGGAGGCCATAAAAGCATACAAGTTTGCATTGAGACTAGAGCCTGATTCGGCACCCATTCAGAGAGACTTGGCCCATCTCCAGATACAAATGCGAGACTATGACGGTTACATCCAGAGTCGAAGAATTATGCTCCAGCAGAAACCAGGTTTTCGGCAAAACTGGACTGCCCTGGCCATCGCACACCATCTCGCTGGAAACTATGATGATGCGGAGAATGTTCTCACTACCTATGAAGAAACGCTTAAGACGAAACCCAACCGGTTGGACATGGAGCACTGGGAAGCCGTTCTCTACAAGAATTATGTCATTGCAGAGTCCGGCGAGGTGGAAAAAGCATTGGACCATCTAGAAGCGGTCGGAAAGAAGAGTCCTGACATTCTTGGGGTAATGGAAATGAGGGCAGACTATCTGGCTCGACTGGATCGCAAGTCCGAGGCCGAAGCTGCTTATGCCGCTTTGCTGGAGCGCAATCCAGACCATTCGGCATATTACGACGGATACATTGCTGCAAAGGGGTTGAAAGATGGCCCCATGTCCGAAATCAAACGGGCATATCAAGAACTTGCCGAAAAATATCCAAAAGCAGACCTTCCGAGACGGAGACCGTTGGACGTTCTTGCTGGGGACGAGTTCAAACAAGCGGCCGACTCCTACTTGCAGAAAATGTTCCGAAAAGGTGTTCCTTCAACATTTGCGAATATCAAGCATTTGTACGCCGACACGTCAAAACGCGACATTGTTCAAGACTTAGTCGAAGGGTATTCTTCTGGAAACCTTGGAGCACAAACTAACGGTGCCACCGAAAACGGTGACGGCAAAGAAGAATCACGATTCAAATCCTCAGTTCTCTATTTCCTGGCACAACATTATAACTACAAACTCAGTCGCGATCTTGACAAGGCTCGGGAATACGCCGACCGGTGTATAGAACTAGATCCCAAGTCAGTTGACTTTCACGGTGTTAAAGCCAGGTATTACAAGCATAAGGGTGACCTGATCAAGGCGGCCGAGGTGATGGATCAAGCCCGGGCTTTGGATGAGAAGGATCGGGCCATTAACACCAAATGCGCCAAATATCAGCTACGATCTGACCAGAATGACAAAGCCCTCGAAACCGCCAGCAAATTTACGCAAAATAAGACCGGCGGTCCTCTGGGAGATCTTGTCGATATGCAATGTGTCTGGTATCTGACCGAAGATGGACAGTCATATCTCCGTCAAAGGAAACTCGGCCTCGCGCTCAAACGCTTCCACCAGATCCTGGCCATCTTCGATGTCTGGCAAGACGATCAGTTCGACTTCCACAATTTCTCTTTGCGGAAAGGTATGATAAGAGCGTACGTCGACATGTTGCGTTGGGAGGACCGCCTCCGTGAACATCCCTTCTTCTCCACGATGGCAATCTCGGCAGTCAAAGCTTACGTTCTTCTCTCTGACAATCCTGATCTCGTCCACGGCCCCATCATGGACAACGTCAACGGGACGGGTAAATCTAGTGAAATGAGCGCCGCGGATCGCAAGAAGGCTTTGAAAAAGGCGAAACGAGAACAAGAGAAGATGGAAAAGGCCGAGGCGGAGAAGAAAGCGGCCATGAAAGCGGCCAAACCGATGCCGAAGAGTGAGGATTCAGATACAAAGAAGGAAGATCCCGATCCGTTTGGTAAGGCGCTCCTCGAGACGAAAGAGCCACTGAAGGATGCCATGAAGTTCCTCACTCCTTTGCTCGAATGGTGTTCGCAGATTGTCGAGGCCCAATGCGTTGGCTTCGAATTGTACATGCGTCGGAAGAAATACCTCCTTGCCACCAAGTGTTTGCTCGCTGTGAACGCCCAGGATCCCACGAACACACAGCTGCTGGAGTACAGGAAACAATTGAAACACGTCCTTATCAACAAGCCGGCCGAGCTATCAGACAAAGTCGCAGAGATCATCAAGAGCGAGGCTGGATCGTTGGTTCAGTGATGATATTGTCGTCGTCATCATCATCATCATCATCATCATCATCATGAGATGGAGAGCCTTGCGCATAGATTTAGGCAAATGCATCTACGGCCGAATGTTTCCATGGATTGTTCTGGCTCATAAGAGAGAGCGAACGGATGGAAGGAAAGAAGAATGGGCTCGAATAATAACAAAAAGCGCTTTTTTTTTCTTTTTGTCACATGTCTGCAAGCAAATGAGTGATTTGGCCAGCATGGCATTGCGGTGGACATTAACGGGGGTATGTTTATTCAGACAGACCGGCAAACAGTCAGACACACAACGAGAAAGATTAGGGAAATATTCCGTCTTCTAATCATCTTCTTCATTGATAAGACATTGGGCATGTACATTGACCGATGATTAAATTTACATGCTAAACCAAGTTCTGCGGTACTGGTATCCCTTACAATACAACACAGCCCAAAAGCAAACCGGCCAAACAACACGGAAGAAGAATCAAAAACCAAGACTCAACGTTGAATCTTCTCCTCGCTGAATTCGGAGGCATTTTCCCTACGTTCGAACCACCCGTGACACTCGCCGCGCAACTGGCAACGCCGCACTGGTATCCAGAGGGACAGCAGCCGCCGCCGAGATCCGGTGCGCAAGTCGACCAGCCTTGAGCACAGGCGCCGGTCAACAATGTGCCGGGAGCGGTGATGCCGCTGCCCGTGGGCGCCACAATCGTGAGGGTCCCGGAGTCGACGAGCGTGGTGCTGGCGCTGGTGGGACAGGATGTCGACGCACAGTCCCGTCCGATTTGGCAGCAGCCGCCTACATAGTAGGCGCTACAAGCGTAGAAACCGGTCGGGCAGCCGCTGACGGATGTTGAGCTGGAGCTTGTGGTCGGTGCAGGCGCGGTGGTGGTCTCTACCGTCGTGGTCAAGCTTGTTGGACGAACCGGTGGTATCGGGGTGGCGGAGGTTGATTCTGGACAGTTGGCGGAGCCACATTCGCGATCCGTTGGACAGCAGCCTCCACCGAGCGAGGCTGGGCATGACCGGTAGCCCGATGAGCATGTCGAGCTGCTCGGGGCTGAGGAAGTGACGGTGACGGTTCTGGTGACAGTGGAGATCTCGGGTGGTAGAGTAGAAGGGATCGGTGTTGATGCTGACGTAGTGATTGACGTGGATGAGGGAGTCGAGATAGAGGGTGTTATTGTCGTGTACGACGTGACGGTCGTCGTTGAGGGTGTCGGATTGGTCAAGATAGTAGCAGTAGACGTTTGCACGCAGCCGACGTCGAAGCATGCGTACCCTGGAAGACAACAGCCGCCCCCATCGTCGGGGCAGGAAGTAAACCCTGAATCGCATGTGGAAAGCGAGTCCGTACAGACCTGGCCGTCCGGACAACATCCGACATCACCCATTCCGGTATCCTGTACTAATTGACATGTGGAGCCAGTTGAGCAACAACTGTTGGGCCTGTCGATGGAGGTGCAGGCCGTCGTGCCGGAGGGACATTGGAAATCCCGCTTTTCAAACAAATGCCAACCCGGTAATCTCACGAACCGAGCAAACCGGCGCGGACTTGGTTGGTGAGTATGTCCTCGGAGAGGCTGGTCCAAGGCGATGAACAAGGATGCATTGCCCGAATTCATGGAACTATTCAACTCCTCCTCTTCCCCAAAGATCCAGTAGTCCAGATAGAATTTTTCCCCGGGGTCTCCGCTCATTTTTCGCACGCCAGCCAGGGGCTTCCTTTGTAGCTTCTGCTGAATGTCAATGTCTCGCTTGATCAGCATTTCATCTTCGGGATGGTATTTCGAGTCGGGTGGAAGATTGTACGGCCAGTTCAGATTCTGGGACGACACCGGCAACGCAGCGTTGGTGATGAGAGCCAGAAGAGACGAAGGGAGAGCTGCAAGCCGCAGCCACGGAGCCATGCTCTCGGGGTTGGAGCACGAAGACAAGTCGCGAAGACGCGACGGAGCGTGCGAGATGGGATGGGCTGCGGAATCGGGTCAAGCAGAGTGACAGACAACCGGTGACAATGACAGAAGGACAGAACCAAAGAAATTGAGGGCGAAAGCCTGGATCTTACGGGGATGCCGGCAGCAGAAACATGATGCTGCAACCTTGGTCGGGGCAACATGAAGAGCAAGTTCAGGCTGTTGGCAGAATGCGATGGCTGGGAAAATTGAAATGAACCGAAGTTGGTTTTCACAAGTGGATTACTTCAGCCTTGCACGTGAAGGACGACAGCACGAGTCTCGGGGATCTTCGTCCCCTCTTTCGCATTTCACGTGGTCTCATGTTATTCTCTAGTGGCACCTTTGCCATCGACCATCACAGGGGGCTCAAGTTCCCACTCCTTCAATCTTCTCCTAGTATGTGCCAGCTTTTAATCCCTTCAATGACCCCAAACTCAATGCCAGCCCTTGTGAACGTGACCGGATCCGGATGAATCCTACAATCGAGTTGTCCGCCGTCTTTTCGACGCTAAGATTGGCCAATGCATCCTCGCCTGGAGCTGGTCAGTAGACTTCGAAGTATCAGACACGCTGTCCAAACGTACCAAAAACACTCCGTGCATATAGATTCGCACTCAAGAACTGACAGTCACCCCTCAATCCTGCATCGGGCGTCAGGCAAGTCATGTTGGTACTCTTCATTAATCGATCCAAGAATTCCCGTAATGTCTTGGTCGTCGCCGTGCTGTTGATATTAACCTTGTTCTCCCATTCGAATTCCGTCCACATGGTTCTGAATGCTGATTCGGAACAAGTCGCCGGTTGAATATAATCCATGATATCTGCATGGACATCGTTCAGAATCACGACATGAGTATCAGTTCCCGACGGTGAGTCGTAGACAACATTGCCGAAAATAACACCGGTATCGGTACTGGATACTTTGATTGTTGATTGCACGTTGAGGAAATCTTGCGGTCCCAAATTGTGCGTGGTTGGCCTTTCTACCACTTTGAGGTCGCCCAACGTCGCAAACTCGACAGAAAGATTCTGAAGGGTCTCGTGTGTCTGGTTCACCAGCAGCACGTCCAGGATAATGTCAAACTGGTGCACCTTGACATAGGCCTCAGCATATACGGGATCTGAGAACCCTGTAAGTTGCACCACACGACTGAGCTTCGACGAAAGATCCTCGAAAGATGTGTCGCCTCCAGTGGCTTTCTCCAAGTCGAGCTCCATCTCGTCTGTTCCATCACCGGCGCTTTTCTTCGCCAATTGGCGTATCGAGAGGACATCGTCCACCTGGACGGCCGTCTTAGCTTTCTCGACCGCTTCTTTAGCAGCACGCTTCTTTTCTTCGGCCTGGACCATTGCTCTGAATGCTTTTCGAGTGTCGTCCAAGAATGACGTCTCGAGCTCTTTCCGCTCCGTGAACTCTGCCAATGCTCGCACGCAGGACATGATACGGTCAACCGAATCTTCGTCAATGTGTGCCTTTACAAAATCCGATTGTCCGACCCGAATAATTGAAATCATGATCAGCATCGCTTCGGCGCGGAGAGCATTGGTTCGGGCCTGGTCAGGGGAAATTTCTGAATGTCGCATGACAAGTTTGGTCAGTGTGGACGAGAGCACCGTGGCCAAATAATAATCACCATCCAAGATCAGTTGTCTCAAAGGTGGTTTCTGGGCTGCTTTGACCGCCTCCAATCGGGCTTTTGCCGCCGAATCGCTGGTCAGAGCCGTCTCAGTCGCGTACGTCCCATCAGCAAGAATTTTTCGTGATCCACTAGAGACTGGTTTAGCTGCTGCATGACCATTGACCTGCTCCTTTGGTTCACCATCTTCCCTGGACTGTTCATCCAGCAATCGTTGTTCAGAAGCCAAGATGGGTATCTCTCCAAGACTTGCCCGGATTCGCTTCCAGGCTTCCTTGATGTCGTTCTCTTGCAAAGAGTATTCGCCAATCACCCATAAGGATCCACGATATACCTTTCCAGCTCGAACTTCGCCCAAAGTGGACACCAATCTTTCCACGATCGACGATCTCAGTTTGGGGAATTTCTCCACCACTTCCTTGACAAATGAAATAACATCCACGGCCGAGCTGTTGTTGAAGTCGACAATAAAGTCCATCAAGACATCGACGACGCTGGCGGCGATTTCCGAGAATTTGATGGCGCATTGATGGATAGACTGAATCAAAAGTTGTCGGTATTCCGAGTTCTTCTCATACTGTTCCACCACGGTCTTACTGAGCTCTTTCTTCAAGAGCATGACTATTTCTTGTACGTTTTTGCTCGAAACCATCTCCAGTGCAATGCCGAGGGCCTTTCGTCGGACGTCAAGATCGGGGCTAGACAAGACACGTAGTATTTCCATGGTCAGATCGTCAAGAACACCTCCGTTCCGCCTTCGTAGTTGGTCGACCCGATCAAGGACGATAAGCTTGACGTTGTTGTCCGCCTCTTTGATGCTAAGTTCAATCAATTTCCCGGCCGCTGCTTTCACCGCCACTGGGTTGCTGGTGAGGGATGTGAGAGAAGTAGCTGCTTCGTAGATCACCGTACTCGTATTGGCTTCCAGCAAATCGAAGATTAATCGCAGATACCGTGCCTTGTTGGCCTGATTTTGAACCGCATCTTTTCGGATGAATTCAAGCTCAACCAGTTGCAACAATTCATCGGCGTTGGGGATTCCATCCAAGACACCAGTGAGATATTCCAAGGCTTTGTCATGACTGATGGTCATCAGCGCAGCAAATGCGTTTCTTTTGCATGTCGTGTCGCTTTCGCCGGCGAGGAACACGTGAAGCATCTCTGGAGCGTCCGGAATAAGGTGCTGAGCATGCTGGTAGACCGAAGCCAACGCCCAGACAGCGTTCTTTCTCACATAGGCATGTCTGTGGTCAAGGCATGTTTGAGCAGCGGAGAGGAGAGGCTCGATCAGTTCAGGTTCCCGAAGTTTTGACAGGAACCGCAGAGTGTTTCCTCGGACGAACTCATTGGGATGCTGAAGATCATTCCGAATTCCGTTGCTGGGGTCCTGTTAGCCTGGGTCATTTCGTGGGCATTGAAGACTCTGCCATACCACACCAAGATCATCTCCTGCTTCAACTTTCCGTTGACGTCCAACTTGGGGCATATCTCGTAGTAGAAATAGAGTAATTTCTTCAGGGGCTTGCTCTTGGAGGGCATCACAAAGCGAATGATGTGCATCAATAGGTTGGGCATAGGATCGCCATTCAGCATTACGGTTAAGATCCTCCGCATTGTGTCCAGCTTAGTCTCATCTGTGCCCTTCTCCAGCTGCGTCTTCAGATCCTGCTGACTAGGCTGGTCCGCGGTGTTGTCCAAATGCACCAGGCTGTAGGAATTGTCGAGAAAGGTCGCCATGGTTGCGGAATGTGCCTCCGGCACCGACAAAAGGGAACTGAGGAAAGGGATCGAATGTTCAATGGGAACGGTTGGTCGGATGCAGCGCAAGAACGAGAGGTGGTAGAAAATGATCAGTACATCATTCGCGAGCCTTGGAAATGTATCCGGTGAAACTTTACTAGGTAGGGGCACGACACCTCACCGAGGTGTCAAAGGTCAAATGTTTTAAAGAAGAGAACACATGGATAGATATGCCCACTGCAGAGCCTTCTCGAGGCGTCGAGGTGTCCAAATTGTGTGAGTGGCTTGGCAGAACATACGCAGTCTTGCTAGTGCGGAGTACGAAACCTTGGGGTGAAGTCAATGCCCCTTGCCTTCATCACCTGCAAGCTGGATTCATCTCGTCGGTCCCGCACATCTATATTATGTTTCTATCTAGAAGCATTTAGCAGGTTGCTCGGCGATGCCACATAGCCCTTGTTGGCCTTCTGAGGCAATATTCGATTTGATCTTCCGGTTTAACTGGAGTGGACCAGAGTTCTCTCAGGTTCCAGGCTGAGGGCCCGTTAATGTTCTAGATCCATAACAATGCGGCTGTTGGACAAGGTAAACCGAGGAATCATGACGAGAGCGGCTATGCTGCTTTACCTGTCGAATACATCCGTTCATTGGAGCTCCATGTTGCGGAACTGGAAACTAGGTTGGCACAACTCCAAGCTGGCCCAGAACCTTCCTTTGGCACAAAGAGGGATGTTTCCGCCTTCAGCGCCGATTCGTTGCTCCAGGAGAACCCGGAATCCTTGCCATCACCTCTTCTCGCCCAGCACGAACCAGATCACATATTCAGTGGCCGACTACTCTCTGGATGCCAATTTCATGGCAATATTCCTCCTTCAGTTCCCTATGAATGGCCGCGGATCAGGTCGAACTTCGACATCTCCGATTACATTTGAATTAAACCCTTCAGTCGGGCGACAACCGGTTTCCCCAATGCGATTGACCAAATTATCGATCTCGAAAAGTGATGTGGCTGACTATTCCTGATCTAATTCGTCATTATACACCCCCGCTGCCCGTTTCCAAACGCCCAAGACTGCAGTCAAGCCTATTTGAAATAGAAGCAGGGTGAAGGGGCCGGTGACAACGTCTGGTTCTCGTTCCTTGTTACTATGGTCTGGCTTACCGTCTGACTAGTCTTCGTCCCCTGATCTGACACACGATTTTCCGTATTGGCCCACGTATTGGACAGCCTCACAATACTGGCACGAGACGCGGTCAACACGAAATGCTCATGTCATGAATCCAAGGTATTCAGAAAGTCATTTCCGACGCTCAAGCCTCACCCCTGGTGCGCTTACAGAGTATGTTACTCTGTTATTTTTGCCTCACTCGGAATCGTCCGTCGGTAACTTCATTGGATAAGAGGCATTGGACCTTATGGGGTGCTGATGCCTCGGTCGGAGTTCGATGTCTGCGTAGGGATCGGGGAACTAGATGACAGAGGATCTGCCATTGCAGATTGGATAAAATCCGACCAGATCTATTGTGTTTCATCCTGAGTATCTGTGTCGTGAGCAGAGGGGGGGCAACTGGTTGAGGTCCCAAATGCAAAATTGGGTTGGCTCCGGGTTAACATTGGTCTTGGCAGTGGCTTTTTGTCCCACCTGAGGAAGAAAAGATCTTGAATTTCTCAACTGCTGTGAACAAAGCTCGTCAGCGACACAATAGCAGTTGTCCTCGACTTCTCTTCATTGCGTATTTCACTCCTGCATTGCTAATCCACGAATATGTCGAACACTAACGAGCCGTTCTACGTGCGATATTAGTATGAAGCCAGTTCCCCGTCCATCATCTATATAATGGTGACTTTAAACAGTTCTGGCCATTCTGGTCGATTTGGTCATGAATTCTTAGGTCAAGCACCCTGGTCAAGGTATGGGGGAAGTTGCTCACAAGGAAGCAGAATTTGATTTCAGAGTCATTGGCGACGGACGAAGTGCGACTGCGAGATACGCCAACAATTCAAACTATCGAAATGACTCCCTCATCCGTAAAGAGAGTTCGTCTCCAGCCCAATCTCTGGCGCGTCCCCCACTTACATGGACTCAGTGTGTGTCAGTTCCCTCCTAATTTCCGAGATAAAGCGCATCATCAAGGACAGCGAAATCATGAAAGAAGATGATTCACGGTGGCCGCAAAAGAATAAAGATGGAAGACAAGAACTGGAAATAAGGCTGGGAAGTGACCACATCCAATTCGAGGTCAGATTCGTTCCGGGACAAAAGGGCGACCCAAGCTAATCTATAGCAGACTGCGAAGATTGGTTCCCTGGGAGACGTCACTGACTCTGCAGACCCGGAAGGACTGCGAGTCTTTTACTATCTGGTGCAAGATTTGAAAGCTCTCGTGTTCTCTTTGATCTCGTTACACTTCAAGGTACGCTAGCGCCCATCGAAATGCAGAGTACACGCTGACGAAATGGTTTCCGCAGATCAAGCCAATCTAAGGAACTCCAGCCCCAGACCGATTGTCTCGGAAACCGAAGAGCCCTTGGAAAAATTTGATCGAATCAACAATTGTCAGCGATTGGGACGGAGCGTTATGAAGATTGCACCGCCTCCAAAATTAATGCCGAATCGTAGCACCTCTAATTTCACTGTGTTTAGGTGGATGGCCGCGGTAGCTGGGATATGTGATGCGATTGCGCGACAGGACTGTAAGGCTCGAAAAGGGGATGGCCTCCGTGACACAAACAATATCGATGGATGGATGGATGGAGAAGTGGGTGAATGGGTGGGACTCGGTCATCCAGAAACCCAGGTTGGAGTCAATATGATGATACCCCGCAAAGGCAGAGGCGATCGTGGTTCCATATTATGTCAGGTCCGAAGCCGGGTTGGCTTAGTTCATGAAAATTGGGTCGTGGCCGCAGAACGGAGGATGGTATCACCGTTCTTCCTTCCACTTTACTCCTCTTCGTTCTCTATCCGTCTCATCCATCTCATTCTCAGTTACATCTCGTGCTCCGTGGACCAGTTTGTTCGGCTCCCAGTTCACGATTCCCCACACCCGGTCATTCCGTCTTCTTCAGCGACGACAACTCCTCCATCTCACAATCGATCTGCTGCGCTCCATATGATAGTTCTGCAATTCGTCATCCTTCAATGCCAACCCGTGCATCGACTACGCTGGTTAGTCCTCACCAACTTGATATAGACCAGAACAATGTCGCGTGTCCAGCTCCGCCGACCCCGCCTCCAGAAGGCAACGGCGAGGATCAATTAAGAGTCGCATTCACCCAACAGGGGCCTGTTGACGGAGATGAAGTCAGCCGGCGGGCGGTGGATAACAATACTGCTACAGGAATGTCGATGATGCAAGAGGACACATTGTACACAGGCCCATCAAACTTCGAAGAGAAGATGCACACCGATGAGGATAATCGATTGAGAGAGGAAGAAAGTATCCATGACGACGCCATATTTGACGAAGCCACCACCAAGATGAGCGAAAACACGCGGACAGAACAATATGATAGTCCACCCATGATCGATTTGGCAGAAACTGATCCGAAAAGACATGTGCCGATTGGTAAGGCCATTACTCAAGAAGCGACGATGTCGCTGGATGACGGTGGTTCGAGTGTTTTGTCGGCTCCGTCGGAACCATCTTCGGAATGTCGAACAAGAGAGTCTCGTGGTGGTGCAAAACGCACTGGCATCTCCTCGATTGATCAGGAGCTCGAGTGGTCTAGTGACGTAAAGGAATGGGAATTTTCTCACCGGCGACTTCGCCCTCAATATCCGTCGGCCACGTTTCAGCCATATTCCAAATTCAAAGGAACCCAACAGTCGGACCGACAGATTTACAATGTCGAAGTGACCGTTTTGACCGTGGACATTGAACAGGCCAGCATGTCGGGATATCTACAAATCTGTGGCCTTACCCCGGACCACCCGACGTTGACCACCTTCTTCACGGGCGAGATCATCGGGGGACCAGATCAGAAATACAGCTTCAGGACCCGAGATCCAGCTTGGGGTGCCAATGACAAAACGGATCTCACGCACTGGGCGAGATTTCCTGCATGGCGACCACTCAGCCTACAAGCAAAGCGCAATATCAATTTTGTTTACCCGTTGAACCATGAAAATTGGTGGCAGCAAGAACACATCTTTATGAGGTGGAAAGAGCACTTTCTGGTCCCCGACTATAAACTGAAGAGCATCCAAGGAGCCAGTTTCGAGGGATTCTATTATATTTGTTTTAATCAAATCGAGGGGCGGGTGAGTGGCATATATTTCCACTCCAAAAGTGAGAAGTGAGTCTCGGGGCCAAGCATGGATCTTGTCGCATCGGCTAACGAACGAGGAACAGGTACCAACAACTCGAATTGAAGCATGAGGGTAAGCAAGGCGTTTGGGGGAAGGGCGTCTGTCCTTCGATTGAATTTCGGTGAGGAAATGGATTTTTCCTGGCGGAGTACATTTCTGTTTGATATACATCTGCGTATAGGAACCGGCATGGGTCACTCGGTATTGGTTCATCTCTTTTCAGACCCAGTATAGGGATTTACTGAATGGATACATCTCCACGATGGGAGAGGTTTGGTTTCCCTCACGATGATGATTGATGAAATTGGTGACAAACGATGTACTCTCTATCTCCCCCTCCTGTTTCCCCTTATCATTGTGATTCCTCTGTGGCTTGAAAGGAGATACGCAATGCGAGGGAGTGATTCGTCATCTGAAGGAACTTCGGATTGTAAGACCGGAATGGTAAATAGAGGTCATCAGGTGATGGCAGAAAAAGACAACTACTGACATCTGGGAGACTCGATTGGGCGTTGGAAGGGCTAATATGTGGATTCAGTGACATTAACCGCGAGTAGAAGTGATGCACATGCTTCTGGCGACGACAGTTGCCAGCAGAAGTGAGTCCTGGAGAAACGTCGAGGGATTCGATAGAACCCCCAGACGAAGTCGTCCCGGCTAGAGTCTTGTCGATGGTGCATGGCCTGGTTCATGGCTAGTCTTCAATACTCAGCCACGCGCAGGAAAGGCCGGGACTTGGGATTCGACTACGCTGGAATCGAACCCCACTGAGCACCGCCATGTCGACAATGTCCTCACTCCAAACTGGTTGAAACATTTACTGTCCCTCTCCCATGCGCCCTGTCTGAACACAATCACTCCCCCCTCTCCTCCCTCTCCCGGTGTATCTTTTCAGCCCTTCGTTGGCTCCGCTCTCGTTTGCCTCTTTCCTTTGCGTATGGGCTTGTTTCCTGTATTTGTGGCTTCGGTCCAGTCATACCACTCCCATTGACGCTGCTGGAGTCCCGCATGCGGAATGTTTGTATGATATCTGTTACATACTGCAAATCTAGTGCTCACAAAGCCACATACAACATGATCTGAGTCATGGTACGCGTACCTTTCACGGCCTCATGGTCCAACGTCTATCTACCGGCACGACAGGTCTCACTTGTTTCAGACATTCGCAGCGTCATCGTTATAAACTAACTCGTTCCTTTTCTCCAGGGTTGCTGTACATCAAGACCTACAGACTCAGACAGCCAAGAACACGGACGCGCTTCAAATCCTCCTGTTCGACGTTCTTCTCAAGCCATCACCTCTCAGACTGCCATCAATGGTGGCTCGCACGACACTGATCCTCGCATCTTTGCTCCTCCTTCGGGTCTTTCCATACACCAGAGCGAAACATCGAGGTCCGCCCTTTCTACTCCACGACAATCTGTAAACAATAACAGATCCCGACGAATCAACCAATTATCCTTGGCAGATCACTACAATCTTCCATTGCAACCACCGAAGCCGTGGACAAGCAAGGGGAGGACATGGACACGCGTGCAATTGCAAAGAGAACGCTATGAATTTTTCGAAACCAGAGTCACGGGAAGAAGTGAGATCTGGGATGGTTTGAAACAGGTCATTGAATGTCTGCAGGAAGGAGACCTGGCAGATGCGCAAGGTATCTTAGATGCTCTTTCTGTGACCTTACCCACGGGGAGGCTCGAGGAAGGGGCATATGATGAGAACGGAAACTTGTATCGAATCCCCGAGGCCATCATCTCAGACCCGACAGATGTTCTCGAGGATACCGCTGACGTCGATGGCCAAACCGTGACCGGCGCCGGCGAAGTGGATGCCATTTCCGCCAAATTCGATGCAGTCGAGGGAGGAAACATGCCGCCGAGCAGAGAGGACTCGAACGGAGAAAAGATTAAAGAAGCCAAGGGGAAGGCGGCGGTGGAAAAGGACGCCATGAAAGTCAAATGTCGTCTCAGCGACCGTGGAGGGCCTGACGTGATTGTCCTGTTGGGACGAAGTCAAAGGGTGGGAGCATTAGCGCAAAGGATTCGAGATGAGGCCGAGGTATGCAATACAATTGATTTGTGGGTGTTGTTGAATGCCAGTGGCTGACATTGTTTACCAGGTTCCAAGCAAAGCAAAAATACGAATTGCGTATCTAGGCAAAATCTTGGACGACAAGCTCACCCTAAGCGAACAAGGCTGGAAGGAAGGTCATGTAATAAATGCATTGATCGTGGGGAAATGGTCGGGCTGATCCATTGATCTTTGTAATAGGGATATGTGAATGTGACGAATGGGGGACCCTTTGTTCCACGCCAGAAGTTTGAGGTTGAGAAGAAGCGATGTTTGGCCACCAGCGACATTATGGTATCAAATACCCACCCTGCACAGTGTATATCTAGTTGGGAGATGTACAAAAGGGGGCGTCTTGTCTATCAGAGACCACAAAGGAGGTTCGTATGAGGTGTTGGACTTTTGTTAAATGAAGCCTCCAAATGCTGCCGTCGCGGGTCTGATTGGGGGGTTTGGGATATATTCATTGCGAGGATACGGATACTCGGTGAACCTAATAATCATTTACTCTAATGCATCGATATTTCCTGGACCGCATTTGATTGCAAATGGGACGATGCCCTGAGACTTGGTTACGGGATGTTCCCTCTGAATGCCAAGAAAGAAATGTTAGAAAACTTCCGTGGCTTTAACAGACTCGAACTACTTCGACGACGTCACTAGGATACCGATCAATACAGTAGATGCCTGATCTCTACCGATCTGGACGCTCCCACTGCTGGATTCCCTGACATGGTGCCTTAAGGAGGCATAAACCAACAACCGGGAAGACACCTCGAATACTAGTTTCGATACCGCTCCCAATTCCGGCAGCCTTGCCTTTCCTCGGTGACAAACCGCTTCTACTCTATCTCTCATTCTTTCCGATTGAACCAAGCCCGCCTCCACCATGACGTCCACCAAACCTCCACAGGCTTCCGCTCTCTCCGGCCTCATCTCCGGCTCGGATGCAAAGTCACCGGCCCAAGCCCTCTCCCTCGAAATTCTCCATAATCTTCAGCACCAGCACAACTGGACAGATCTGAAACTCCACCTGGTCAGCCTGAACGCAACTTCGCCTCAAGGATTCGTCCATCTCGACGGATTCAATCTGTCGTCAGGACTCTCGCCGTCCTCGACGCCAAGTCCCTCAGGGACCTCAAACCCTCTGACCCCCGGCGAGACAGTGACTTTGATTTCCGGCCTGCCCCCGCAGCATAGCTACGTTCATCCAGATTTGCAGACGTATCTGATAAAGCACTCGATCCCAGATACGTCGCTGCCCGTTCAGCGCGAGCTCGTCCTTCCACTATCGCTCGGCGAGAATTGGACGCTTTCTCGCTTCTGCGCGGTCTTCGACCACTTGCCGGAACGGCAGGTGATTCACGTGCAAGGAGCTGGGGGCAGTGGAAGGCCTATGGGCACACAGGCCACCCCTGCCGATGGAAGCGCGAATGGCAGCGCGACTGGCCGAGTTGGCGGGTACGAGCACCGCGATCAAAAGCGTGTGTTGTTGGGGATGAAGGCTCGTGACGGCGGCGGCGGAGATGGCACCGTGGTCTATTATATTATGCAAGAAGGAGAGATTAAGCCGAGACAGAACGGTTGAGGACGGGACGAGGCCCATCATCCACTCGCCGCCACGAAGTTTATTCACTTGAGCTTGTTTACGAGACACAAAAGAACGTATTGACCTTGTCGAAGCGACATAGGGGTTCAATGCCCTTAACGACAGCAAGACTTCGCTGTGATGCCACCAATCGAAACTGAAGCGTTCGGAATAGCCCCCAGGGATTGCATGCAACGCCGAGTCAACCTGCCCTCTAGGCTCCACGCTTCGAGACGAACGGCCTCCGCCGACATCCTTTCATGGGAAAGGAATAGGGGCAAAAAGAACAGGTCATGTTAGCTGGGGCTGGAGACGGGTTTCAAGCGGGAGCTCGACTGTCTGTATATGAGATGAAAAAGGGGGATGCCCTGGCTGTGTCATATGAGTGCCTGCCCCCTGATGAAATAGCACGACTTAGCAAAAATGACAAGTTTGATGTCATGACAAGGCAATGTGGTGTCAATTAAGGTAGCCGAAAAAGCACCGTGATTCAATTTTTACACCAAGGCTCAATTCGGTTCCCAATCCTGTACAATGTCCTGTCCAATCCAGTTCGGATTCGCCACCAGTCCGAGAGAGGACCGGAGTGAGTGACCAGACAAACCGCTTGCTGTATTCGAGAAATTTAACACAGTCTGATACAGCTCAATTCGTTCCCGTTTCGACGCATTTAATAGTCCAACAACACGTCTGGGCTTCTACCGCCGAATCAACACCAAATTATCATGTTCGGCTTTCTCTAATGCCGGGTGAACCACTGGTGGCCCTTCAACTTCTCCGACCGGACGACCTTGTGGGAGCCACCATGTCTGAAATGGTGGTGATGTTCATGCCGTGCCTGCTTTTTGGCCCCCTTTTTATCCTCCTTGGCCTTGCGCTCTTGGTAATCTTCCACCGACTCCAACACATCGTATTCTTGGATCGGAATGCCCTCGATCTTTTTGACCTTGGAGCCCTCGACGAAAACAAGTACACCGGCAAAAATGGCGACAAGACATCCCAGTGTAATGAAAAGCCCAGTACCCCATTCAGGCCGGTTGAATCGATTCCAATTCCACATCCACACGCACAAGCAAACTTGAAAGGCGGTGTTGAGAATGTACATCCACACAACGAAGTCGATGGTCCACGGTTTGGACGGCCTTGCTCGGATCCCGGTCAAGGGCGGCTCAGGCATGGACGTCGCTGGGATGGGGATTGCAGGGTTTTCCTCGAGTTTGGCAATCTCCTCGTCAGTGTAAGGAGGAGGAGATTCGGGTGTGCGTGGGTTTTTCTTGTTGTACACGGGTGGTGGGCCGATATCTTCGGCTAGCTTATCAGAGCCGGGCAAGCGGTACCACCCCCGATAAATGCCTGCGAGGCGGCGGTGGGAGCGCTCGCTTCTGCCAATTCGCCAGCACATGAGGTAGAAGAAATCACGCGCTCGCCAGGGCAAAAGGCCGAACGCCGTCACGCAGAATAAGCCGTTGAGGATCTGCGAGTCGATCTCGATCCATTTCTGGCGTGCACTGCTGTCGTCCTCACAGTTTGGATGACACATGGCCGGGGCGGCTTTGAGAAGAACGAAAAAGATCATGGCGCCCCAGCCCACAACGTTCAACCCGTAGATGGTCACGAGAAAGCCAAACGGCGTGAGGAAGAATTTCCAGAACGCCCGTAATCCAATCATGGTGGATTGCGTCCAGGTGTGCTTTTTGGGAAAGCGGTATCCGTTTGGATATGTACCCGTTTCATCAGGTCCAATTTGGACCGGTACGGTTTGCGGTCCAGAAGGCTCGCGTTGTGTTGAGGCCGTGGATGTGTCTGCGACCTTTTCGGGGATACTAGAATATAACAACGTTAGGCCTTCTGATAACTGATGTCGTGACACGGGCTTCGAGAAATGGAGATTTTACCCGTGTACTTGCTGGATTTCGTCCGTTTGATCGCGAGACTGCGTATACGCCTCCTCCTCGAACAAGGGCTCCTGCACCGATATCGAGGCCCTTTGGGGGAAATACTCATGTCTTTCCTCCGCGATGGTCGGGGTGGCACCAGTCCCTACGGAAAGAGAACCTTTCCTTGTCCTAGTGCTTGTAGAGCTTGTCCGTGCTACTCTGCGTCGGTGGATTTCATGCGGGTTCGCTCCTCGATGTTCCATCTGTCCCTCATGTGTCCATCCTTCATCGGCGAATGCCCCGTTTCTGATTTCTGGCAGAGTGGGAATCTTGGAACCAACTTCGCCAGTCGCCTGCCACATGCCCAAGGGTGGATTGCTTTCGACAAAAGACTGGATCAGGGACGACGTCCGTGCTCGCGTTCGAGTGGTAGATTTGGACAGACGGGAGGTGATGGAAGCTCTCCGACTGCTGTTATTGCTGGATTCATCTCGAGGTCTCTCGTATGGAACATCTTCAACTTCTGATCTGTATGATGGGAAAGGCTCCGCCTGCGTTGGTCGAGTAGCCATCGTGGATTTAGTGGTCGAAGGAGGGCGCCAGAGCGAAATTGAATGGTGGCTGGCCGTGCACGAGATAAATATTGCTATTGCTGAACACAGTAGAACGACACTAGTCCACGCCGCCGATTAGGAGGAATCTGAGAAAAGAGTCTAGAGGTTGAAGGGAATGCATGCAGGACATCAAACTTGCTGGGTGTCCATATTGGGGTGACGTTGTGCAGGGTAAAGGACTTCATTAGCCTGTCGGATGCCGCTCCACCTCTACCAACACCCCTACGCCCCCTATGCACCCATACACCTCTTGCTGTACCAATCCGCGTTGTCGCCTTCTCTTCGTCGCCACGCACGGATCTCTTGATCTTCCTAATTCAGGCTCGCGGGTTGCTGAGCTGAGCATCGACCCCACTCCAACCACGCAAACTTTCCCTCTTGGAGTTTTGGCTGGGTGACTGACTAAAAACACCCTTTTCAGCATCGAGTCGATGACTGATACTTAGTCATGTCTCCTTTTTGTGTAGCACATTCAGTCGCCTCTCCAAATTCCGGGCCCATGTTCAAGCTGATGCGGCTCGCTCAGCAATGCGCATGAGGCAGTGGCTTAGAGAATCTGCCGTGACGATGACTGAACGAAATAAGCAGAAAGCGGTTCGCCTTGGAACACGGAGGTAGCCCGTGCAAATTTCGGGATCGCTTGGCATAGATCGAAATGGGGAGTGTCTTGAAGGCCAAATAAAATTGTGTTCATTATCCTTCCTGACAATACTTATGTAAAGTCACTGCGCAAATTATCTATTTGGATCCAGCACAGATACCTGTTGCTAATGCCTCACAAACAGCATGGTTTGAGCCAGTATGAGTACCAGTGACATCTGTCCCTCCAGCAAAGCTGCCGGTGGTGGCGAAGGTTGTCCCGTACCCAGGACCGCCATGATGTCTTTGAGTTCGGCCCAATCCTCCAACTCTGCTAGAAGGGTTATTTCAATGATCGGTGTCCGAATCCACTCGAGGGATTTAGTTTGTTTCCCAAATTTCCCATGGGGTTCATAGGTTGTACTCTGTGAAGTTGTGATATATCCAGCACTGTCTTGGTTGTTTCGATGGTCTCCGTCCGAATCAACTCTTTGGGATTTGGCTAGGCTCCCACGGGGACTGACCTGGGAAAGCGGATATATCGTGAAATTTCCCGATCCGGTGCGGTAAACTGCCTCTCCATGTTGAGGAAATCGTGGGACCGGCGACGATGACCCAAATTCAGAATCAGCCTGTGGAGGAGGCAATCAATCGGATCAGGCCTTTTGTTCGTGATGTAGACGCTGATGAAGACTGCTAGCCGAACATTCCAGTTGAAACCTTCTAACATTAGTTCATTCGCTGCCGCCGTTCACGACGTATTTCGTCACCGAACGCTTGAGAACATTGATCTCTCGTTGTGTCTTGACGAAGACTTCGCGGTATTGGTCCAAGCTCTCTTGGACCACCTCGGTCCGACTTTTCCGACCTTCGCAAATTGCCTTCATCTTCAGTTCCATCTCCTTGCGGAGAAATGGCTTACTGACGCTGACATCAAGGCCCACGTTGTCATACCCTTCCACCAAGGCTACTCCAAGCGTGGTGGGAATGAATTCCTGGACTGTATTGCGACCACCACCAGTTCGCGGTCTTGTGTCGACATAGCAGCGGTCTTTGATCTTGGAAATATGCTCTGCCATTGTTGCATCAGTGCCAATCCCATTGGCATCCATGAGAGCAATTAATTCGGGCTCGGTCAGATATCCCGGGGGGGTTGTCTTTCCATCCACCATGCTTGCTTCCGAAGGTTCAAAACTCTCCCCGAGCGTAAACGCGGGCAGTTGCTGGCTGCTCTCCCACTTGTCGTACACATATACGTCAAGATAATTTCGTTCAAGGACGACAAGTCCACGGGCGTGGAAATTTTCTGTCCCCCACTGCACTTCAATGTCAGTGGCTTCTCCCTTTGCGTCTTCCGAACAGCAAGCAAGAAACCTTCGGGTCACAAATTCATAAACCTTCTTCTCCTGCTGATCGAGCGCGTCGGCGACAACGTAGTTGACCGGATGAATGGGGGGATGGGCTTGATCATTATGACGGCCAGATCGGGGATTGCGAAAACCTCCATGAAGTAAACCCTGCGCGTATTGGCCCCAATTGTCATCTCGGGTTTGGCGCTGTATGATTGCCTGAAAATCGAATTCGTGGGGAAATTGATCGGTCTCGGTGCGAGGATAACTGATGAACCCTTTTTGATATAGTTTTTCCGCAACCGACATGACCTGGTGACTGCTCATCCGAAGAAAACGGCTCCCTTGCATCTGCAATTCCACGGTCGTGAGAGGCAATGGTCGCCATTTGGAAGTTGCTTTCTTCTGGGCCTTGGTGACCCTGGCATATTTGGCATCAAGGCAAGCCTCGAAGAGGATGGTGACTGCCGCCCTGTCGAAGAGGTGGACGCGCCTCCAGTGGAAGTTGACTTTGATTCGATCTCGGAGATGGGCCAATTTGATCAGCCAAAAGGTCTCAGGCTTGAAATTCCGTACCCGATTATAGCGGTCGACGACAAAGCCAAGGGTAGGGAACTGGCAGGAGCCGTAACTGATTGTTTGATCTCGAAGGTTTTCGCTGAGGCGTTGAAGTTCCAGACTCTGTAATCTTGTGAAAGAAGCACCAATTCGCAAATCAAGTTCTATTCTAGCCGCGACTGCATTGATCTGGCGCTCATCCATAGGGATGGGAGATTGGGCTGCTTGAACCACATGGCTTTGCCGGTCAGTCTATGGGGAACGAGAATAATTTGGTGCAATGACTCACGCTCTTTCTGTGTTGCTAAACTTAGCGCGCTGCACGAGGATGTTTGGATTAGCCTTCCTTGCTTGATCGCGCACCTCACCACCGATATGCTCGCCCTCGCGGTCGCAGTCAGTCCAGATGAAGAGGATTTTGGCATATCGGGCTTGCTGCTGGATGTTCTCGGCGATAGGGACCTTGTCTTTGTCGATGGTGATCAGAGTCGTGGCATCGAACAGCTGACTAGGAGGACAAGACTTCCAGCTCTTGTATTTGGGATCGAAGTCTAGCCCTGTGAGATGACCTAGGACGCTGGTCATGGTGACCGAGCAGGTTCCCCATTGTCGGAAATTGAAATCAAATTCGTAATTTTTCACGTATTGACTGCCACGAACGGAATGCTACGAGAAAATGAGAGATGATCAAAGAATGCAACCCGACAATTTGCCTACCGTATTGATGCGGCCCCCGGCAAGATGTTGCGCGACAGCCTTGGCTATGGCTGGCTTTTCTGCGACACACAGGATTTTCTGGCCCGGCATGGTTCACGCTGTGAAGGCGTCATGTCCGACTGGGGTGATGACGGTCTCAGAAACTAAAAAATGACATTGACGGGAGGACTGGGGGTGCCTATGGTCGATCAGGAGACAGAGATTTGAATGAACGCGACTTGGCGGCCGACGCGATCGCAACTTTGAGGCTCGAAACGTAAAACGCGGAGCTAAACACCACCACCCATGTTTTCACTCATCGACTTCCAAAGTCTGTTTTCAGCTCGACCAGAGTGACTCTTCACCACTTGAATACGTTGCCTAGTTCATAATGGCTTTGCCTGTCGTTCGACACTTGGCAGACTGCGCCCAATACAACAGCACCGTCTCCCCTTACCAATACCAGCTATTTGTCCTGCCATATGTGCTTGTCGAGTCCTTCAACGATCTCGCTGCCTTAAGACAGCTGTATCTCGATACCAACCCCCTAATTATGGCCTTTGGATTTGCCTTAGCCTTATTCCCCATCTTCCTCCTTGTCTCGGAGATCAACAAAAACTACTCCCAAGTGGATCGAGTCTGGTCGATATTGCCCACGGTTTACAATGTCCATTATGCTGCTTATTCTCACCTTTCTGGACTCAACACGGCGAGAGTGGATGCCGTTGCTGCTGTCACTGCAATATGGAGTGTAAGAACATTGATCTCGGTGCAACTTTTTGGCTGATCCTCCGCCCCAGATCCGATTGACCTACAATTATTTTCGCAAAGGCGGCTATTCCCCTGGAAGCGAAGACTATCGTTGGGCCCCTGTGAAAAAGTTCACTGGCCCGGCAGTGTTCTTCCTATTCAATGTGATCTTCATTTCCCTAGTCCAGTCCATTCTCCTCTTCGGCATGACCACTCCGACATACATTCTCCTCCTTACCCAACGACTGTCGACCCATGCCCCGGGAATACCTTCGTGGACCGGGGGGGATGTAGCGGCGGCTACAATGATGCTCATCTTCGTAGCCATTTCCTTTGTGGCGGATCAACAGCAGTGGAACTATCATGTGGCCAAATCGCAGTACCAAAGGAAAGCAAAGGTACCAGCAGGTTACGAGCTAGCTGACTTGGACCGTGGCTTCCTCACCAAAGGTCTGTTTGCCTATTCTCGGCACCCCAATTTTGCTGCCGAGCAATGCGTCTGGGTTACTCTCTACGCATGGTCGTGTTTAGTGACGAGGACCTGGTACAATTGGAGTGGAATCGGTGCAATCATGTATCTGTTCCTGTTTCAGGCCAGTACCTGGTTGACAGAGCTGATATCCTCGGGCAAATATCCAGAGTACAAGATCTACCAGCAAGAGGTTGCCAAGTTCTTGCCAATACCTGGATCAGCCCCGCCCACCTTTCCAGACCCGTCGACATCTTATTCCAATGGCATGGCGTCGAAAAAGAAGGATGCGGTCAAGGCCAGGCAGAGATATAGTCTACGATGATGTCACCCCTTCGACACAGCTTTGAGGAATTCTCAATTTATAGTCGACATCAGAGATCGAACACAAACATTGTTGAGACCATCAAGAATAAGGAAGGGAAAAAGGGACTTGGGTTTGAGCCATGTCACCATGGTAATAGTCCCTGTACCTAAATGGAACATATGGTGGAGATGCTCAGGAAAGCCACTGTTCGATCTGTCATGCCACCAGATTCAGTACTCGACCTCTTAATGGCAGTCGATGGCGGAGGAGATTCTCCTCAGCAAGACTACCTTGCTGCGATATCTCTGACTGTTTCCTCTTGTTGCAGCCGGATCATGGGTTCTTACGCTATCCGTGCTTCTCATCCGCTGACTCGCTCAGGGTCTGTCCCGGTATTCTCACCAAAGCATTCCGCAGGTCACGTGCGCATTTCTCGGCCTTTTACAGATTCATCTCAATCGCCTTTGCGCTAAATGTGTTCTCACCTCACCATGCGCGATACTCAAGTCACCTGGACAGACTGTCTTCTTGATCCTGCTCACAATGTTGGACGCATTCCAAATGCACGAAAGGTGTCGAACATTACTGACATCTTATTTGGGTGGACTCACTTTAGCTTCGTTGACAACAAGCATTGTATGGTTCGACCAAACCTGGATTGCTGCTCGCGAAACATTCAATCACCCATATGGTTCGCTAACGCTTAAGGGTCAGGCGTACAGCAGTAATGCTTGTGTGCTTGGTTGGTCTTCCCTTCGGCGTGGCTTTCGCAGTTCTGCTGTATAGCTCTTGGATGGGGACCGCCGGTGTTCTTGAATGGGAGCTGGAGTCTGGAGATAATCTTGCATTTGGTTGAGGTATCTAAACAACTATGGAGGAAAGAGCCAGGTTTTATGTATCTGGCAGCGCCGCCTCGAGGCAGCACCTGACTGTGAATGCACGATATTACGTGACTCTGGAGCCCTGACCTATGTGGGCGCATTTTGGCTCTCACATTTGTGGGATATCTGACCCAAAGAGAGAAAGCTGATTGACGTCAATGAAGAATGGCCGTTGCTTACCTCGGATGACTGATGGAATGTAGTTGGCAATCTTTTTGTCGTTGCTTCAAGATCTCCTAGGATTGATAAACAGGGGCCGCCGCTGTTGGTTAAGCGAGCGGTGGTAGTCCTCCTGGAGCTGTATCCCAGACCCGTAATCTGGGGTTTCAGCCACCTCGCGGTGGGTCAGCTCATTAGGCCTAGAAGCCGTCCATTTCAAAGCCCCTGGATCCCTGAATGAGTTCCCGAACCGTGAAGACACGATTGTTTATCTTCTATCGGCGTCATCTTTCGATGCTCTGCTGACGGAAAGACTCTGTGTCGCCTGCAGAAACCTCGCTTTTCTTGCAGTCTCAGCGCTCCGTGTTTGGCGTTTGACAGCTGCCATACAGATTCGCTAAACTTGGGATGACCCTGCAGGAGATTCATTTGCCATGATGTATTGGATGAGATTGTATTGGGCCGTTCTCCTCGCCTATTGTAGGATGCTGGACGCTGGAAGCACCCAACTCAATCAGACCACTCAACTTACTTCCTTGCACCCGACTCATTACCTGGACCAGCTCTTTCAAAATGAAAACTTCTACATTCTAACGTCTTCTTCGCTGCTTGATTTTGCACCTCCCTCCCCTCATCGAGTGTCAGTGTTCTCGTAATGGACCTGGAGCGGATCAAGCAAAACCTCCGCCTCCGCTCCGGTCGACCCAAGAAGCCTCGCAAACCTGGTACAGTGCAATCGAACACTTCTGCTCAACTGAAGGGACCTGATCCAGGCAATGTCCCTAACGGTACCGTCAAGCAGCCCTCTCGATCGACTACCCAGCTCATACACGGTCCGGCCAAAGAAGAGCCATCTCTCCGCAATTGGGACTCGTATACCGCCCTCCCTGAGTTCCCAACGCAAGACTCAACACGCCGGCCACAGACTAGCCACGGTCTTCTCCACGCTGCCACGAGTTCGAACATAAAAATTTCGCCTCCAGAGCAACCGTCTCGACTTGGTCGTTCAGGCATTGAACGCCCTCGGAAGGCTCCTGCCCCGGCTCCCAGCTCTGATCCACCTCCACCTTTGCAACAGACCATGTCGGAAACTGACACCGGGCTCGCACTGAATTCCGATACCTCCGATACCTTGGACTTTGACCTCCGGCCTCCTGCACCCCGACCCAAACCTCCTTCTGTTGAGTCGGTGTCCGAGTCATTGTTTTCCCCAGGCCATCTCAACGTTCTCCTCCGGCATCCCCAGTATTTGGCACAGTTCGCCTCTGTTGTGGCAAAATACCGACCTCAGTACCATCCAGTCCTCCTCAGATATCTTCAGACTCAGAAGGCCATCAAAGCGGTTGAATATGCCAACGCTGTTGCTGAAGGAAGTCACCCGTTTGCCCAGGATGAGAAAGACTCGTCCGACACCCTCCCCTCCACTGCTGCAACCCTCGACAGGGGTTTCGAAGAGTCGAGCACCTCTGCATTTCGACTCTTAGTTGATTCCGCCCTTCCCGTGTACATTACCTATAATCTCGTGAAACTGATCACCGAATGTCTGACGAACGAGATCACTGGCAAGCACTCACCACTCGTGAAAGATCTGGTCGGAGGACTATCAGAAGTGTTCTGTTTGACTGATCCCAATCAAGAAGACAATCCCATTATTTATGCCAGCGAAGAGTTTTATCGATTTACCGGCTACAGTCCGGATGATGTCATTGGGCGAAACTGTCGGTTTTTACAAGGTTCAAAGACAAAGCGAGATACAGTAGCGCGACTGAGAGAGAGCGTCGGCCGTGGCGAAGATGCCTGCGAGACAATACTGAACTACCGCAGGGATGGGCGACCTTTTATGAATCTGCTCATGATTGCACCTCTCCACGACCACAAAGGCAATGTCAAATATCACATTGGCGCCCAGATCGATGTTACTCGTCTTCTTGAGCGAGGAAAGGTGCTCGAGGGATTCGAGCGCTACCTGACCATCCAAGAGATCGAGAAGCGCGAGAGGGAAATCAAAGGTGATCTCATCAAAGGGGATGAACAGGGTCTGCGAAAGCCCAAAGCACTTGCAAAACTGCGTGATTTGAGTGAATTATTCGATCTTGAAGAGTCAGCAGTGATACGCTCACACAGCAGGTCCACTTCAAGCGCAAGAGAAGAAGACGATGAACACAGTGGTGGAAGTAGTCGTAAAGCAGCTCGACGTGTCTTCGGCACCCCCGATCCCTCCTTGGGCAACGAGGACGGAGACACGGCAGAAAATGATGACCATACATGGAGATTTGGTCAATCGGGGCGGTCTGGCTTGTCCCGGAAGCTGCCTTGGGTCTATGACAGTTATATGCTGATTAGACCCGCGCCCTCACTCAGAATTGTCTTTGTCTCCCCGGAGCTGCGACGACACTTTGGCAACATTATCCAGCACCCTTTTTTATCTCATGTGGCTGCTTCAATACCCACTCTCGCGGGACTCAAAGAGAGCTTGGGGACAGGCGTTCCGGTTTCTGCCAAAGTTAGTTTGATGTTGAACCCTGGCGATCGAAGAGACGGTACTGTGACCCACCCCGGAAGTAGATCCGAAGATCCAGGAGCTAGTCGAGTCTGCTGGATCTCTGCGACACCATTACGGGGAAGTGATGATAAAATTGGTGTCTGGATGGTGGTGGTGGTTGAGAAGACCAAGGTTCCCACTACTATTCCTCGGGAGGACAAAGCACAGGCGACCGCCAACAAGACCTCCACGTCTGCTCGACCGGATCCACCAAAAAGGATAGATATCCCGGTTCGGAGTTCATCTCAGCGTCAAATTCGATCAGTTTCCCGAAGTGCATCCCAATTAGATGTTGGCTTTGCATACATGCCTCTTAAACCCAAACGGATTGAAGAGGTGACTGGATGCGCCAATGCGACACAGCCGACCGGACCACTAGTGAACGATGGAAACACCGACAAGCGGACTGGGATGCGAATGGACGAAACTCCGCTTGGCGACGGTGCGATGTGGCAGAGAAATGCCGTGGAAAAGGAAGATCTTAATAATAGTAATGATGATGATGCAGCAAAAAGGATTCCACGGCGACCCGGCTCCGAGGGAACATTGATCCACCGTCCTGAAGTGCCAAATGATGAGTTCATCAGATCAAAATCACGTCCTCGAGATCTCCAAAGGTCACAACGCATTCATATCCACCCTGGTAGCAACGGAGAACCCGAAGCACCCTCGACATTGGAGCTGGATGATGCCCTTGACCAGTCGCTGGGAGACCAAAAGTCGACGCCGACAAGGAGGACCTTTGATTCAGGGGAGAATACCATGCAACCCGAAGGATCGAATCACTTTCAGAACTTTTCTGATGACGAAGCTACTCCAAGAGGGGCACAGAAACCGGAGTTCTCGGCCAACACGCCATCTCCATCACGACCTGGAACTGGTGGAGTTGACCATTCGTCTGGAAAAACAAATGGCACACACTATATGGACTATATCCGCCATCCTGGCAGCAGACCCCCGTCTGAATACAACCGAGTCATGTCCGGAAGTGGATTTCTCTCATCTATATACCATCCTGATGATGGCAAGAAGGATTTGGTGGATGGCCAAAGTGAAGATTTCACTGATCTTGTGTGTGCAAGATCTCCGTACAGTGTTGATTAAAAGAAGGAAAGCGACTTGATGAATGGATGGACGACCTTCGGAGAGTGTTATTGCAAGGCATCTGCATGTTATTTTCGCAGTCGACGGGGTGCATGGGCTACAAAAGTGATAGATATTACACATTTAGATAACACCCAAGAGCGTTGAATTTTACATGGACTTTGCAAACCGTAACATAGTCCTCAGCCTCGCCAGCGAGGCCGAAGCTCGATGATCACGTGAAATGCCAAGATATTCTCTGATCTGATTCGCTCGCCAGACTTGAATTTCATTTTTCGTTTTTCGTTTTTTTTTTTTTTTTTCCCTTTCGAGCCTTGGGTTTCTCTCACCTCCGTCTTCCCCATCAAATTGTCTAGGATTCACCAAGGTCCTATTTGGCCCTTGATCTCCAGAAAAGAAATCATAGGTCTGTCCCCTCGGCCTCAGAGAGAACATGTCTGAAGAGGTTGAGATTCAGCCCATTCCCTCCGTCAAGGATCTGGCGAGCAGTGGTAAGTCATGGTTCATTATTCGATGTCCCTCTGATCTCTTCACAGGGCAATACGTCTAGCATTTCGTCCTTCATTCAGGTGTTTTCAATCTCCCTAGCACGCATAGTATTTGGTTTGCGGAAAGAAGCCAACCACCAAACAACTGACAGTCTCTCTGCTGTCTATAGACTAACTCTTTCCCATAGAACCCTTCATCCGACGGTCATGTCTCAAGGACATCATCTTCCACCTCAATGACCGTAGTGCGACGGCTCCATTAACACTAACCCAATGTCTCCAACTCTGGCGTGGCCTGTACGTGGCACTCTATATGCACGACAGCAAGAATGCCATATCTGTGCAAAATCTCACTGCCGAGCTTGCTGGCACAGTACGGGCGATGTTTGCTAAAGACGAGGAACGGGGCTCCGATGGCCAGACTTCATCATGGCTGGCCACGTGGGCTTCTGCATTTTGGGCGACAATTTGCAGAGAGTGGGCTTCGATAGACCAGTGGCGTATGAACAAAGTTCTCTTGCTGGTGCGGTTTTTCTTGAGGGAAACATTCAATGTCATACTAGTCTCGGTGTCAAAGACCGATGTGGACGTTAAAGCAACTTCGAAAAATTTGTTGACGACCCAAATAACAGTTCTCGAGACCTGGCCGCTCAGCCCTCGAGACCGAAAGGTTCCAGACGGATTGAGACTTCATGTCCTTGATATCTGGGTGGATGAGTTAGCTGGACAAATCGGTTCTGCTGAAAGAGGAAATGATGAGTCCAAAGGCAATCAATCTGGAAACCTCAAGTCTCACCTGATAGAGGCTTCAACTAGATGTATGACGCCGGTGGAAAATTTGAGCAAAGAAGCATTAAGCAAGGGAGTGAAACTCAGAGCCAAAGATGCATTGAAGATCTTTCAGGAAAAGTTTTCAGCATCGTGACTGGGACAACGGGTTCTCAATTCTCCAAAGGGCGTATCACCGGATATCACACGAACTCGAGATCAAACATATGAAGACCTCAAAGATAATCCCAAAAGGCCGGAATTTTGCCACACGGTATTGCTTGGTATTGCTCAGATTACAACTGAACATATTGAGGGATTGGCTGGTCCGGATATGACACCCGCCGGAGCCTGCGTGACTCAGCTCCATCTCTCAGCGGAGTTTCATGAGTTGCCCATCATCGATGTCGGACATTTCTTAACTATATCTTTCCTGATTCTGTCGCTCCATGGGCCTTCAAGCGAGCCGCAATGATTGATATTTCGGCTGGAAATCTTACAGCAGACGAACGATGGCGGTCAATCGGAAGGGCTGTCGTATCGCAATGCCAAAGAATACATTGTCGTCCGTCCAAAGTGGATCCATCCGTTCGAAAAGTATTTATGGTGCTGTTAGGCGGCAGCGAAGAGGAACGGGGCTTTCTCATATCATTTGCTCGAAAATCAGGGCATCGTTACTACAACTGCAGCAGTATCGATGTGACCAACTTCATTCTCGACCTGACTCAACAAGCCCATAAGTATTCACAGGCAGTACCGGAACCTATGACCTAGCGGCAACGTACTGCACGGCGGCCCCGTCTCTGGGATCCAAGCACCACCCGAACAAGTTGCTCCGGAAACACTTACCCAAATAGCCCGCTCCGGCCCCCGGCCCGACCACGACAGAAAGGTGGGAAACAGCAAGTCCGAAAAAGTCGTCTATGTTGGGGTCATTCTTTCGGCTCTGCACTAACCTACGTACTTGCTCGGGACGACTGGTCCCTCTCCGATGGTCTGGTGTTTACGGGTTTCAGGCATTTTTGTGCCCTTTTTCGTGTTCGGCGGAAACTTCGTCTCCGTCACCACTGTCCCAGCCCTCGCATCACAGTATGTCGCCGGCTACATGGGTACTATCGATCCTTCCTGCGGACCCATTTCTTCGCGCCAAACCAATTTGACCCAACATCTTATCTCTGGCATCTATCGCGGGTCAAACCCGTGAGCGTGGACGAACTGCTAACTATCGGTGGCGAGACCGGCGGGATCAACGCCTCTACCGGCTCCGTCTTCATCATCACCGGCGCCCGCGACATCCCTTACCGCGACGGTGACTGTCTCGCGACAGGGTAACCCAAGTATCCCCAGCATTCCGGCGGATGCCGGCCAATTTTTCCACGACGCAAGCAATTTCGAGGTCTTCATCGTCTCCGAAGCCGGCCACCGGTCAAATCTCCAGTACTCGCACGAGACGACATATCAATCCGTCCATCAGTTCTTGGTCGGAACGGGCTGTCGTGAACAAATTAAGTGTTGATCACCGAAGCCACATCCAACCTGCTAGGACTGGACGAATTGTAATGATCAAAGTGAGTACTTGCGACGCATAGTGAAGATCATCATGTCAAGATTCATCACCGACGAAACTAGATAATAATCCCAAGGAAATAATTATCTCTTCTAATGCCTTGAACGCCCTCCGTGCTTGCTGCTTGAGCACTAGCTTAGCCGACTTTAGTGGAATATCGTAGGGGAACAAAACATGGAAAGAAACAAAGAAGCTTTCATCTGCCTCGACTTTTCTCTGTCATTCAAAGCCAAAGAGAGAATGAAACGACGGGAATCGGTCCAACGTTTAGCATAGGTCGAGTACAGACCAAAGTCACCACCTAATCTCACCCCCAAATTCGAACTTGGCCTCGCTTCGTGAAACAAGCACCTACAAATATCATCTCGTTCCATGGTGTTGTACATAGATGGCGGCCGACACGGAGACATCTCCTTTATATCTTACTTCAGTGCTTCGGCAGAGATTTCTGGTCGTTACTTCGAAAGCTCAATTGAAAGTGGTTCAGGTTGAAAAGATTGCAGGCTGCCACCAACTCCCTCGATTATCCTTCTCCTTCTCCTTGCCTTTGTCGACCCCTTTGTCTTTCTCTTCCTTACCCTCTTCATTCAAAATCGAGTCCTCGACAACATTGGAAGAAATCGCAGCAGGATCTACTAACCTCGGACAACGTACCATAAATCAGCGCCCAATTCAGTAAGATATCAAGCTACAGAGTGAGAGGAGTTGAGAATGTACTAGAATCAATCATGTAGAAATGACATACCGAGTCCCTTCTCGCCCTCATTCACGGTGACCTCTGGTAATTGCGGAGCCGGTGATTCGCCCACACCGTCTTTCATGGGTGGCGGAGGTGGGTTTGGCGATGCAACTCCGTCGGGTGAATGCTCATTTTGCTCGTTTGTCTCTTGCGACGTATCATGTTCTGACTTCTGGACGGCTCCATTGGTTTCCGCTGAAGCTGCTGCCGCTGCCGCTGCCGCCTCTTCCGCTCTTTTCCTTTCTAGCTCGGCGGCTCTAAGTTGTTGACGTTCCCAATTCTCTTTGCGAGCCTGTTCATCCTTCAACTTCCGTCTTCGTTCAACTTCATCCATTCCCCCGGTTTTCTTCAGCTTGCCTTCTTCCACAAACTTTTCCACTTCCCGTTGGAACTCCCCTACTTTCCGGCTCTCCAGTTCGCGTTGACGAACTTTTTCGGCTCGTTCGATGGCCTCGAGTCGACTCTCATGATTTGGCTGCAACGCGCGGACTTCATCCAGCATGCCATTCTTTGCTTCATGTGGGTCGACATCAGTGTCGAATGCAAGATTTCTTGAAGCATTGCGGCCGCCAGCGTGGGAACTTTGAAGATTCTGCTGCCTCGTGGCTTCTTCGACGAGTTTGAAAACATTTGTTATGTCCTCGAGGTCACCATCAAGATCATTCATCAATTCATCTTGCTGCGTCAAGTCGTCCCTTTCCGTCATGACAACTTGAAGTTCTTGCTCCCAAATCTTGGTCCAGATTGGTTTTTCACGTTTGACAAAATCTTTAACCTTGGCCAACTGTTTGGCAGTGGAACTGATCTCCTTGCTTATATCTTCAAGTTGTCGCGGTAACGGTCTGACACCTCTCGCCACCACGTCCTTGCGCAGCTCCTCCACTATGTCAGAAAGATCATCGACGCGATTAACGAGAGTCTCCGAGTCGTCAGAGAGCGTTTTCTTGCCCTCATTGATGCGTACACGACCGGCATCACCTTTATATGAGGCGTTGACAGCCTCTGCCGCAACGGCCTTCACGTTAGCGGCTTTGGCCTTGATGTCATTCATTGCTGCCGTGAAATCTGAAGACAAGGTCGAATAAGTCTGGCGCAGCACCGCAATTTCGCGTCGAAGACTTTGGATCTCTTGCACCGTGGAGTCGGACGCCGCCGAAGGCGCGAAATTCCCCGGAGCTAATGTTGGAGCTCTTGATGGATGCTGGCTGGGTAAAGCAGACATTCGAGCCATTTCCTTGGAGGTTTCCAATTGCCGATCTGCAAATCGTTGCATCATGGTACTCTGTCCTTCCAGGAGAGACCGAACCCCTTCCAGATTCTTCTGAAGCCCTCCCAATCCATCGTCAATGTGCTTTTTCACTTCATCAAGAGCTTCGACGTTGAGGACAAGGACGCTTCTGTCTTTGACGTCTGAAAGATCTTCCAATTCGTGTCTGACACCAGAGATTGGGTCTTGGACATAGATTTCGGGGAGGTCGGCTCCATGTTGGCTGTTCCATGCAAATTTCTCGATGAAGGCGAGTTGCAATCTGGGAATGGTAAGCTCTTCATAGCCCTCCGTCAGCACGAATTTCTTGATTTTGCTCTTGTACTGTAGGAACAAAGTCAGTTCTTTCCCATGCGGAGGTGAAGATTCGACCGTCAACACTTGCGACTGAGGTGGTGTGACGCGTTCTCGTGGTTGTCGTGGAACCGTATCCGGAGTACTTTCTGCTTCTGTGCCCGCTGCATCCGAGGGCTTATGGCCATGAGGCGGTGGAATCAGCTGTGAGTCGACTGAGCCCGTGTTCTGCAATTCCTCGGGTCCAGGAATCAGCGGCCCATTCACCGTAGCTCCCACCACAACCCTGTCTGCACTGCCAGCGTCCGCTTGTGGAGGTTTGTGATATTCATCCGGAGTTTTCACCGTAGGGCTATCAAGGTGAACCGGTTCTTCCGTTGGTTGAATTTGCGGGGTTTCCTGCAACGATAAGACTGGAGTGTCTTCTCTCTCTTCAGAGATCCGTTGCGGCGCTTTAACGGTACCGCTCCTGCTGGGTGATATATCCCCTGGTCGTCCCGATTTTGCTCTTGATTGTTGATACGAGCTTCGAGATCGAACGGCCGTCAGAGATTCGCGAACTTCTTTTCCCCTGTTGGGGATAGGAGAATTTTGGGCGGGTATCACCGGTACACCGTTGGGAGATGCACCAAGATGTTTTTGGATTTGGTATGCCGAAAATCTCCGGGAAGCTCGCCTCTCTAGATCACCCCCACGTTGCAGTCTGGTGAGGGCATCGGCCTGCTTGGGCGGCGGCGGCGGCGGGTGTGGAAAATTGATCTGCGGAGTCGATGGGGTCTGCTCGTTGCCATGGTAGGGTGGAAGAGCAGGAATGTCCTGAGCGGCGCCGGAAGACATTGTGGAATTGGATTCAGGCTGTGACGGTTGGGGAGCAACTTCTCGGTGGAGTGAATGTCGGCTGACGGACGGCCGACTCATTGCTGGCGCGGCCGAAGCATTTGCAGGCACATAGGGCTGATCGGAGCCCGTCTTGCTGTCCTGCGGCATTTGAGCGTGTATACTTGAAGTGGTATTCGGTACATCGTCCAACGCGTGTGTCTGGCCCGTCTCATTGCTCCCTGTGGTGGACGCACTTGGCTGTCTGGCTTGACCAACAGGGAGTCTCGGTTGGGGAGCCGAAGCCGTGTCTTTGGTGGTTCGTCCACGGAGTCTGCTTTGCTTTCTTTTGAGGCCATGGAGGAGGTTAATGATGATATCGCGAATGCGAGGAAGGTAGTTGTCGAGAGCTTGTGGAGAGGCAGGTTGACTCAATGTATCCTCAAGAATGCTTCGCAATAGATCCGGAACAGGGCCGAGGTCAGAAGTTTCGACGCCGATGGAATTGAAAGCACGGCAGGCCAGATTGAACTCGTATCCTAGTCGGACGTAGACGTCTGACACCTCCTCTTCCTGCGCTTGTCCACGCGACCATTGTGTCAAAGTTTCAAGCAGCTGCTTGGTCGCGACTAGGAGATGGGTGACGCTCTTCTCGATTTGGGAGATCTGTTTGTCCGGCTGGACGTGGATGGAAGAGTTAGGAGGGGCTAGTCACCGTGAGAGCTGGAAGGTATACGCACATTTGTGCTCCGTTGAGAGCGCCCTGAGCCAGAAGACGACCTCGCCTTGGACCCCGAACTAGACGACGGAGTGTTCATTGCTGGAGCCTGGGATTGCATGGTATCCGAGAGATTCTGTTGTCGGCGTTCCCGCGACTGCGGCGGGCGTTGGGATGTTGATGCTGATGACTGCATCATGGTTGGAGAAATGCCTGTCTGGAGGCAAAAGACATGGTCCGATGGAATGAGCGGACAGATTGACTTTACACGGGAGAGGGAGACCAGGAGTGTTGGATGCGAGAGGATGTATGCCAGGAAACTCTGGCCAGAAAAGTACTAGAAGTTTTTAGCTCATTTTCCCGCCGTTGAAGAACAATTGACGATGCCAGTGAGCGTCCTGAGACGGTGCCACCCTGCGCCAAGGCGACCGGCCTCAGGAGAACAAAGAGCGCGCAAAAACGGCACCCTGCATCTCTACAGCCATTTGCATTGAATTCTGCATGGGCGGCATATGTTTCCACCAACCCATCTGGCCTTGATCGAAAAGAGGCCAAAGACTTGCAGCCCAGGTTGACTTCGACTGACACGCCTTCCTGTCGTAATTTGGTACCCGACCATGCGCCGTTATCGGCAAAACTCACATGCCATGTGTTCACGTGGACCAGGGGCATGGGAGGGCCGATGTCTGATGATGTCTCTCTGACATAGACAATCTATTGGCTCTACCCAAAGATATAGTCTTGCAAAGTGTTTGGGTGGCTGCAAAGATTCCCCCTTGTTGCCAGTATCTTTGTTGCACCTAGCAGCCTTCTACCCGGTCATTCGGTTCTTTGGACCGATCGTTCCCATACAAATACATTGCCAAAATTGGACGCTTGTTCCCCATCACCCCCAACCAGCCCGGAGAAATGCCAGACGCCCGGCGCCGCCGCTCGAATCAACACGGTCCATGTATACCTCCCACAGTCTGAAATTTTGAAAAAAGTTCGCCAGGAAGCAAGTCGCCATTTTATGATCCATTCAGCTGGCCGGTCAGGTCCTCATACTCCTTCAGCTTCCGGCGCACAAGATCTAGGGCGTGTTTCTTGACGGATTCTTTGTCTTCCCGGACGTCGACCGGCAGTACATCCCATTCAAGGTCTTCTTCGGGTTCCTCCAGTGCCACCATCTGGCTGTGAACCATACTCTCCTTCATGTAATGACCCACCCGCGCCGCCACTCGCCTTTGTAAGGTACCTTCGTCCACCTTGAGGTAGACAAAGTGGACTTGCACCGAAGGATGCTCGTAATTTGCGACTCGAATAACGTCGCGGTATTTGTGCTTGAGCGCGGAACAGGTCACAATCACGCCGTTGGAGGTCCGCAGATGTCTGAGTGCTTCTTCTCGTAGGGTGATCAGCCAGTCCCAGCGGTCTGCGTCAGTGAGTGGAATGCCGGAGGCCATTTTCTGCTTGTTGACTATCGGATGAAACTAGATTCTTGCATTAGCGACCTCCAGAAAGGTATACCGTGATATAACATACGTCATCTCCTTCCACGTAGGGTAATGATAATTCTTTGGCAAGGTGCTGGGCAACAGTGGTCTTCCCACATCCTGCAGGACCCGTGATGATCCAGATGTGCTCTAAATGGTCGGAGTCTGACGGCGTCGTTTGAATGGGAGCCATATGATTTGCTGCTGTTGGTCGGAGGGGGTATCGAACAGGACGAGGTCTCGAAGGACGTTCTGCGGATAACATGGTCGCGAGAGTCAGGACAGGGAGAAGGCGAGGTGATGTCACCAATTCCAGGAGGCGGCGTCAATGCGGAAGACGGGAGGCACGCGAGCACAGAGGCCAGGAATCGAGAGAGAGACGTGGGGTCGCTGAGGCTGGGGATAGAAAAAGGGAGACTGTAACATACTGAGAGGGGGGTCGGGGAGAAAAGGGTATAAGAGAAGGACTGACGAAGTTTTGCTCCTGACAGAATATGTGTACCAATTGTGGCCCGGAAGGAAGGTAGACGGCGAATGGGCAACGGGCAAAAAAGCACTTCGCACTGCCTGAACCTTGAGTGAGGGTGACAGTTACCCGTCGCTAAAGCTCTGTACCCCACACTAAATCTCAGTCAAGCAGCGGCCGACGGGATAAATTGACGATGCACATGGGCATTTTGTCCCCCGCGGAGGCTCAGGCTGATGGGCGGTGCGGAATGCGCTGTGTGAAAGGGATCGTGTTTCTCGTATTGGAGAGCAGAGAAGCGGAGGGAGCGAATCGAGCCCGAAAAAGACATCCCAAAGAGGGAATTTTGGTGTGACTCCGCCTCCTACCGTATGTTCCAGAACCATGGACAAGAAGTGGCGGAAGATAGCGACAGTCCCAACTTTGCGGGGATCGGGAGGGCTTTCGGGGCTTGCAAATGTCGCTCAATTGCCGAACTGCGCTGATGGGTAGAGTCTTGACATTCTGTCTCTGTGTTCGGATATGGTTCTCCGTCAGTGGCTCCGTAGCCGATCAGGAACAAAGGCTTGGATCAGGATCTTTTGCATGAAGAGGTGAAGGATCAGAGTTCATTGCCGTAGCTTTGCAATATTTCAGAGGTCAATCCATGTTTCTATTCAAAAATTTTTCCGAGCTGAGTGATTGGTTGGCGTATGCCAAATTCGAGGATTTCATGTAAGAAACTCTGGTGTCATCATGCTCTTCACATGCTTGCGCCAGGTGTAATGAATGTACCTAAGAATGGATTGTGGATGAAGAGGAAGAGTAGTGGTTCTCCCTCTCTCAGGCTCGCCGGTCAAACTTTGAACTTGCTCCAGGCTTGGCATCCGTTTGGCTCATAGCCATCACCGTTGCTGCCCGTCTACCATCACCAGGTCATCCCGCGGCAACCGTCGCTGCTACATCCCAGTGGAGGCATTGAGTTGCGCGGCCTGAACAGTATTATCCTATTTTTCTCTCCTTCATCTTCATCATGTCTTCATTCTTCTTCTCAGCCCCAGTGGACATCGATATTGTCCTCGAAGATGCCGATGAACGTCAGACGGTCGATGTCAAGCTCGACAAAAACCGGCGGGAAAAGGCTCCCCTATATCTCGATGGCGAATCCGTGAAAGGCGCAGTCACAATCAGACCAAAAGATGGAAAGCGACTGGAACACACTGGCATCAAAGTGCAATTTATTGGATTGATTGGTATGCCTAATTTCCACGATACCATGAGTGCCACGGAGGCGAGCTTAGCTGACAACGTTATTGCAAGAAATGTTCTTCGATCGCGGAAACCATTATGAATTCCTCTCTCTTGGGCAAGAACTGGCCGCGCCGGGCGAATTGCAACACCCTCAAACATTCCCATTTAACTTCAAGAACGTGGAAAAACAGTACGAGTCATATAATGGTATCAACGTCAAATTACGCTATTTCGTCCGCGTCACCGTATCGAGAAGGATGGCCGATGTGATCCGGGAGAAGGACATCTGGGTCTATTCGTACCGGATACCACCCGAGACCAACAGTTCGATTAAGATGGACGTCGGTATTGAGGACTGCTTACATATCGAGTTCGAATACTCAAAGAGCAAATACCACCTGAAAGACGTCATCGTCGGTCGGATATACTTCCTCTTGGTTAGATTGAAAATCAAACACATGGAATTGTCGATTATCCGGAGAGAGACGACCGGTGTTGCACCCAATCAGTACAACGAGAGCGAAACCTTGGTGAGATTCGAGGTATGTATATCAGCCGGCGGCATGACTGCTGTTTCTGACGGTTCCAGATTATGGACGGCTCTCCATCACGAGGTATGTCTCGCCATCACAGGGTCCACGAAGAGCCTGCGCAGACCTTACTGTTCTAGAGACCCCGAGTCTTCCCTCTTGAACGCATGTATTTGGTCTAACAAGATTTGCAGGCGAGACAATCCCTATTCGACTGTTTCTGGGGGGCTTCGACTTGACCCCGACTTTCCGCGAAGTGAACAAGAAATATTCCACCCGATACTACCTCAGCCTTGTATTGATTGACGAAGGTACGTTGAGACCGGAACAGACATGACATACGAGGCAATGCACCGGAACAGAACCCGCTCTTTCAAATCATTTGGCGCTCTGCTCTCGACGTTTCCCGGACGCCGGCATCACAACCCAGGCTCCGCCCTTGGAGTTCCGTCGGCAATTGAAGGCCCCACGCTAGGCCCTGTTGTCCGGGCTCTGATTTTGCCTTCTCTACTATATGAGACTCTACCCCCAAACTGCTGCATTCTGTTGTCAATTTGCTAATAAAACTCCTTCGCATAGACGCCCGCCGCTACTTCAAGCAGTCGGAAATCGTCCTGTACCGACAAGCGCCCGAGCTGCCCCCACCCATGGCTACTGACAACCCTAGCGTTGGTGGGAAGCAACCTGTCCAGTTGCCGCCGGCACCTGCCTGATTCACCCGCAAAGGTTAAGGGTTGTAAAGGTGCGGAGTTCGGTTCGAATCGGAGTCAAAGGACGCATCATTGCATGTCCAAATTCGGAAATTGTGGCCGATTTGTGGACAATTAGGGAGCCAAAAGTGGAATGAAAATAAATGTCGGTCAAACAGTTGGAGGGTGTTTCTAACGCACTGATGTGATTCTGATCGCAAAATGTGTCCCCTCCTGAAGGCCGGTTAACCAGAAATGGAACTGTGTTCCTCTTTTGCACGCTGCGAACCTTAACGAGACTCTTGCCTTGCGGCACCAGCTACCGCTATCAGATGGCGAACGACGTCTATGGAGCGGGCAAGCATATGACCTCCCTTCGTGATCACAGGCAATGACACGACCAGCTTACTGGCAAAATCTGAATGCGCCATGGGGAAAAAAAAAAAAAAAAGGCTTCGTTATCAAATCCATTCTAATCCTCCGTAATCATCCTTTTGCTTAGGCATCCCGTCTCGTCTTTCCTTTTACATCGTTGAGACTGGACAATCAAAACTGATACATGCCTATAGTACCTCATCGATCGAACATTTTCTTTGTTATGCTGTGTCTCCGAATCCCCAGCCTTCCCCAACACTCGCACTCCACCGTTCCAAAGCCTCCTCGATCCCCCTGCCCGGCTCATCTGTCTGCCATGCTCCCTCTCCTTTCAACCTAGGCAACCCACGCCAGAATTTCTGCATGCGGAGATTCAATAGGTACAGCGCACGGAGATGTTCTTTCCCGTCTGTTCCGGGGTTAGGAACCTCCGAGCTACCATTTCTTGTCTGCTCGTGGCTGTGATTGCGGATCGAGCTGGTTAGTCGCTTCAGCGCCACGGCGTCGCTGTGTAAATCAACGAACTCGTGGAGTACCCTTTGAAGCTCGACTTGCTGCGGCATTGGCGGAGGAGTCAGTCCACGCAGACGCTGGTCCGCAAGGAAAGTCTTCAGAGGATGTACAACGCGCAAGATCAGGTATGGACAGGCAGCCCACGCCCACTTGTGAGATATAGGCTTCACTCCATCAGAATTTTCGTCTGGTTGACCTGGCTGTTGAACGAGTCCAAATAACGCGTCCAATGCCGTGTAACATATCCTTGTTCTGACCGCGAATATTGGCTGGTGAACACTGCCTTGTCTGACTTCCATTATACCTTTGAGTGGTTCCTTTGCTAGGTCGTCTGGGATGTCGTAGTACCATGGTTTAGCGAGAAGCGACGCGTTGAACAGGGTAATCGCATATTGCCTGCAATCGTCCTCCTTTATTGCGGCATGCTGGAAGACTGAAATCACCGCTTTGTGGAGCAATTGGAAGTGTTCAATGTCAAATGTTTCATCTTCCACCAGTGCCTCTTCTGTCTGCTTTGCTGGTGGATTTGATAATCCACCATATCCTAAAATACTGAATGCAAGGGAAATGGCGGGAGCTGCGATGCCGCCGACATTGCGCGAATCCTTTGCTGGCTTGTTTTGGTGTACATGGTGCTGCAGCACCTCCAACATCACCACGGCCGTCGCTGTTGCATTTCGCCATAGAGGTGCTTGGTGATTCGTGGGAATCTCTGTGTATTTGGTCCTGATTAGCGATGACAGAACGGTAAGAGACTCGGGCACTGCCAGAGTTTCCGTAACGTTGTTACTGTTTGCGTGCTCCAATGCCAAGTTACGGAGATCGTCTAGACACGCTGATGCAAAGGCGACGAATGTGGGTTTCTGCACGGACTTGAAAATGGCTGATCTCTTCGATCGAGACCCAATTTTTCCCTCTTGAATACCCAGAGAGTTCTTCAACAGCTGGAGCAGATACCGTGAATATTCTGCCACAGAGTCTCGAAGAAGGGTTTTCAATATCCGCAGGCAATTAAAGACCTCCTTCTGCTCCGGTGACAAGCTTTTCACGTCGCTGGTGTAGGGCGGGTGTGAGCAAAAAAGTACTGCTCGTTCGAGAGAGTCCATCATCAAGGGCACTATTCTACGTTCGCCAAGTTGGTAGCTCGTTAGGGCTGTGGGACTGGCGTTGTACGCCTCAACAAGTACATGGGCGTGCGATGTGAACGCCGGTTGATTAGGGACTTCTTCACTTCGCCTTTCGCTGGATTGCGATTCTTTCCGAATTCCGGCGGGGTGGTACGATGCCCATATGCGCAGTGCAGGGACAATCAACTCTGCGTCAACTTGCCCCAAGGCTGGGAGGGCTGCCAATATCCTGGACAAATTCGAGAAAGCCAAAGAGGAGGCCGAGAGGGACGTCGTGCTCAATACACCTTCAAAGACTTCCATAATATGGCGCCAAGTATTCTTAAAGCCATCGTGCGCGGCAATCACCTTCAGGTTTTGCGTGATGAGCTGCATGATGCCGTCTGTCAGCTGAGCGGCTGAGACCAGCCAGGCGGACTGATCGGTCTCTCCTGAAGTGTATTGTTCAACGGAAAACCGTATGGCGCTTAAAGGCCCGACGACGAGAGTAATGGCCCAGGTACTTGGACTCAGACTTTCGCTCGATGCCTCAAACATCTTGAGAAGGACTCTGATGGCTGCATTGCGGACATCAGGCCGTTCGTCTTTGCAGAGTTGAATCAACTGCAGCAGGATCACACTCCAGAGAGCAGCTGTCGCCGAGGAATCAAGTTCGTCCAGTGACGTGTCCAGAGATGGTATCCTTGTTAGGTCGACCATCTCAATTCTGGTCAGGACCTGGGATGCGAGACTCCAAAGAAGAGTGGTGCTCGTAAGTGCCACGTTTAAGTCGTAGTCCTGAGAGCTGAACTGGCGGAGTAATTGGGCCAACCTAGCCAGCGAGACAACGGTCAGAACGCTTAAGAAGTCGGAAGTAATCAGCTGAATCGACCGGAATGCAACTCGTAAGATCTGGGCATGCTGTTCGTTTCTTTCTGCTTGATCTATCGAGGCGTTGCTCGTTTGGGGTTGACCCTGTCCCCCTTTTGAATAGGACAATGACAAAATCTCCAGAGCTATCGGCCAACTGTTGTTCAGTGACTCTCCGCTGTGGCTCAGCATGCTTTCTAAAGCTTCAAGCAGCCTTTTGTGAACTTCCAGCTCTATTCCTTCCTGCTTTTCGAGCCGAGTCTGACCAAGGGAGGTTAACTGCTTCAATAACGACTCTAGACATCGAGATCGAATTTGATCGGCCTCCTCAGTTTCGAAACGTGAATCATCAAGGAGTTTCACCGTGTCCATGGAGATCAAATCCAGGATGCTCGCTGACTGTATGCGGTGACTGCCAGAAATAACGGGGTCTTGTGAAAGACGCAATAATCGCGACCCGATCAAGTTCCATGAGCAAGACAGCTCTGTAGTGGATGCGAAACGGTGGATGTTAATGCGGGACAATTCGCTGATTTTGTTCAAAACGAATCCAATCTCGAGGTCCAATGATTTTGACTTGGTCCACAGACCGGATATACTTCGAGAGGAATGATGTGCTGGACTTGTAGGTGCTAGCCTTGTCGGGGAAACTGGAGAACCAGTATTGTCTGGTATCAACTGCGCAGCGTCTTCGGCACCAGTCCGACCCAGAAGTCGAAGGAGTGCCTGCACAACCACGGCAAAAGACTCGGCACTGTAGCTCCGTGTGCTGTCGAGCATCCTTTTCGTCGCTGCTTGTACGGCGGCTATCTCACCGGCAAGGGTATTTTGACCGTCTTGGGATGACACTCCAACCCTCGGGCTGTCCGTCTGTGAACTCGCCGACATGGTGGTAGGTATGGCGATCAGGGCCTCAACTATTTGCATGGTCTCGATGAGAATGAACCAGGCATCCTGCTCCAGCGTCGGTCCCAGGGCAATCCCGAGATTCAATAAGGCTCGCAGGCAAAGCAAATGCCGGACATTCAGAGCGGGACCGGTGGTTGGAAACGTCGGAGTCGGAGGCGGTTCGGTGGGGGATTTGATCCTGTCATGAGGATTATCATGTTCAGAACTAACCACTCGATTTGTGTTTGAATTGTGATAAGTTGATATGACACTGTTGGCGTTTGTTGGGATCGACGCCTTAGCCAAAGTAGTGAGCAGGGCATCTCTCGGGGTGGACAGCTCCAAGACTCCAGAGACCTGAGCCAGCTTCTGAACAGATCGGATCAAGATGTGGTAAAATTCAGAGTCCAAGGCCGAGTTGAGAAATGTCGAGCACGTCGCAAGAGCAGCGGGCCAGCAAGTCTCAATCATGGTGGCACAAATCCGGATCTGGGGATGTAGCGGATGTTTAGTCAGTGTCAACGGGTTTATAAGACGTTGGTATTTTTGAGCCGAAGTAGATGGCCGGGTCTGTCTGCGAATGATCTCATCGTTGGCAGGTTCAGGGCCTGGGCTATCTCTCCCGCCGCTATCTAGCGACTCTCGTGAAGGGCGACTGGGAACGCTGAGGGGCATGATGAATTTCGACAGACCGTCACAGAAAGATGCAATGCACCCTAAAGCCTGGGTATAAATGTAAGTACTCGGGATTGCCGGCGGAACCTGTTTTTCGCCCTGTTCCATGAGCGGCGTATGGATAACGCTCCATTCCAGACTGATGCCGGTAATACCGGCATCCCCCGAAGGTACCGATGTTATGGCGCCACCAAGACCTTGCGCTTCAATGGATGCCGCCTCTTCACTTTTGATGTCGTTCACCCGCTGGACAGGGATGGTGGATTGACGGCCCAATCCAATGAGCGAGGGATCTTCTGCTGCAATGCGAACCAATGCAGACAACAATGGTCCAATTAAATTTTCGGAATCTTCGCGATCATCGAACAATTCGAACAGTTTGCGCATGACGCCAAAGTCCGAGCAGACGTTACGGAAGAATTCAAGGCAAAGCGTTCGTTTCCACATCGGATTTCCGTCTTTTTCTAAAGCATTGACAAGCGAGGGAATAACTTGGATGAGCTGGTCCTGAAGCTCATCGGCAAAGCCTTGCATGATCAAGAGCAGGATAGACAAGGCGCGGACGAGCATGCCAAAGGCGTCTTTTCTGGACAGGATACGCGACAGACCTCGCATAAGGTGGTCCCCGCATGCTCGCACGTGGTTGGCATGGGATATGATGAACGAGCCATGAGTTGACATGATCAGCTGCAGTGTTTCAAGAAGAAATCCAGATGGGAGATTCTCCACTTTCAAGAACTTGGGCTGCTGTTGGTCCAGAAGGAGACAGAGATCGTCGAAGAGTCGAAGAGCGTCTTCCAGCGACGCCTCCTGGTACTCTTGATCTTTGTCGTACTGTTTTGTTTCTCCGTCACTCGAAACGCGGACCTTCTCTCCCTTTCCAGCTTCGTCGAAAACGGTAGAAACAAGTTGCTGAAACGTTGCGGAAGCTGTGTTACTCACGATGGCAGTCCTGCTGGATTGGAGGGTTGCACATATCTCTAACGTTCTCGCCAGAAGATTGCCGGACAAATCGCTCGCATAGAGCTGAAGTAGCGAGGGTAGAGTTTGGAGGATCTTTAGCTGAGGCTCATATCCGGAAGCTATGCCATCATGGAAGGCGTCTAGAACATCAGGTAACCTCGCTCGAGCGACCGCCTTGCTGGCCGTCAATCGCTGCAGGCAAATAGTTCCGGTGCATGCCAGCTTAACATTTTTAGATTTGCAGGCGAGGACCAACGGGTCAACAAACTGAGGTCGGCGAAAAAGATCTGCGGCCAATTGCGTCTCTGATGTTACCGATATGGCTTTGAGGTCGGCAAGCGACTGCTCGGCAGCCGTGCGCACATGATTGTATCTTCGTTTTGAGTCTGATATTAGGCTGGTCAACTCAGACTGTAGAAATGCATGTGTCATCCCTGCTAATTCGCCTCATCATGGAGGATTGGCCGTATGGGAGATGATCTAAACGAAACAGTGTCCTCAATCACGAGGAGACGGCAATTGCCGCCAAGGCTGCAACTTGCCTGCGCTGGAGAACTCTTTTGGTGAAATGCACGGCACGAGGCTGGGGCGCGTGTCCACTCAAACATTTGGCTCTTAAATCACACACAACCATCTGGCGCCGTATCGGTGACTCACACAGTCTTACGGACTTGTTGTTCAAGACTCATTGTCAACATGGGTGCTAAAGTTCCTCGAAATTTCCGGCTCCTAGAAGAGCTGGAGAAAGGCGAGAAAGGCCTTGGTGCTGGTCAGTGAACATACCGCGGCTCTGCACCATGGTAGTACACAGGATTGACATTAATGCAGAGGCATGCTCATATGGTCTGGCAGATGGCGATGACCTGATGATGACGAATTGGAATGGTACCATCCTCGGACCGCCTCACGTATGTCGCGCGCAAAGCGTCCCCGATTCCACCTCCCATGAGGCTGACTCTACTTCGTCCAGAGCGCTCATGAGAATCGGATCTACAGTGTCAACATCCACTGTGGCGACAACTACCCTGACCTCCCACCTACAATCCAGTTTGTGTCCAGAATAAACTTACCCTGCGTTGATCAAAAGACTGGAAAGGTGAGAAGATACCTCCAAGAGAGCCATCGCAGGCACTGATTGCTGGCCCTAGGTTGATCCCTCCAAACTACCGTGCCTGGCAAACTGGAAGCGAGATTTTACCATGGAGACCATCCTCATTGAGTTGCGAAGGTATGTTGGACACTTTCTGGTTGGGCTTGGGGCTGAGCTAACTTTCCCAGATACATGGCGCTTCCTCAGCATAAGAAACTTCCACAACCTCAAGAAGGTACGACTTTCTGAGCGAGGCATTTGGAGGCATGAAATCACGGAGTTGAGGGGTTCGAACGATATAGCGATGATTGATGAGGTTCCGTGATACGTTTCTGGAGTCGGAATTTATCGGTTCGATTGTGCCAGGGTTGCTGTGGCAGAGAATAAACACCATAGAGAGCTATTCATTCTATGGCATTCAACCCTCTTCCAAACCTTCAGTCTCTCGGCCATCTATTCGCACCATAGCCGTCATTCTTCCCTCCCACGTGATCTGTCTGGATCCCGGGATACCTGCTTAAACAAGAACGGGGGGCCTGGGGTTTTTACAATTGACCTTTCTTAAAGTACAAACTCAGAAGCAGAGATGTGCGGATGCCACGAAAATTTGTTCCACGCAAATCGGGACTTCATAGGCTAGCATGTGAGAACGAGTTTCAGTTTATCCACCAACTTCCCGCTAATGAAGTCTAGGCCTGTCCTTGTACAAGGCCCTCCTGAAAGAATGCACACGACTCCCCTTCGCAGGAGGGAGCAGCAAGACCAATGGCATCACTGAGACCCTCCAGGACCTCATAAGATATCGATTTCGGAAGGACCGCAAAGTCCAGTCTCCGACCCAAATAGTACATGGCATTGAAGCAGGCCATCGTTTTCTCGACCTCTTGCGCGCTTGTACCATCCAGTCCGGCGAAGCCCTCGGACGACTCGGCGAGATTCTCGAGGTGACAACAGCCCAAGCGGAGGACACAGCGGCGCATCGCTCCAAACTTGCCACTCTCAAGAAGCCCCCGCGGCCCTCGCGACTCAAGTATATCGAGCACGTCAAACGAATTCGGGATCCAGCAAACCATGTGTCATACCCTACTCCGCGGATCTTCGAGGAACCACGCCCTTTGTCCAAAATCAAATCTGGAGTTCGCAAGGTCCCAAACTTGATTGTGACTCAGGGTATTCCGGTGCTGAAATATCCAGGCCCGCAACCGGTGCTCTTGAATCGTGTAATAAAGTCGAAAATTACATGGGGGGTCAAGATGTTCCAAAAACATCTCGCGTTGGAACAAGCTGCGCACCTCGCCGAGTGCGAGGACGAATGGGATATGATTCTCCGAGAAGAGCATGGAGTCTTGGAGCCCGGAGCTCACGAGGAGGACAACGATGGATCCAGTGAATCGCTCGGTACGGGTGAGGGGGAAACTACTTGGGCCGCGACCATACGCGCCGCCGACATGGGAATCGCGAAGAAAGTCATGGCGCGCAACCGCCAGAACGCCGAGATGGGCGCGAAGCTTTGGCAGGTTGTGCTCAGGGAGAGGGAATTGAAAGAGCAGGAAAGGAGGGAAGCAAAAAGACAACGTCGCAACGAGAGAAGAATTGCTGCCGTTGCCGAATGGGCGGACAATCTCTCGGACAGCTCTAAAGAAGCAGAAACACCGTCTTGATGGCGACCCCAGTGGTGTATGACAGAAAGTCTGGTAGGGAAACGCGCCGTGACGAATTCACGTCCTCGAAGTGGACCATGTGTAAATTATGAGCGCGTTTGCAATGACTGTGCATGAATTTGGAACCCTCCGCTGCCATCGAACCCAAGACGATATGGGACTCATGTTCCTCACTTCCCAGATCTCGACGTTTGCAACCTGGCCATGCTCGCTTTAACTCCCCAACCATTCTTCAACAACTCTCCAATCTCTTCCAGCCCCAATCCCATTGTCTCCGGGTACACGTGCCAGATGACAGCCCAACCCGTGACACATACCAAGGCGTAGGACACAAACGTCCATGTCGGAGTCAAGAGATCCATCATCGGGAGAAAGGTCAGCCCTACAATGGTATTGCAACCCCAGTTTGTGGCGGTCGCTATACCGGATCCCAGTGATCGAACGCCAAGAGGGAATAATTCCGATTGCTGCCACGGAACGGGTCCAAGGCCCATGGCGTATGTTGAAACATACAGAAGCATTGCAACAAGAATTCCTATGGCCGGCAGCCGAGATTTTGTATCCTCGCCTGGACTCCCTGTTGACACCCCCGGTTGACCCTGGGCTGATGGAGGAATGAATGCGAAGGCTCCTGCGCACAGCAGCAGGGCCAGGACCATGACGGGAATTGTAATGAGCAAAATGCGTCTTCGTCCGATCCGGTCAATCAGATTGAACGCGCCAATCGTGAAGACAAAATTCGTTCCGGCGACACTTAGAGATATCAAGGTAGGAGATGAAAATCCGAGACGAGAAAAGATGGTGGCGGAAAAATACATCAAGCTATTGAATCCGCAAAGCTGTTGGAGAGCTTGTAAGGTGCATGTTATCGTCAGAGCTCGCGCATGTGGTGGATGAAAGAGTAGAGAGTGCAACGTCGATGGCATGACGGTCGATGGGGATTGCGTCATCTTGAGCCGGGTATGCGCATGCTCCTCATCTAAAATCTCTTTCTTGATGGCCAGGATGATATTGTCGACGAGATCGGCGCTGTCCGAGGTCATTCCACGATACACTTTTGCCAAAACACTTCGCGCCTTGGTCTCTTTTTGAACCTTCACCAAATATCGGGCTGTTTCAGGCATGAAGGTCAACATGACAAGCTGTGCAACCGCCGGAGCCGACCCGAGACCGACCATCCATCTCCACCCACCGGGCAGAGTTGAAAATCCCCATCCCACCAAATATGCAATGGCTTGACCGCCGGTGATGAAGAGGAGCGAGACTGTCACGAGCCTTCCCCTAAGATGACTGGGCGCAAGCTCTGATATGTAAAGAGGGACAATCAAACTCGCCCCTCCGATCGCGAGTCCAACTATACTTCGTCCCCATATCATACCCAGCACCGAACTTGTAAGTGCCTGCCATAGCGCGCCCGATGTGAAGAGAGCATCCGCAAACAAAATGATGTTCTTTCGTCCCAGCTTATCGGCCAGAACGCCGGCGATCGGACTCGCGATGAGGGCAAAGAGACTCGTACAGGAGGTTATGAGACCTTTGTCGAGGTCGGTCAACTCTCGGTCGGACAGATCGGTGCCGATTGAAACCAGCGTGCTGCTGATGACGCCAGTGTCGTAGCCAAATAGGAGCCCCGAGACACAAGCAGAGATAGTCAAGGTCCAGATAAATGCATTTCCGGAGGAGTGTACAGTTAAGGGAGCCAGAGGCCGACTGTCGTCTTCATTGTCCGTTATGAGAGGCGCATCCGGCCCTATCTCGTCGTGCGCGGGCGGCATTGATTGTAATTCCACCGCTTCCTCTTCTCGCCGGGATATATCGATCGCAGATTGTTCATGACCCGTCATAAAGGCATGGTGATTGTGGTCGCGTGTTGCTGGTCAGGAGGCCCAAGTTCGGGTTTCGATGCGGTAGTGCAAAATTGCGCTTCGGCCACTGGCGGCCATTCTCGGCCAATCCCGAATTTCTTGGCGCTATTCTGACGCTCTGTGAATACCTATGGGATAGGCGGCAGATTCTGCTATTCCGGCACCTAATCTTTTGACCCTATCTCACAAACTTTTTGACTCTAGTTCACAGTTATACGGTGGTCACTCGAACAGCTGGACTTAATTTGCTGGTCAAAGTTGTATCTAATAGGAAACTATGGCTCAGGCATCCCATTCCAGCGGTCTTTGAACAAGTATTTCATCTTTCCATTACCCAGGTACATTGCTGTAAACTTGAGACCATCGCAAAAGTCGACACCTAGAATACTGATGTCAGAAAAGTGGGACTTTGGAGGCGACATTCGGATTGGTAGGTAGCATCCAACAATGGTGGCATAGCTGTCTTCTTTTCTGAGGCCGACGATCTCACACACCTAGGACGAAGTTAGCAGCTAAGCACACTCTCCGAATAGGCAGGAGCATTCACCCCCTCGGAAAGGAACGTTGAAGGGGCATCAGTGTCCACAATGAAATGCACCCAATACGCCTTTTTGCCGTCGCCATCGCCGTTGCTGACGACAGATGGAACCATTGCGCGACGCGCCCTGCCGTACCAATAACCATCTACGGCATCGACCCGTCTCTTTGCATCATGTTCAGTTGCCTCCGCTAGGTAATTTATGCCTAAGACATCTGAGATCTCAGTTCTCAGCTTTCTCTCGTCAACATCCATAATCAGAACGTCATAATTGTTCAGTCCATTGACGAAATGAAGATCGTGAATGTCAACATATTCACCAGACTCCGGGGCATCTCGCCCAGTCCCCTGAGCGAAGAGCTTTAGTGGATTAGGGTATGAAGAGAAGTGTCGAGCAAGATTCTGTGGAGCCTTTGCGAACGAGACTTGTAAGCTGCCGACGCGGTTTGAGGAGAACGGACGAGTTTGGTGAGGATGTGAAGAGGATGGCGAAGAGGACTAGAAAGAGCCTTGAAGGTCCGTTGGCGAGTAAATATCGACATGATAGAGACTTGGCTTCATGTTGTCGGGAGAGTTGGTCCAATTCAAGGCAAAGTTAGTCAAGTCACGTGCCAGGCCCCCGTCGCGGCCGATGAGGGCCCAGCAGGGTGATCCTTTGGCAGGAATCGACTCCACGCTTCCAATATCATTTTGACTCCCGATTTGAGCTGGCTGAGGCACAGAGGACAAAGGTCCTGATAGGCAAGACTCCATACATATGAGCTCGACTCCGGGTTGCAACATGATATTCACGATCCGAGGATGTCCGTTTTGCGGAGGTAGCAAAGCAGAACTGATTGTTAGGAAGACTGAATTTTGGAGTTTTCGTGGTAAACAAGGCGAAGTGGATTGCCGGGTCTCGTTACGTACGAAAGTCGACGTTGAATTGGTGCCAGTCCGCAAAGGGAAATTACCGAGGTCAAAAGGCTGCTGAATACTGCGCCCAGACAGCAAGATGCTGTCATGAATTCAGTTTGCGAGATCGGCCTTGGATTATTTTTTGTTACCGGTGATGGACACCCTTCCTCGGTTTAAAGACACATTATTACTCTCGATGAATCACTTCACCAACCTCCCATCTGCTGTTCCAACCGGCTCCGCCTTCTCAGCAAACCACCAAGCATGCCCTCCAATCCAGAATGGGTCAAGGCCCTCAAGCCCTCCGGTCCTCAAGGCTCAGAGCTTCTTCAACAAGAGAGGGCGAAATCAAACCTCAACGTCGGCCAGCTAGCTGAGTTTATGTTCACCAAGGAGATCCTCGAGAGAAACCAGAGAATCCTCAAGATCCTCCAGGCCGAACCCGTGTTCGACAAGTCTCAGAACTACTTTCGAGGCCGGACGTCAAGGATAGAGGCTGCATTGGCAAGAGGCAAGAGACTCCAACAGCTGACGGTTGAACATAAATGGACCCAAGATGAGTTCCAGGCGGCCAGCGATCTCATCAGCGAGCCTACTCCCTACGGCCTCCATGCAAGCATGTTCCTCGTGACGCTCCGAGAACAGGGCACTCCGGAACAACATAAACTGTTCCTTGAAAAGGCGGAAGCTTACCAATATATTGGCTGCTATGCTCAAACTGAGCTGGGGCACGGCTCGAACGTCAGAGGATTGGAGACCACTGCTGTTTGGAATTCCGATGACAAAACTTTCACCATCAACTCTCCCTATTTGACGGCGTCAAAATGGTGGATAGGTTCTCTCGGAAAGGCCGCCAACCACGCCGTGGTGATGGCTCAGCTTTATATCAATGGCAAAAACTATGGACCTCACCCATTTGTCGTCCAGATCAGAGACTTGAAGACTCACGAACCCTTGCCCAACATTCATGTGGGTGATATTGGTCCCAAATTCGGCTATAACACCATGGATAACGGCTTCCTTCTATTCAAGAATGTCAAGATCCCTCATGTGAATATGCTTGCACGATTCTCCCGAGTTGATCCGAGCACCAACAAATACGTTCGCCCGTCAAATCCGTCTCTCGTTTATGGCACCCTTACCTACGTCCGCAGCACCATCGTTCTCCAAGCCGGTTCAGTCCTAGCAAGGGGTGTCACTATTGCCACTCGATACTGTGCTGTCCGACGCCAATTCCAAGATCGCGATGCCCCGGCGAGCGAACCTGGTGAGAATCAAGTCCTGAACTACACCATGGTGCAAATCCGCCTGCTCCCTCTGCTTGCCGCCACCTACGCTCTTTATTTCACCGGAAAAGGCATGATCACCTTGTACCAGGAAAATCAGAAACGTATGAATAGCAACGTGGGCAAGCCCGCCGACTCCACACGTGCGCCAGGACCGGAAGAACTGAACCCGGGGACCGACCTCCTCGCCGACCTTCATGCCACTAGCTGTGCTTTGAAAGCCCTCGCTTCCACTACCGCAGCCGAAGGTCTCGAAGTCTGCCGTAGAGCCTGCGGAGGTCACGGTTACAGCTCCTACTCCGGCATCGGTAGCTGGTATGCCGACTATCTTCCGACTGTGACCTGGGAAGGCGACAACTACATGTTGACCCAACAAGTTAGCCGATATCTCCTGAAGTCTGCCCGATCAGTCCTCGCGGGGAAGCCGGCGGACAATGACACCACTCGCATTCTCAAGGAATTCGTCGCAAGAAGGGATATTGGCGCCGCCTTTGATGTGATCGGCAGCGATACCGACCTCGTCGCCGCCTTTGCCTGGCGAGTGTCCTTTTTGACCTTCGAAGCCCTCCGCCACCGCGATGAAGACAAACAATCGTGGAACTCTCTCCTGGTGGATTTCTGGCGTCTTTCCACTGCTCATGCACAGTATATGATTGTCAAGAACTTCCACGACGCACTAAACGACCCAACCGCTACGGCCCAACTTGAGCCCGACACCGTCACCCTTCTCCACAAACTCTTCCGCCTCTATGCTTTGCACACACTCGAGCGGGAAGCCTCGGAATTCTACTCCAGCGCTGCCGTGACAGTCCGCCAGATCACGCTTGCTCGCACAAAGGCTGTCATGAAGCTGCTCGAGGAGATCCGCCCTCACACCGTGCGCCTAGTGGATGCGTGGAAGTTCCCAGACTGGCAGCTTGACAGCTCCCTAGGCCGATATGACGGCGAGGTCTACGAGGACATGTTCCACCGAGCCAGCGAGTTGAACCCCCTCAATAGCATCGTGTTTGATCCATACCCAGAGTCAAAGGTATTGTTCAAGAAGGATGATCGAGTCGATTTGAGAAGTAAATTGTAAATGTTATCACCAGGATCACGAGGCAGAACGGGGTAGACGAAGGTCCACTTATGTGGGTTTGTTTTACTCTTCCTGAGAAGGGGCGATACTAGGATAAGGATGTCAAAGGCAATGGACCAGCGATTGTGGAAAAAATTATCCCCACCACATAAAATAGAACCCATATGGGAGGAGGCGAGGGCAATGTGTTGGATTGCATCTGGTTTTGCTAGTTTCTGTAAGCATCTGCACCAAATTCTTGACCTGCAAAATACTATATGCATCTCCTTTACGGTATTTGTTTTTAAACGTTATAATTACCTATCCTATAAAACCGTCTACTTATGTTTTGGGGTATCATCTTTTGGCTCTTTACTTACGTTGCTTGCTCATTGGCATTCTTTTTCTGGTCTTGCTTGTTCAACGCCAGAGCAGTGAAGTAACAGAAACGCACACGTGCATATAAGAACACCTCAAGATCCAACACCGACCAAAGTTCAATTCCAAGCAGAAAAGCCCGGCATCCAAGGGTAAAGCTCCGAGTAGAGAGATGCCGATATGACTCTGCTTGCTGTTCCTGCTCGAGGATGGTATGTTAGGCAATGGACCTTTTCTTTTCTCTCTCTTTGGGAGGGTATATTGTGCCACCTCTCACTTTCTAGACGTGAATCCTTCTCTTCCCTTTTGGCTATTCTCACGTAAGTCCTGCCTTCATGACACGGATATCTCCCCGTCTTCGGCGCCAACGTCAATATCTTCCCAACCTTTGGGCCCGATCGCCTCATAAACACCAGCACGCTTACTCAGCACTGTACCCAATCCCCGATGTACTTCGATCTGGAACGGCTCAAAGGGCAACTTCTCACCATCGACACTGAAGTATCCGCTGTCCCGAGAGGCATTGCGGCCGTTGGCCGCCACGCCCATGCGGTCGAGCATCCTGCCCAATTTATTCTGCCGCTGCTCGTTGTCGGCCATATCAGCCAGCCTGCCGAAGCGGGGAATCACGCGGATGGCCTTGACCTTGCGCACTCGCACACACTCTTGGTCGAAGAAGGTGCCTTTCGGTACGGACAAGAGGAGGTTCACCGCTTTCATACGTCCGATGTCGCCGTCGATGGTGACTAGGTCCAGGAGGCCATCGGAGGGAAGGGATGCCGGGAAAAACGGTGCGTCTGCCGCCATCATGGTCATGTTACCGCAGTAAAAGTTGCCCAGGTTGGGGTATGAGACCAGCGGTGACCACCCGGCATCTGTGGGCAGTGGATCTTTGACCGTTCCATATAGCAATGGCGGTAGTCCGAGGCCGGTTGAAGCGTCCAATGGTCCATCCAGCTCAGAGGGTGAAATCAGGCTTTGACTTTCTCGTCTGGCCATTTGTCGGGCATAGTGACGCTTGATTTCCTGCTTGTCCTCGATCTCCATCTTCACAGCGATGTCACAGGGATACAGTGTCTTCCCGATCAATCGGACGAGAAAACCAAAGGTGAATCTAGCATCACCCATCCACCGCATGTTTTCAGTCCCCAGGTCGCTCTCTGCTACTATGCCAAGTGACTGCGAGAGGAACGAGAGCGTCCTCTTGTCTCCCTGCGTAACACTGACGAGATCGAGAGGCGTCCGCACACCTTTCACGATGCATAATGCTGCAGTGCTGCATTCTCCTGTCCCGGTCAAGTTCCATGACATGGCATTGCCCGTACCGCAGGGGAGTTGGACGACAGCAACTTTTCTGAGAGCTTCCGCCGCATTGGGTTTCCTGGCCAGACCGTTTATGCATTCGTGAGGGAGGCCATCACCGGACGCGCTCGCAAGGACATCAAACGTATTTATATCCAGCTTTTCCGCGATTTCCACAGCGTGGCCCGGGTGCGTTGTCCGCTCGACGTCTACCTCACATCTGGCCGCGGCGAAAATGGGTTCGACGTCTTTGGTGTACAGTTTGGCCGCCTTTCCTGCTCCTCCGAACGGGTTTATCAATAGTTTTATTCTCTTGTTGCGCTGGGATTGACCGTACGCGCGGTCGAGCAGATGTCCCACCCATTTCGACGCCTTTTCTAATGCCGACGTCGAGTCTTCTAGAGTGTAGTTGATATATGCGACATGTACGGGAGAGTTTGCAGATTTGGAGGTCGGTTTGGCGTATCGGATGGTGAGGTCATCCTTGACAATTTCCGCCCAGAGCACATTGAAGTATGGGACGGAGCGAGTGTTGGTCGTTCCTTGTTGTTTGTCAGCCAGCCATTCAATTTCAATCATTCAGGAGCTTCAAGATGCTGATTTCGTGGGACCTACTTTGAGGTAGCAATCCAAAACATGAGAATCCCGTGTCTTTGCGGAGCCCTTCGTCTACGGAAAGTTAGGAAAGCACCGGTGGTCAAGAGGCGTAAACGTACCCAGGACGATGATCGCATCGGTCCCAAGAGTAAGAGTGGCATTGCGACCAACGCTCAGGGTAGACTCGATCATGGATTCGCGTTCATCTTGAATTGCAGCATAGTCGGAGAAGGGATCGATGTCACTGGGTCTCTGGACAGTCATTGCGAATCCAGCGCAAAGGGCATAATGAGAGTGACGCTCCAGAGGGTGGGCGCTTGTGTACAATAACAACAAACAGAAGAATGAATCAATGAATTAAGAACGGACTCCGGATTATGCTGAGAACAGGAAAGCCGCCAACTACAGGGAGAGTATGAGCAAACAAATGGCGGGTGAGTACTATAAGAGAAATCAACACAGGCCGAGGATCTTCCCCCGTTTTGTGCATCTTCCGGTCTGACATAAATCTTGGATCTAGCCGACTACGACGCCAACATCCTCCACCAATCACCGACTTCGGGCAATTGGTCCAGAACGAGGGCGGGATTATATAGCATGGGGTACAGTCAGATTCAAATAGAAAAAGAAAACGAAAAATTTATATATTTCCAAACTCGGTCATGGTCATCCACAGTTTGGTCGGGCTCGACACGTATGTGTTCATTGCTGAATATTCCCTGCACCAGAGTTCTGTCGACTCGGCAGCGTCACTCCTCCGCTTGAGGTGCTGGTATCACTTCTTGGTGTTTGAGCATCCGGATCATCCACCACCAGCCGTCTGATTTCAACAATCCAAGGATGCTGCAACAATTCGGCTGCCGAACTTCTCTTGGCCGGGTCTCGTTCAAAGCATTTCTTCAAGAAATCAATTCCCATCTCACTAAGTTGGTCCTCGGTCGGCATTTGGGGTGGATTTCCCTGAGCAATGTTGTACATGATAGCCCATTCGTTGTCCAGTGTCGACCAAGGGCGACGCCCTGTGGCCATTTCAAGAATCACGCAGCCCAGGGACCAGATATCGGCGGCTCCGGAAAAGCGAGAGGTCGCCGGTCCATCCCCTCGAATGACTTCTGGCGACATATACATTGGCGTTCCTGTCATGGTTTTCTGTGGCTGTCTGGGAACGCCGGCGTTGTTCGCCATATGGCCGGCCTCGCCATTGGCGCGCTGGGCGGGCTCTAGAGCCATCATGGTTTGACCTTGCCGAGCGATGATCTTGGCCGCGCCAAAATCGACGTATTTGATCACGCCGTTATGGTCAAGGAGGACGTTTTCGGGCTTAATATCTCGGTGCACAATATGTGCTTGGTGCAGATATGCCAATCCTTCCAGCATCTGCAGGGCGTATACCATGATGACGGTCTCATCCTCAATGCGACCATGTTCGAGAAGACCGGCAACCGATCCACCGGAGCAATATTCCATAAAGATGTAGACCTTGTCACGATGTACCTCGATGCCGTAATAGGAGACAATATTCGGATGGTCAAGAACCGCCAGCACACTCATCTCGTCGCCGATTTGCTTCACAATGGTGGGGATGAGTTGTGGGTCTTGCAGTCGGATTTCCTTGACGGCCATCAACGTTCCAGTATCAAGATTGAGAGCGGCGTAGACGGAGCCAAAAGTACCCCCGCCCACAAATTGACCTTGTTGCCATCTCATCGTGATGTTCGTTGCGGAAGACGACAAGAACGTCAGCGACCGATCAGCTTCGTTGGATCCTTCCAACACGCGTCCAAGAGTAGTCTTCGACGTTCCGCGTTCTTCTCGAACTTGGTCGATCACTTTCAACTGGGCCAACCGTTGCTCACACATTTCCTTCCAGCAATCTTCATCGTTCCTCATTTTATTGAAATCGAGACGTTTGTTCATTCCGGTCATGGCTTCCATCCGGGATTTCTCCTGTTGGGCCGCCAATGTCGATCGGGCACCCATGATGTCGAAATGTGAGATCAGGACCGACATGCAGCCTGCGACCTTGACTCGGATGCGTTTGTAATCCTCTTCACTGATGTCCACAATATTTCTTCCGCGTGTCATGGCCATGGCAAACTCCAATGCCACCACCGCCCACTTGAACGTTCTTCGATCGGCAGCATCACAGTCGTCGCAAATAAAACTCACCCAGTCCAGAGCCAGTCTTGTGAGCTTCAAATTATTCATCATTCGTCTGTTGGCATCCATGTATGTGAGAGATCGTTTGCCGAATTCGGTCGCGAAAGCGAAGCAAGATTGGACCAACTCGGGACTAGCGATGCCGCCATTCTGAGATCGAATGACTTCGACGCTCTCCATGATCGTATTCGAGAGTTTGAAGGTGGTCTTTTTGATTTTTCCCAGCTCCAGATTGACACGTGACAAATTGGCCCTCTGCTCAATGACCACATCAAGTTCTCGACCGACCGCATTGGCAAATTCCATTCGCGCATTTTGCAATCGCAGAGAAGACCCGTCGGCCACAAGCCGAAGTCGTCCTAATCTAACGTCATTCGGCAGGTCCCGAACGTCCACATCCATTCGGGGCCCTTCCCACGGCATGACGTCTTCGGGCCTGATCACCAAGATGTAAGGATTCGAGGGGTCTTCCGGTGCATCATCGGCATGGAAAGATGTGCCCAGAATGGACTGAATTTCTTTGGGTCTGTTCCAAAGAGACGGCGAGGCCACGAAGTGGACCCCTTTGGCACTGTTGGATCCCATCTCCACGAGGAAATGGCCCGACAAAATCAGTGACTCGGTAAAGCCTTGCATGTGCTCTGCATCCATTCCCAAATTGAACTCGGTCGCATTCTCAAATCGCTGCCTCAATATGCGCGAAAAACGGAAGAGTTTTCGTTGACGAACACGAACCGAATCCAAGATGGTCTTGTATCGCTTCTCCATCTCTTGTGGGCTTTCATCCGGTTTGCTTCGAAGCTCACGTTCGAAGGATGCGGTCAGTCGAAGCAGAGACTTGGCCGTCAGAGAACTAAATTGTTCCGCGACTTCGATGTCTCCGCTTTGGAGTTGCCGTCCAATCTCATTGGAAAATCCCCATTCCTGTTCGAGAATCTCTGCTTCGCGGAAGGTGTTCTTGTTGGCACCCAGTTTCCAGTTCAGCATTTTGAAGTAGAATTTGAGGGCTTCCACAATGACCGAGTCAAATGTCTCGTCGATACAGGGAGGGAGATCCCAACCCAGCTCGGGATGCGAAATCGCCAGGTACTCTTGCTTAATGAGGCATGCCAGACGCATCAGGATTTGAAATTGGGCGATCATTTGATCAATGATCATAACAGATTGCTGGGCGGATTCCTTCATTTTCTTCGCATACAATAACCGCATCCGAATAATCTCCTGGATCAGCCGGGAAGGGAAATTGATCAGAGTCAGGAGTTCTTCGATATAAGGCGGTAGATGTCGAGCGGCAAAGGCTCCAGCGTTCTCAATGAGGGTGCTTTTCGCTTTCGTAATAACCTCGCTGATCCCCTTGAACATGCTCTCGTCCCCTTGGAGTGACTTCAGCCCATCTTCCTTTAAGATTCGGTCAATGAATGAAGAATCGTCCGACAAGTCTCCCCCGCTGCTCAACCGACGCTTTTGCTTGGTAAAATCCAATTCCGGATTCCCGACCCAAGCCTGAAGAACACCGAGCTCCGTGTTGATCGACTGAGTGATATTGTGCCAGGAAACAATGGCATCACAACTCTCTCGATAAGCATCGGAAGCGGCTCTGGGTTGAGCAGCTTCCAGTTCTCTCCTCGAGGAGTATAGCCATTCGGTTTTCTCAATGTTTGACACCGCCTCTTCAACCTGCTCCAAGGGCGACTTGCCAACCACAGTTTCTCCTTTTATCTCAAAAGCTATGATGCTTTCGATGACGGGGCCCAGGTTGGCACGGCCTTCTTCAATCAACTTCTTCTGCATTTGCAACGGACGCCCATAGTACTTGGCTCTCGCACCTATCCATATCTCGGCGCCAATCTCGGACCGGGACTTTTGCTCGGTTGTCCCAATGAGCCGCTGCTTCTCTTGCTTGACAACGTCGCCTTTGAGCACCGAGGCCAACATGGAATGCCACTCGAGCCGTTCTCGGTTTTGCGAGTTCTGTAGTTCCTCTTCCGACGGCTGAAGGTTATCATCGGTTCCCAGGAACATCAATGTTTCCGGGTCATAAGGGTCGTCGAAGTGGTGCTCGGCTGAAGGGGATTCATCATCCGTCTCGTCATCTGTGCTGTACCCAATGCTCGGCGTTCGAGGGTCATTGTCCAGCCACTCTGGTGGCTGTTGTCGAACCCGCTGAACGTAAGCCTTCTCCTGCGCCTTGTACTGCGCATTTGGGTCCCTCCTCGAGCTTCGCATCGTGTTTGAGTGCATCCGCTTCGAATTGAGAGAAAGGAATTGCGGAGGTCTACGAGGAGGAGCATAGGTATTCGAAGGAGTCCGCAAAGGTGCTCCTGGCCTTGAAGCACGCAGTTCTGCTGAAGCCGTTTGGGGATCGGCCGAAAATGATCGCTCCATGTTTACCGGAGGAGGACCACCGCTCCCACCTCTTGGTCTGGGCCCGTATGAGTTCCAGGAAGATAGGCTGGAGGAAAAACCAGCCGGAGTATATGCTGAAATGGACGAAGCAGGGGTATAGGTGACGGGGCCCTCGGACGGGTCGTAGGAAGTCGACGAATACGGATATGCAGAGGAGGGGACTGTGTCTTCGTCCGATCCAGAGGAAGAGCCACTAGGGCGATGGATAGGCATTTCTTCGTGCTCCATCACAAGAGGCAGTCGACCTTCTTCGATGCGTTGCTCTTCACTTTTGGGGGCGCGAGGACCGGCTCTGGAGAGATTTGCGATTTGAGTTTGAGCTGACACGGGCTGAGATTCCATGGTCGATGCGGCTTGAAGTGGGATGTGTGGCTGGAGAGGCTGACTGGCTGTGGCGCCCACTGAGGCTGGCATGTGCATTTTGAGAGAACTGCTGCACGGAAGAAACGCGTGCTATCTTACATTCCTGGAGGCATAGTCATGGAGAAGAGTGCAGGTCAATGAAAAAAAAATAATTGAAAAAAATTTACCGCCTAAGTTGACCCAATTTCCACGATTTGATCAACCATCTCTTCACTCGATTGCCGGGCTATTTAATCCCAAAAAGGGATGATCCCAACTGACAAACGATCGCAATTCGGCCCGCCGAAACTTGGAAGAAGGACGAGCTTTCGTTTTATCGAGTCCTTTTGTGGCCACCCAATCACCGGTCCTGGATACCTGCCAACCAATAGCCCTTTGTGAAGCATGGAGTTCTCGTCTTTGGTAATAATCTTGGACTTGATACATCATTGACATCCCAATGGCGTGCTCTGTACGGCTGGCTCTACTGCCATAGAAATATCAGCCTTGAGACAGGGATCCAAGTCTTGGGATTCTTGGATTATTCAACGCTCCGGGGGGAGCTCCGGAATACTTATCTCATCCACCATAGAGGGATAAGACCCAAATACCAACTCCACTCTTCAAGAGCCTCACATGGCATGCAAACTTGACGGAACCCAAGTGGGTAATACTCAACTTGGCACATGTAGCCCTGGTGCCCATGTCACGGACGCATAAAAGCTTGTATCACTCAAACTGGACATTTGGGTGCGAAAGAGAAGAAATCGTGATGCCGTGTTGGCTGAAATTAGCAACCGGCAAAAGGGAAAGGGTAAAAACGCTACCCCAAGAGTTACCATAACATCGGCACGTCACACAACATATGTCTCTTGGGTTAAGCACCGAGATAAAGCCATCGGCAGAGACATCTAAACGAGGCCTAGTAGAGAATTATGTCCGCGAGGCTGCTTCATGAACTCAAGCCTGTCCTCCCCAGTATCATTAGTAGTCCGCAAAAGACAGATTCGCTCCCGAAGCTTTCAAACATTAACATCGCAATCAACGTGGTGTCGTCATTATTTTTACCGCACCATCCACTTTGTGTTCGACTGGAGGGAATGTTCGGGAGATTACGGCCGCAAGCCGTCGTGTTGTGAAGAGTAATGTCATTGTGAAATGGATTTCTGGATTGATCCATGATGACCTTTCGAATTGGCCCACGGCCCTCCTCAGACTCGGGACGTCACCGAAGACAGAAGTGGGCTCCGTGTTACTGCTGTTCTACGACTCCAGTAGTATGTGGATTCTGAGATGCATTGGGACCACAAAGACCCATTTCTGATGTGTGGCCGAAAACATGGCGGGCGACCGACGAGCGAACCTTTTCCACCATAGTTCTCAAGAATTTCGGGTGTAAGGCCGAGAGGCAAAAATCAGTAAGCCTACGATACGACGGATAGCCGGCAGTCAAAATACTGTAGATGGTGGTGTGCGCGAAACGTGGCTTCGATGCGTCGCGTGAGTTCAAGCGCGATAGAATCGATACTACTGATTAGTTTAGTATTTGTCCTTCCATGGTTGGTTGACGGTGCTGAGTCTGGAGACATTCTTGGAGTGGACAAATACATGACTTCAGGCGGTAAAGGCCAAGCAATCGAAAACTGCATCTGAGTGGCACAGGGACGTTGGTAGGAGCTGATGCTATTTGTAATGCCAACAGGACCCCGGTAGTGTATATCAAAACGGAAGAATGAAATCTGATGGGATGCACGTATTGTCGAACGATTGGAATAGCCGGCGTTTGGGAAGGTTTCAAGTTGAAAGGCGAGGGCCATGAGGCTCGGCGCAGTGAAAACAAAATGCGAAAGATTTTCTTTATCAGTGGAGCTGTGGAGGGTGGAGTTCTCGGAGGCTCCCATTGACCGGAATCGTGGGCTGGTGGGCGGAATCGCCTTGGCACAGCTGCTGAAACGCCAATGGGATGCCTAATGCTTATCTAGCCAAGAAACGCGAATTTTAATATATCGATGAAAAAGATCCGCCTGGCAGACTCCAGAGGCCGTTGGGGCTACTTTTCACTGCACGATCTCAGCGATGCCTAGCCACAAGTTCGAGGTCTTGTTCTCCCTCATGGAGCAAAAAAGACGAATAAGACATTGACTAAATAGATAGTTCGGCCAAGATGCAGACGATGTGCATGTGATCCAGTAGGCAAATCCTACTCCGTATTTCAAGTCGTGGGGACTGGTATCCCTAACACGAAATGGCAGAACAAGACACAGGTACGGGGTGCATAATATAGAACCTGGACGGCCTTATATCGTACTCGCAGCTAATTAAAAAGTCTCTTGGTCAGACTTGTGACACGAGGTGGATCAGTTGCAGGTGGCCTCTTGTGCTCTTATTTGCTTCTCGTTTTTCGGCATCATGGCTCTCGCCAAATCCAATTCCCCTTCGTTCCGTCCAATGATCCCTGTGCTTCCACCTTGCCTCGATTTGATTGCTAGCTCCCCGTGGAGCTCGCCAAACTCCCACGCCATGAACCCGCCCCTCCAGGGGTCCGCCTGAGCGGCCAGCAAGCCATCCGCCGCCATCTGAATGGCCATTTGCCCATCGAACAGTTCTTTTTTCGTTGTTTGAAGCTCACGCCCTTGACGCCGCTTCAGCCTGAGCTGGCCATCGGAAGGGGCCTCACAACACCGACTCATCTGCTATATTCATTGCTTCTGCTCCCCAAACACACAACCGCTGACTTCTCCCTTTTCTCTTCCCTTCTTACCTTTTTTCCTTCCGGCTCGCCCTCCTTATAAGTCCACCTCTTCTCGTCTCCTTCGCCGGTCAAAATACCCTCTGTACTTACAGCCTGCGTTGTACCTTGACTACCGTCCACGCGCCTGCACCCGCTTGATTTCCTGCACTGGGGGCACCTGCGCAGCCTCCAAAACCCCCCTCGAGTTCTGTGCTCTCCGACTTCATACCACAGCCGTCAACATGTCCGACCCGAGTGATTCTCTTCCCTATGTTCCTCTGGAACCCTACGAGGGTATGCTGCTCATCCATACCTTTGATCTCCCTTGAATCGGTGTGCCCCTTGATTCTGGCCCGGTTCAAGGTTTGGTGCAAGCAATCGCCCAAGCTAACCATGTTGCCCCAACACAGGTACCACCATGACTGGTGGAGACTCCCTGACAGAGGATCTCAATGTCTACTACAATGCAGGCGACATTGCCTGGATGATCACGGCCACGGCTTTGGTGCTTTTGATGATTCCCGGTGTTGGGTACGATTCCCCTCCCGCCATCTAACGAACATCGATTTATTGACCCTCCAATCACAGTTTCTTCTACTCTGGCCTTGCTCGACGCAAGTCAGCCCTGTCGCTCATTTGGCTCTCCGTCGCGGCCACGGCCCTGATTTCATTCCAATGGTTTTTCTGGGGGTATTCCCTCACCTTCTCTCACACCGCTGGCAAATTCATCGGTGATATGGAAAACTTTGGCTTCCGCAATGTCCTCGGCGCTCCCTCGGTTGGATCCACCAAAATTCCCGATCTGATGTTCGCAATCTACCAGGGCATGTTCGCTGCCATCACCGTCGCTCTCGCCATCGGAGCTGCTGCTGAACGTGGCCGCATGTTACCCGCCATGGTCTTTTCTTTCATCTGGTCCACCGTCGTCTATGATCCGATTGCATGCTGGACGTGGAACGCCTCCGGTTGGGTGTTCAAGATGGGCGGTCTTGACTTTGCTGGTGGCACTCCGGTGCACATATCCTCTGGTTCTGCGGCGCTGGCCTATTCGTTGATGCTCGGGAAGCGTCGTGGCCACGGGACTCATGAATTGAACTACCGCCCCCACAACGTCACCCACATCGTTATCGGCACCGTTTTCCTCTGGGTCGGTTGGTTCGGCTTCAACGCCGGCAGCGCTTTGGCTGCCAACCTCCGTGCAATCATGGCTGCGGTTGTTACCAACTTGGCTGCCAGTGTCGGGGGTCTCACTTGGTGCATTCTGGACTATCGTTTGGAGCGCAAGTGGTCGACCGTCGGCTTCTGCAGTGGTGTCATTTCTGGCCTCGTGGCCATTACGCCTGGTAGTGGTTTCGTCCCCGCGTGGGCCGCTATCATTTTCGGGGTCGTCGGTGGTGCTGCGTGCAACTATGGCACCAAACTGAAGTTTCTCCTCCACATCGATGACTCGCTCGATATCTTCGCCATTCACGGAATTGGTGGTTTGGTTGGAGATCTCTTGACTGGTCTCTTTGCTGCAGACTACATTGCTCACCTTGACGGCTTCACCGAGATTGATGGTGGCTGGATCAACCAGCACTACATTCAGCTTGCCTACCAACTTTGCGATGGTGTGACCGGTATGGCCTATTCGTTCACCGTCAGCTGCGTCATTCTCTTCGTCCTCAACTTCATTCCTGGCCTCCACCTTCGAGCCTCGGAACAGGAAGAAATTTTGGGTATGGATGATACTGAGATCGGCGAGTTCGCATACGACTATGTAGAGGTATGTCTCCTTATCGTTCACGAATCATGGTCTCCATCTCCTAACGCCAATTTTAGCTGTCCCGAGATGTCGTGAATGCCCTCGAACAAGAAACTACCACTCCCGCCCATCGCGAATCGCCTAGCTCGGATGGAGAAGTTCGCGAGGAGAAACCTGCCAATCCCGCCAATCCTACCACTCCTGCTTAAGACAGTGGAGGGTTGATCCTAAAGACTATAATATTACAGAAGAAAAGTGTATGTCTGTAGTTTAATTCCGGCTATCTTTATTTATATATTCATTCAATCCGTCCAGCCTTTTGAGGAAGTTAATCTCATCTCACCTTTTCGTGTCTTTCCCTGTGCTGTCGAATTCGATCACGCTTTGACACTTTCATGTTACAAAGAAGGGGGAATTTCCGTCCACAATGGGGCATAAATCAGTTCAGTGAGAGAACTATAATAGACTCGGCGGGAGACAACGCCAGCCGGAGCAGATTCCTGCCATGAGGTGCTCTCCATGACCTTGTCTGCTTCCGTCGAGACGAGGCCCTTACGTGTCCGAAATCACGTCACCGTCCATTGCTGCCTCGATCCGATACAACTGTGGGACTAATTCCTCAAGCGACTCTCGCAATCCTCTCCATTTCCCTCCCAGCTCCATCTCCTCGCGGCTTGCATCTACAGCGAAATGTGTGGCCGACTCTCTGGATCCAGGATTTCCTATCGGGATGCGATGGGACTGCTTTCCTGCCAACTCACGCGCCACGTCCGCAATCTCCTGGTTACAGTACGTCCCTTTGGCAAGCAGGAGGCGCCGCCCACGCATTTCCGGCATCGTCAGAGCTCTCACATGTGCATCTGCGACATCGCGCACATCGATCCACACTGGGCCCTTCGTCGGCGGCACAGGGTTGTCTTCGCCGGCGCTCACGACGTCCCAGATCATTCGATTACTGGTGTTCAGCTCCTGCAGGCTTGATGGAAGCGAGTGCGGCGTTTCCAGGAACGGCCCAAAGACCATGGCCGGGCATAGGCTAACGAGCTCAAAGACACAAGCCAGTGTTTCCACCAACGCCCAAGCCGTCTTCTCCGCGACGGCCTTGCTGGCGCGATATGCCACCGCCGTATTTGCCGCACTCACACCGTCCTCGTACGTCAAGGGACACCAATCCTTGGACGTGTATGTATATCCTGGCCGAGGTCCCAAGCTGGCGTCGTATATGCATGCGAAGCTGTTGGTATGGACGACCCTGCGCACCGATGATGTTGACGCCGCGGCTTTCAAGACGGCTTCGGTGCCTCTGACAGCCGGTTGGAGCAAGTCCCGCTCACAATCTGTCGAGGTGTAGCCGAACGGACTTGCCATGTGCAGGACGGCAACGGGCTGCGTGGTGTTGAAAAGTGCGGTGTATGCTTCTGGATCGGTGATGTCTGGGATGACAGTCGTCAAGAGAAGGTTTGATGCATTCGGCGAAAGCTGCGTGTGTGTCTTCTGCACCACCTCTGCTTTGCTTTCTGATCGGACTGTCGCGAGAACTCGGAAACCTGCACGAAGGAGGACTTGGATTGTGTGGGAGGCAACGAAACCATTGGCGCCTGTTACGACGATTAAGGATGGAGGGGCGATTGGACTGAATTCTGGGTGGGGCATTTTTTTTTTGAAAAGCATTTGCTTGATGCTGCGTTTGAGGCAGTGGAACGGCGACGTTGGAGATGAGCATGAGATTTCTCTCAATCTTACAAGTTGGGGGCCCGAGGGGAGGAAAGAGTACAGACTATATGTTGTGGAGAAGTGACGGTGCGATACCCAATCCAAAATATCGCAATTGAGGTTTCTCATCTGTGGCGATGATGTCCCCAAAGGACGAGGAAGTTCACCTTTCCAGCGAGCTGAAGCTCTGTCAGTTTTCGCCCTAACACCTATACTGCGCCATAGGGTAAGTCAAACTCCTTTGGATGCAAAAGAGATCTTCGAGTCAGCCATCCAGTCGTTGCCAAAGAATTCGGAATCTGGAAGCTTCACAAAGCACAACCCGGAGACCCTTATTCGATCGCTTCTTCCCGGCCGTCGCGTTTCCATACCATATATCCTTTAAATGTCCACAAGCGGGGATAGTTCATGCAGAGAATCCGACGGAGAGGTGGAGCAGGGAATGGGAGGGGGCTGGTAGTTTTATGCACCCGTCGCAAAATGCAGGTCAGCGAATCAGGATTCACCGATCCGCTGAACACTAAGTCCGACAAGGCTGAAAGCAATCAGGTGGACGCTGAGTGCAGTGCGAAGGCCAGTTCTGGTTACGGTGAATTCAAGAGGTACTTCATTTCGAAGATAGTAATTTCAAACTTGAATGTGAAGGAGACACCAGCTGAGACGAGAAGGACTGCTCTTGCCATAGGGAGAGGCGTCCAGACCAGACTGTCCGAGATCTTATGGAAACATTTTGTGACTGAAAATGCAGATTTCCTCTCTTGTGTTCAACTGGGTGTAGGGTGGAGGGAAAAAAAAAAGAGAGAGAGAAGAAAAATTGGATTTTGCTACTCAGGAAAACTAGGTTTTCAGATTTCCGTTGCACACCGACAACAAGGGATTTCTCAAGGGAGAATTATGTTCTCCAGTCCACATATAATCAAATAGTTAATACACATACACAAATGCCGGGTTCTTACAATCAGTCTGATCCTGTTCAATATTGGCTTCGACTGCTCCCATCGAAAGTCCTTGTAACTGTGCCCATCGATTCTTCGCCGTTCGTCGATTCCTGAACCCATACAACAATCTCAACAACACCGAGACAGCCATGGCTCCGCCGGCGACGGCAAAGATAGTAATCTTCGCAGGGATGTAGTCAGGGGCATCCTTTGCCTGGAATGTCTGAGGTCCGATGATGTTTGCGACACTGAAAGACACGGCGATGGCTGCGTTTGAGGCCACACGTTTCGTATAACCGGCCGTGTTCGCACCGACCCAAGTGTAGATAATGGCAAGGGGTGCCACAATTGTATTGATCAAGTAGATTCCTGCGAGTTTACCAGGTTGATTGTCTGCGGATATAAATGACATCAGACCAGCGCCAATGACAGTCGGAATCAGAAGTAGGATGATACTCAGCCAGCGTGGAAACCCGCGGAGAATGGCAAAGGTGCAGAGCAATGTTGACGCGATGCTTACTATGCCTGATGGCATGTTCAACAGTGCAGACTGCTTGGAATCATATCCGAAACCTCGAATCAGCGTGGCGGAAAATGTGGTAATGACACCACTGGGAATGACGATCAGGATTGTCAGGAGAAACAAGAGCCAGACTTGTAAGTCGAGGAAGATTTCCCACAGGGAAGCCAGACGGAAAACCTTCGCACCATTGCCGGCTTGATCGAGGACTAATTTGCGGTGGATCGATTGTTTCTCCTCTGCAGTCAGGAAGCGGGCGCTTTCAACGCTGTCGGGGAGGAATGTAAGAACGATGCAGGCGACGGCAATATTGAACACCCCGATGGACACCATCATGATTCTCCAACCACGAAATCCCGCATTTTTGGCACCATGTTGAGCGGCGAATGAGACCAGTCCACCGATAATCTGGCCAGCTCCTAGACCGCAATACCAGACACCGTATCTGGGGCCAGATTCACGTTTGGTATACCACTGGGAGGTGGACATGACCAAAGCTGGGCTGATGACAGCCTCAAAGCAGCCCAGGAGTGTTCGCAGGGCCACCATACCGGCGAAATTCTGAGCTGCTGCTGAGCAGCAGATGGTGATGCCCCAGCACAAGACGTTCAAACCGAGGACTTTGGCCAGTGGGAATTTTTGCAGGAGGTAGCCTTGAGGGAACTCAGAGACGGCAAAGCCGATGAAGAAGGCGGTCGCCATCCAAGAGAAATCATTACCCTGGAGACCCAAGTCTTTCGGGAGGCCCATGACATTGGCGTAGTTGATAAGGACCTTGTCGAGGAATTGCAGAAAGTAGCAGGCGAACATGATAGGAACGATTCGCCAATCGATCCTGCGAAGAAGTTTGGAATCCTGGCCGACAACAGGCCATACCTCCCCAACTGTTTTGCTGGGGATAGCCTCGAGGTCCTGGGGAGACGTCACGTCGGAGGTGTTGGTCTTCATTTCTTTGGATGAGTCCATGGGAAAGGAGGAGATTCCGAGGGAAGACAGGCCCTGTTACGGAGGTTTGAAAGGTAGAGAAGAAAGATATCTAAGACGGGATGCGGCGAGGATCGTGAATTGATTGAGAATGTGCAAGAGGGATTGATGGTCAATATATCATCCAGCCTGTTTCTCACAGGAAAGCCTGCACCACGTCTATACGTCAAGACAGTATGAGTGCCGTGAGCAGATCGATATAAGCCTGCCATGATAGCCCAGGTCAAATTCAAGAGAAGATGTGGGCAGACTCGACTTCCTTATCAAGCGACGAGCCAATGAAAATTCGAGAAGGGGTCGATTCCATGCACCCGTCGCAAACGACCGCTCCGAGGGCAACTATCGACGGTAAAATGGTGATTGGATGGTAAGGAGAGAACCGTCGCAAAGGAGGCAGGGGTCATCAGCTTCGCCATTCACTTTTTACTCGCGACCTCTTTGACGCTCTGCCAGAGGAAGGCCGAAACAAATGTGTACACAATGGGAATGAGACTGTCTCCGAAAAATCAAAAGATGCTTCACGCCAGGCGCAGAGGCGGGTTGTGATTCGGATAAAGGCTGCGTTCATTTCTTCATGTCCTCCTGCGAATACTAAAGTATTTCCATTCGGGATATCTGTGTGTTCTCCCCCCCCCACCAAATTGGATCATACCATTCTGGACAATCAGTTACCACCAAAATGCCCAGAGTAATCTCTCCAGACCAGCAGAACATCTATGATGTCGCTATAATTGGCTCGGGGCTGGGGGGTCTCTCAGCTGCTGTCGCCCTTCGTCGCCAGGGGCATAATGTCACCATATACGAGCGGTACGATTTTGGCGGCGAGGTTGGCGCATCCCTCTCGGTGGCTTCCAATGGGTCCCGCTTGTTGCAAGAATGGGACGTCGATATCAAAGCAGCGAAACCCGTCATTTTAAGGTCGCTCATTATGCACGATTGGGCGACCGGTGAAGTCACGAACACTTATGACCTGGGAGACTACCGCGCAAAATTCGGCACCGATTATAACAATTTCCACCGAATCGATCTGCACAATCTGCTCAAACAAACCGCAGTGCAAGAAGCTGGTAAAGGAAGACCGTGCAAGCTTGAAATTTGGCACAAAGCAATCGAAGTTGATCCCGAGACCGGTGTGATTGTCTTTGAGAACGGGAAGAAGGCTACCGCCGACGTGATCATCGCGGCCGACGGTATTCGATCACTCATACGGCCGCAGCTCGGCGTCACTCCGAAGTTTGTCGCCTCAACGTCTTGTTGTTATCGCTGCACCATACGTGCGGATCGATTGCGAGAACTCGGCCTCGAAGAATATCTGAACAACAATGCGATCGAATTCTGGGGAGGATATGGCATTAACAAAATTGTCTTGTCCGCATGTTCGGACAACAATGTCGTTTCCTGCTACTGCTTCTACCCGGCCGAGCTCAACGATATACGGGAAGATGGTTGGAATTTATCGTCCACACCAGAAAATTTGGTCGCAACATTTCCGGGGCTGGATCCTAAATTGCACCAACTTTTCATGAACGCCGAGGACATCAAGATGTGGCGGCTGTACAATCACGAGCCATATCCGCGATGGGTTGTCGGTAACTGTGCGTTATTGGGCGATGCAGCTCATCCCATGGTGCCGGATCAGAGTCAAGGAGCATGCATGGCGATCGAGGATGCTGGTGCGTTGGGAATAATCTTCAGTTCCAACTATAGCCACTTCAGCGTGCCGGACAAACTCAAGTTGTACGAGTTGGTCCGCAAAGAGCGTGCCACCCGAGTGCAGTCGGCGAGTGCTCGTGCCCGAACCGACCTCAGTGAAAGGATCGGATGGAGCAGCTCCAAGGATCGACCGGGAAAGCTGACAATTGAAGAAATATGCGGGTATAATATGCACGAGCATGTTGCGCAGCTGGCCGATCATCTTCATGAATGATTGTGTAATTTAAATCGACACTTTCAAGCGATATTTGTGACTGAATGGTTGCCGTGGCGTTGGGGGATTCGATCTGGCCGTGGAGCTGCTGGAAAATGGCCATGATTTTGTTTTAGACGAGAGCAAGCCCGGGAATCTCGAAGTACCGTATAGCAGCCCAGTTGACGTCCTTATCAGCTCGTCCGTATGAATCGCGCTGCTTCCAGACTCGCTGAACCAATTCGTGGGCCGTATAGATGTAACGGAATCCCAGCGTCCTTTCCATGATCAAAAATCTATCTCTAATAATCAGTCTTTCGGATTGGGTGTCGCAACTGCTTCCCGCCATAACGAGGGGAAATACGAGACTGCTCTCCAGAGGACTGCCATAGCGTATTTCCTGGATGGCGTCAAGGATATGAGTGACACACTGCTTCACCTTGCCGTGCTCCAAGGAATACCCGTTCACCACCTGGTGCAAGCGGAGCTGTAATGCCTGTTCGAACGCAGTGGCCGCATAATGTGCAGCGGTGTCTTGAGAGGAGCCAGGCCAATGCGATGGTGGTTCATCTAGCCTATGACTATGAGCCCATTGCTCTAGTTCCTTTTGTAGGCTTGTGGCAGAGGCGCGAAACATATTTTCAAACACAGGGTCATCGCGGAATTTGCGTTGATAAGCCAGACCATTGATTTTGTCCACGAAATGAAACAGTGACTTTGGAACACCATAAAGTGCTTCTTCATCATCCACATTGTACCGGGGAGAAGATGCATTCGAGGTCCCGTCCCTTTCGGGCTCATCTTTGGGCACTTCCAGTAATGGGGGGTGGCAGGTGGATATCGTCGTTGCAGAATCAAGATAATGGTAGAGCTGGCGATAAAATGTCCTGAATTCGGTCCGCTGCGACCAGCCGGATTTTCGCTCGAAAGCCGAGAGAAGACGGCGAGCACCGTCGAGGTGGAATTTCCAGTGCGATGACGTACCGTCAAACAATTCAATCATGCAAAGCAAGAGAGTGGCGGAGAGTGCTGCATCAGCGGAATCGTTTTCGATGTGAGGCAATAGCTTCGCGAGTGACTGCAAGGCTGCCAGAGAAGCGTTAGCACGGAAGTGGTGAGTAGAGATTTATTCCGGAGCTTTTACCATTTGTCTGATGTATGGTGCCCCGTTTCCACACAGTCGGTTGTAATTTCTTCCAATGATTGGCACTGAGAGCGAGCACGGCATCCATCACCAGCTGATTTGAGAATGCCATGGGAAGAACCTTTGAAAGATAAGGATTGGATCGATGATCGTCACGTCGTGACAGCACTCCCGCTACCACTCTCATGTAGTGGTTGAGGAGGGACTTGTCTTCATCTGTTGCGATGTCTGGTGCCGTCGAGAGCATCAACAGCGACAGGCCCGGATTGGGCGAGGGCGTGATTCCAGAGTAATCGGCCATTTGAGCCTGGGACGTGATCGGCCACCAGTCGGTCCAGTCGCCCCAACTGCTAGTGTCGGCCGTTTCGTCGAGAAAGGGGAGATCAAAATCGAGACTGCCATCGTTCGGGGTGTGAGCATCCAAAGAAATTTCTGTTCTTCTTCCCGCAGAGTTGCCAGTGGTGATTGATTGGGAAGGATTCGAGTGGCGCCGCACTTCAGACGCTTGGGTGGTGAGATAATTGCATTCGAGGCAGAGTCTTCGGCAATCCGAGCATTTGGGCCGCAATTCATCACATTTTCTTTTCCGTTTCTTACAGGTCAGACACCCAGCGTGAGTTCTGGTGATTTTAACTGGCTTCAAGGAGAGGCTGCCTCCGTCGGCCGCGCGGGTTCCATTGAGATTGGGTTCGCAGGCAACGTCTAGACGTTTACAGCGAGAGCAAGGCGAGCTTCCGTCACATGCCTGTTTGATTTTGGCACACCGAGAACACACAGTGCGCCGGTTCATCTGGGAATCCATTCGAGCGATGAGAGGGGTAGTGATCTTCTGCGACAAGACATATTCGGACTTGCAAAGGTTGAAGTTGGATGATAGAAGGAATCAGCTCAAAAAGAAAGGACGATAGTCTGAAGTCTGGACTCGGATCTGTCGTCCTCATTATCAGTAACACGTTGGATTGGTGCTCTTATCTCGAACATTGTGCTAAGTATTCATCCGCGCGACGCGATCCGAAATTGCGGGGAAGACATCGTGTTACAAAGCTCCAATTGGATACCTGTGCTGAGGACCATACATCGAGAAGGAGAGGGAATCAACTAGTGGGGAGACGGTGGGAAAGACTTCATGTTCATTTGTATGTGGACACCCTGTTACCCTACTATCACAAAATAGAATCGCCAGCACTATACCCCCTCGTGCGCCACGCGTATCTCTTTGGATGTCATGTCGATAAACTGTGAGGCTTGCCAGAGAGCACCATCCATATGCATGAAAGGGTGTGGCACTCCCGGGAATCGCTTCAGCACGACCTCAACACCATTCTCGACGAGCTTCATAGCGTAGGCTTCGCCTTCATCCCTCAGAGGATCCGCACCGGCCGTGTAAATAACGGTCCTCGGTAATTCCTTGAAGTTGGGAGCATCGAGCAGGTTTTTCACCCAGCCAATTCGTTCACGTTGCTTCTTCTCGATGGCGGGATCAGTTGACAAGGAGCTCCACTTGAGCTTGTCGAACCAGGCCAGTCGTGCCCAGTTCAACGTAGGAGCAAATTGATTCTCTTGCATCGACTTGAAGGGTGACTCGGAAGGTGATGAGTACGTCGAGAGGTCATCGATTGTTGGTGTGCCGGTAGCCACTAGTTTCACGGGAATCTTTGCATCCCGCGCCCAATGTGCACATACGAGGGCAATATTGGCTCCTGCGGATACCCCGCCCAATGAAATGCTCGGCTTGATATTGAATCTTTCCGCTCCGTGCTCGAAGATATACTTAACGGCTGCGAATGAATCTTCAATGCCGGTGGGGAAAGGATTTTCTGGCACAAGGCGATAGGCGACATCAATAACAACAACATTTGCCTTGTGGCAGATATGTCTGCAGATGTGCGATTCCGTGTCTAAATCCCCCAATCCCCATCCCCCACCATGGAAATCGACGTGTCCGGGCCACGGTCCTGGTGAAGAAGGCTCATATATACGTATATCTAGTTCAACGCCCCCATCCACTGGGATTTTGGAGTCGTATATGCGTCCGACATCTGGAGCTGGTCCGGTGCCATATGAATAAAGGACCGAGTACTTGGATCGAAGGAAGGCAAGATCAATGGGCTTGTTAGGGATGTTCGCAACATGTTCATTGTAGAGGTCGACGAAGGTCGGGTCGAGACGGTCTAGCATGTCAGGATGAATGGGATTGAGAGCCTCATGATGGCTACTGGGCTGAGAAACGGTCGCAGGCATCTTGTGCCAGAGGAGGAGACGCAAATTGAGTAAGACACTGGTGTCAATAACTACTGGAATTCCTATCAATCAAGATCTTACCAGCTCCAGCTCATCTCTTGATTCTAGAATTTGTAGTATCATAGGTCGACATCACAACGACACGGCCGTTGGAGAATTTGTTAACCACAGCTCGTCAAACACTTTTGGTGCATCTTTCGGGAGAGGCGGCGGAGACCTGGAGGATAGAGAGGCGAAATGAATGTTTTCCGACGGCTGCAGCTCTAGCGTGATACAGTATTTCGGATCTGGGGCCGACAGAGGTCGTGCATCTCCGACAAAGATTGGCCTGAATCAATATGGACTATCGCTTCAAAGATTTCGTCTGATATAGCTGCGTTAGATATCGGCTGCGGCAGAGCCTTCGCAAAGTGGAATGTAGGCCACCGCGGCTCTCGCGAGGCCGTGTTCCTGGCTTTATGATTGAATCGACCTCGCCGCCATGCGAATGTCATTCAACATACAAAGTCCTGACTGGGTCGCTGAAAAGCAATCTCTGCGTCAATATTTTGATTTCATCACCCAATTTCATCACACGGGTATTCCAAAATGGCCCAACGACAGGAAGTGATAATCGTTGGCGCCGGTGTTGTCGGCCTGACTCTAGCCCATGGCCTCAAAAGGGTGCGTCAAAAATCACTTGCTCGTTCTGAAGGGTTCCTAGATCTAATGCATCATCAGGAAGGGATCCCGTTTCGGATTTTTGAACGCGATGAGAGTGTATCAACGAGAGGACAAGGCTGGGCAATCACAGTTCACTGGGCGCTGCCTTACCTGGAGGAATTGATTGGACCAGAAGTTCTGGAAGACGTGAATGCTGTTCAAGTTGATCCGGCTATTGGGCGCAATGACAGTGGCAATTTCCTTTTCCTCAACCTTTCAAATTGCGAAACGAAGTTCCGGATCCCGCCATCTGACCGACGCAGAGTGAATCGAGAGAAATTACGAGCGGTTTTGCTGAAGGGAGTCCACGAGCATGTCCGATGGTCACAACGGCTGATCAGGGTGGAACCTGGTGATGGTGGTCAGGGTGTGAGAGCAGTATTTGAAGACGGCACCGCGGCCTCGGGGACTTTGTTGGTAGGGGCGGAGGGCAGCAATTCGACGGTCCGCAAGTTCCTGTGTCCAGACAACTACCGCAACAATCAACTCCCGATTCGATTCGTCGGCTCTGGTGTCGACATGACCAAAGACCAGGTGCAACCGCTACGGTCTCTAGATCCTTTACTTTTCCAGGGCTGTCACCCAGATACTTCATGTTTCATGTGGGTTTCCATGCTGGAGGTCCCCGAGATCAACGGCACAGCAGGCACGGCGAACGAACGGTATCGTGTTCAAATCAATCTCTCCTGGCCAGTGAAAGGCCCCGAGGATGAGGTCAAATCCAACAACACGGACAGACTCCGAGACATGAAAAAGCGGGCCGCAGTTTTTGCCCCCGTACTAAAAGATGCCATTGAGTCCATACCTTCGGACGCGGCTGTGCTCGAGATCAAACTCGCCGATTGGCCATGCCTGGACTGGGACAATCGTCAAGGCCAAGTAACGTTGATTGGGGACGCTGCTCATGCGATGACAATGTATCGAGGCGAGGCGGCGAATCATGGCATGCTTGACGCCTATCATCTCTGCCAGGCTTTGAAATCTATATACAAGGAGGGAAAATCACAGCAAGAAGCTATGGACAAATTCGAGGAAGAAATGAGAACGAGGACTAGTTGGGCGGTCCAGATGAGTCGACAAGCATGCTTTGATGCGCATGACTGGAGTAAGCTAGACGAGAACTCGGCTGTCTTGACGAAGAGGTCAATGTCTGCCAAATAACGAGCATGAATTGGGAATCCGTCGAGCCTTTCCCCTTTGGCGAAATGTTTCCGTCCGCACCCTTAACCCCCGTTAAAGTGTGAAAAGGCTCTTCTGTTCTATCAAAGGATTCCAGGGAAGGGCTTAACCAAATATATTAGGCAGCTGGGGATGCCTATACTAGCCCTGATCTTTTGTCTTCCTGCCCCAGCATTCTTGCTCAAACTATTTGACTTGTCATGTCATTGCTGTGCCGTTCATTGCTTGGGGCCAACAAGCGGCGTTTTGAACTTTCCCATCCCTTCAGCCGCTTGGCAAATTCGATTGAACTTCTCATCAAACTTCACCACCGTCCCCGTTAGCAGACTCTCCTGCAGTGCCCACCCGATCTTGAGACCTTTAAGTCCAATATCTAGGCCGACAGGGGTGGGCTTTTCATCTAGGATGCAGTCAACAAATTCATTTGCCTCCAAAGCGAATGCATCCGTAAATCTTTCCCAATACTCCGGCTCAACTTTGTGACCCCAGCCACTCTTATTCGCATATACAACCTTGTCCACCGCGGGGACGAGGTTGATGCTCATCTTTCCCTCGGTACCCACGATCTCCGTGGCGACGTCGTGCCCGTGTGCCTGAGTCCGCGAGCAGTAAAAGTATGCCATATTACCTCCGCACCCCGACACCGTTATCAACGTCTTGCAAATCTCGAAGCTCGGGGTGGTGTGCAATTGTGCCGATTGCAAAGCACGACTTGGGAACCAGATCCTCGCCCATGAAGTACAGAGATAGATCAATATCGTGGATTGCGGCATCCACAAACATGCCTCCGTTAAGTGCAGCGTACTTGACAAAGAAACCCGTATTATCAATTAGGTCACAAGTCGTGCTCCGGACCATGAATGGTCTTCCCACAGCAGAAGTGAGCTCTTCTTTCACGGTTCGTTACGAGGCATCAAAACGACGAGAATAGCCGGCCATGACTTTGAGGTCGGGGCGAGCTTCGGCAACGGAGACCACGTGCTCAGCCTGTGGTATGGAAAAGCTAGTCGCGTGAGCTGCAGCACGCGAAAGCCGGATGGACTGAAAGCGGACATGACGGGGACGATTTGGAGCAAAATACGGACGTACCTCTTCAATATCGGTGCTTAGCGGCTTTTCACAGAGGACATGCAATCTCTTTTGGATGGCCTTCAGAGTCTGTTGTGCATGGACGTTGGCTCTGGACGAGATCCAGACAGCTTCGAGTCCGGGATGCTCAACCATGGCATCGTAGGAGTCATACAAGGTGATATTGGTGTCTTTGTACGCGTCCCGTGCCCATTCCAGCTCTGGCTCCCATGTACTGCATACGGCGACGACGTTTGCGCGAGCCACTCGTGTGGACAGCGTCAGGACGTGTCGTTTTCTCATGCGACCAAGGCCGGCAACTGCAATGTTGAGCTTCTTGCCCATCTTGGGCGGGAGGGTCGTTATATTGAAAAGTGTCGACATCGCGTCGTCGTGAAAATCCCTCACAGTGACGATCTTTTTCGAGCGTAGGCTTGACTTCGAAGGCGACAAGTCGAACCGGTGAATGTCGCGATGCTCTTATAGCACACGTGTTTTAACCCCCATAACAGGATGTCGGACCGTCCCCGATCTAGAACAGAAAAGGCCTTGGACCGGAACAGCGCAACATCGAGTAAATTCCCGCCGGCAATTTTCCCTTTGAAAATACCTCAAAACTTCCCCTTTTGGACCAAGCCCCCAAGCCGGCAATCTAAGATTCACAAGCGACACCTAAGCGATATCCACCTATTCAACTCAGAACGGGCAGACTATCCCCATGGATGCATATATCTGGTCGGTAACTGTAGAACGGTATGAGGGTTTATATATCGATTCGATGAAGCCGGCGGGCACATCATACAGTTTGAGGAACCTACCGACCTTATCACTATGGCCGACACCGTACCCACCATACGCTGGGGCATTGTAGGTAAGCCGGCGATCCTTCAGCATAACCGAGCTATATGTTCTCTGATCTTCTCCAGCTACTGGCCTGGTGTCATCTTGGTTCGTTGATGACCTCCTCCTCGACCGGCCGGACGCCAAAGCCAAGCATGTCATTCAATGCATTGGCGGGTCCTCCATAGAAAAGTGCAAGGATTTTGCCGCCAAACATTGCTCCAAGGCATCACCAACGTTGTACGCTTCATATGAAGAAGTCTACGCAGACAAGAACGTCGATTGCGTCTACATTGGGACTCCGCACGCGTTCCATAAGAAAAACTGCCTCGATGCTATCGCCGCGGGGAAAAACGTCCTGTGCGAAAAGGCGTTCACATTGAATGCTCGAGAAGCCCGTGAGGTGGTTGATGCGGCGAAGAAGAAGGGCGTGTATCTACATGAGGCAATGTGGTTACGCCATCGACCGCTCGTCGCAAAACTACGAAAATTGCTGCACGAGGAAAAGGCGATAGGCGACGTGTACCGTATGTGGGTCGACTTCGGGCAGGAGGTAAACTTGGAAGTTCTGCCGGAAGCGTCGAGGTACAAGGACCTTCGACTCGGCGCTGGCTGCTTTCTCGATATGGGCATCTACTCCCTTACCTGGGCAGTCCTAACCCTAGACCCCGGCGCGCCGCACCGATCGGAAAGACCTTCGGTGCTCGCAGTCCAAACTCACCAGGGCGGGATTGATATCACCACCAGTATGCTTTTACAATACCCTTCGACGGGGCGACATGGCATTGTGACCTGCTCAACGGTGACAAATGGGGACCCTGATATTATCTGTCGGGTCGAGGGCACCCAAGGCTTTGTCGAAGTCGAAGGCCAAGTTGGGTCTATGCCTCTTTCATTCACCGTCTACCCTAAAAGAGAAGGGAATTCCAGCCTTGGTACAGTGAAGAAACCTCAAGGAAAGAGATACGACTTCCCTAGAATCGGCCTTGGATTTGTCTATGAGGCAGACGATACCGCTCTCGACATCGCCGCAGGGAGAAAGGAAAGCATGATTATGCCATTAGCCGAGTCGGTGCGCGTGATGGAGATAATGGACTTGGCGCGAGAGCAAGGTGGGACAAGATACCCGCAAGATGATGAATAGAGTGCTCAACTGCAGGACCGTGGCTAGGGAAGCATTTGACACGGCAGTATACCAGATCACAAGTTCTCAAGCTGAGAAAGAGAGCTCGAGGAGGCGGGAAAGGGCTTGTTACCTCCTTCGTCGTTGATCTTTCCAGGGTCACGGGCAACTAGAGTGAAAGTGACTTGCTAAGAATGTTCTTGAATTCCTGTACTCTTCTGCTTTAAAGCAGTGCTACAAATTCATTAGTCTCGTCAAGTTCAACACACATTCAAAATTCCGTTGGCAGCGAACCTTGGGTAGGTCAAAAAGTGTTTCAGTTTCGAAGGGCTAACTGCTTGAGCATTGTGTATTCTCCCTTGGGGTTGGCAGCATCTAGATTGCAGATATGTCAGGAAGATCCGGCGGTAAAGCGCTGCAGGAAAGTCTGAGAAAGCTTCAAGGACTTCCTAACAAGCGGGATGCTGACCTCAAATAATTGTCATACAGGCTTGTCGCCTGTTGACCAGCCTCGCCAACAAACCCCAGCTTTACGAACGGGATTTACTAATTAGTACACCACTCTTACTAGTCCGTACACAATCCTTATTCCGTACATCAACCTTCAGTCCGTGCACTCGATATGTCCAAAACCTCTGTGCCTTGATCTAATTGGTCAATTTGCAGGGATACTCTCAATGGAAGGCGGGGGCTCGCTTGGAGCTGTATCGGAAGACGCATCGTTGTCAATCTCGGGCGTGACTGGATGAAAGTCTGTGGACTGTGCTAAGGCACCAAACTGAGTTCTGTAGGTGAGAAAAGTACTGAAAGGTACTTAATCTTGCCGGGGCCCCCGGGGAGTTGTTGGGGGATTGAGGCTTGGGTGTGATTGAGGTGCTCGATAGCGGCAGGAATGTATGTTGAGCAAAAGACGTGTCGTCAACATGATTGGAAGACACCCCGACTAGCTGAAACTACCTTGCTGGGAGACCTCTACAGCAACAGCCTTGTCAATGAGTGTACGGAATAAGGATTTACGAGGCTCTGGGAAAGGGGTGGTACGGAATAGTGATATACGGCTAAAAAGGGGTTAGCGTGAGTGGACAGGATAAGAATGGAAGGTTTCCCGGATATACAGCCTCGCTGGCAAGGCTGGATCACGTGACGTGCTCTGACGCTCACCATGGAGCAAGTATGTATCTCAGGTCTGAAAATCCAATCCGCATTGAGAGAGGCGTAGTCAACTTTGTTATTATTACAAGTTTTACCATCTTAGGAACAGTCTTGTTCACGTACATCGACTCCCTCTGTACAGTGATCTGCTTACCACACTTATCCCGCTTATCAGCAAACCCTTGCGGGACTCGAACACCTAGTGCGGACGATCCATAACACCCAAGTTCTCGGGCTAGCTCCGGAAGCAAGGTGGATCGTCGAAGCTATACAATTTGTTCGGCGTCTGAGCCAACGGGCATGAATGACAGATATTTCATCAGCTAGTCCAACCTTGGGTCAGCTTCGCCACCAAATTCTCAGTAGGGTAAGCGAGATCCTCCTCAATCCTCCTCAGGAACCAAACAAGTGCCTCCCGATGTTTATCGTCCTCGAAGTATTCCCCACACAACATGACTGCTGCGCAAGCGTTAAGATGGATAGGCGGTGCCTGCTTGTTACTCAGTGCGATGCCACAGAGCTTCATACAAGCGGTCTTCGATATCGACATCACTTCTCGTTGACTAGCTAGGTACCCACTACCGAACTTCGGTCGTTCTGGGTCAAAGCGGCCAGCAATATTTTGGTAAGTTCGATGTATGTAGCAGCTGTTACATGACAGGTGTCCAAGTACCATATCTCTGGAAGACGTTGTCCACGGTCGGGATCGCCTCCCTGGAAATAAATGGGATGGAATGAGCTTGATAGTGAGAACTCCAGACATGTTGCTTGACTTTTTAGCTTGTGCCATCTGTCGTGATACATGCCGGTGTTTGGCAGCAAAGGATAACAATACTCAAGGACGTCTGCATGGAAAATGACAATGCGATCTGCCCAAACCGCGTCGCTTGTTGGCGAAAGGTTTCGGAACGAATCGAACTTTGAGAGCGTGAAGGTGAAAGCTCGCTGACTCATGAAAGAAGCATGAATCTCTTGTCGCAGTGCGATCCAAAAGCAGGCTTCCCGAAGTCCCTCTGCCTCGGAACCTTGTGAAGTTGGAATTGCCGGAAGAACTTGTTGGTTACTAGTGGAGTATACGCCATGCATACTAGCTTCAAGGTGGGTTTTCTCGCCTACGACATCGGATGCCGCTGTAAGAGGTTCGAAATCTTTGGACACCAGGGCCTCATAGGGCTGTGGCGGGCTGTGCGGCACCGCGGCGGCGAGAGGGGTCTGTGCTTCCATGAAAGCGCCTGTGACTCGAAGAAACAGCTCTTTATCAGTCCTGCCCTCGTGGCACCGAGTATCCATTTCCTCGTCGGTCCGAAGAATGATGGATGCGGCCAGCAGGTCGACATTCTGAATTTGCTCAGGATCTATACTGCATCTCAGGAGGTCTCGAATGCATTCATTCTGGTATTCTAACGCGGTGTCGAGTCCCATGTGGGGCAACGCGACCCCGTTCCACTCAAGGACACCATTAACATTTTTATGCTTCTGCAAGCGTACAAGATGCCTGGCGGATGCTGTGCAAATGGTATTGAGAAAGCGTCGGTGGTGTCCGAGCTCTTCGAGGGACTATCTGCCCAAAGTGTCTCTGAGGATCGCAGATGTCGAACCAGAGGGAAAGCTCTTGGACGAAATATCTCAGGAGGATTGCTCGATCTCGGGGGAAGGAAGTTCGGGTCAGGTCGTTCGCTGGTCGAGGCTTGTCGTACATAGTCAGCTGCGCATCAATTGAATCTTCGAACATGTTTTCTGTCCCTGGCCCACGTACCATCCAACCGGGAGGCCTCGGGTTGATGTCGTCAGGCGAAGTCTCGTCGTGCATAGGCGAGTGCAAACTCGAACTGGACCATTGATCCATTGGCGGGAAATGTGCTTGCCTCCTATTTTCTTGTTCGCTCTGTAAAGCGCGTTTGCCAGTTATATCGCGGGCTGGCAGGCTACCGATTGATATGGTCCTGGCGTCCGTCAATGATAGAAAGCCGTCGTATGGTGCTTCCTGGGAGTCTGGACCGCCCTCAGTTTCCAAGACATCATCACCACCGTCTGCAGCACCAATCTCTGCCTCATCAGTCTCGTCGTCGATATTACCATAGTTTGCGACGATCAGCTTCGTCTCATCCACGTATTTGAGAGCTCCTGGAGCAGATCTGTCAACGAACTGTCATGAAGGCCCCAATTCTATTCTCCGTGGGGCTCACCATTCGTGTTCACCTATGGTTGGTCTTTATGAAAGCGGATTTGGGCATCACATTTGGGCATCTTTCGAAATCTTATCTTGGGGTACACGCGATCACATATGATTCCACTGTTCTGACAACGGCGACAAATGGTTGGGTCATAATCACCTTCAAATCTCAGATCCAACACGGAGAGGTAGCGAGTGATCTCTGCTTACATTTCAAGTGCCTTTTCTGTTCATGTTGTCAATCTTTGATGATCATACGTGAGCGATCAAGAAACTTATCTGCACCGAATGCAGGGCCTCATTTTATGCCGTTTCCATTCTCAAAGCGGCTCAGGGTCTCGCTGCTTCGTCTATATCGCGATTGGCTACAAAATATGGTTGCAATTTTGAAGCATCTGCGCGCCGACTGCAGCAAGACACGTCTGCGCATCAACCCCCTCATCTAGGCGACAACGGCGAATAGAGTCGTTCATTGGGCAGAGGTGCTGCCTGGTCTCCAATTGGATGGGTTTCAGTTAGGGAACTATCGCACTCTTCAGATTTCTGTCTTCATGCAAGTCAGTATGGATTGGACGAGATGTGGCAGCTTTTGCAACCAGATACGTCAAGATAATAACTGATCTCTTCTGTTACAGTGCCGCGGTGCAACCATTGTTCGGCCAATTGACAAACATACTTGGGCACAGATGGCTGACCATGGCGATCGTCGCGTTCTTCGTCTTTGGCAGTGGACTGGCTGGTGCAACCCTCATTGCCGGACGCGCGATCTAGGGCATTGGTAGCGGCGCCATCAGTATGATTATCGACGTTATCGTTTCCGATATAGTGCCATTGCGAGAACGAGGTAATTACATTGCCATCGTTCTTTCCGCGTCTTTCATCGGGATGGCCATCGGCCTCTGGTTGGAGGAGCGATTGTCGACCGTACAACTTGGGGATGAGTACGTATCTGCACTGTCAAAGACTCCGACTGCAACATCAACACTGACAAATACTCGCCAAAGTGTTCTATCTCAATTTGCCTGTTGACGATATCGCCATGGGTATGGTATTTGCCTTTCTTCAGGTCAAGTAAGACAAGGAGATGCCGTTCGTCCAAATGATGAAACGCATTGATTACGTCGGCAACGTGCTTCTGATCGGCTCGACTGTGTCGGGTTTATATGCACTCACACACGGCGGCGCAAAATACGACTGGCTGACTAGAGTATGATTTCACACTTGTCATTGGCTTGGTGGAACTGGGCATTTTTAAGGTCTACGAAACGACCTCATGGGTCAACGAGCCAACTCGTCCCTCCCCTGCAATTGCCTTTACGGTCACATTGCTGAATTCGGCACTCCTTTACTGGATGTTGTTCTTCTTACCAGTCTATTTCCCGGCGGTGTTGCTATCTTCACCGACCCCAAGCGGTGTCTATCTTATCCCAATCATCGTCATCGCTGTGTCTACCGCCATTGTTGCCGTCCTTTTTCTCACGAAAGTCGACAGATACAAACCCTTCCATACCTTTGACTTTGCAGTTTCTACACTTGGTCTTGGTCTGATGACACTCCTGGACGAGAACAGCAACATTGCCACATGGGTAATCATTTCGATGGTCGCGGGCAGAGGAGAAGCTGGATTCTCAACACATTTCTATCAGCAGCGCAAGCATGCCTACCAGAGAGCGACCAAGCTGCCACGACTGCAGCGTGGTCCTTTACACGATCATTCGGAGCCATCGGGGACATCTCCATTCCTGCAGCTATCTTTAACAATCGATTCAAACAGCTCTCCTACCGTATCACCGACCCAGCTGTGCAGGACATACTATCTCATGGTCGAGCGTATCAGTATGCTTCCAGCCACTTCGTCAAGTCTTTTGGAGACCCAATCACTGAAGACATTGATCAGAGTATATTCGGACGCTCTGAAGCGAGTGTGGGAGATCTCGATTGTGTTTGCCGGGGTGGCCTTCACACTCTCATTTTTTGAGAAGGAAATTACGCTAAGAACAGACTGGAGACAGAACATGGCATGGAGGAGAGCAAGGATAAGCAACACACGAAGGTAAAAGGCCTATTCTTGTCAAGAGAAGACTAAAATATCGTATTTTGCAAGACTGATGGACATAAATGGGTCAACTTGTATCCTGTAGGACTATATTGCTCCTCAAAAATCCGGTGCGCATCAGCGAATGCAGTTTTGAAGGTTTTCAGATTCGATCTTCTCTGTAGTGTCGATACAACAAAACTCGAAATAAAGTTTTGATGTTCCGAACGAGAGTGCATACGGCTGAAAGTGCCTGCTGGATTCAATCAAGCAGGTCACGAAAGCATGGGCATACCACACAAAGAATTGAATCAACTGCATGCATGAATTTGTAGTATTGTGCAGTACTATATTCATTTGCCTCTTCCCCCCCGGGGAAGGTCTTCATCTGACTTTTTCGTTCACTTTTGCTCTTCAATTGCTTTGAAGTCATTCCCTAGCTGTGACGCATCCGTTTGGGGACTCCAGGGGCGTCGTACGGCTCCAGAGTGGCAGTTGTCAAATATTTGGCTGGTCCAGAATGTTTTGACAGTGGTGGAGGACTTTTTGTCGTTCGCCGAAGCCACTTTAACCCTCCCACTAGATGAAACGAACAAGGAATGGGAGGTAGAGCAGATTAGAGAGGCGGCCATATTGGGACCACCAGGATCCCAAATAGAAGAGTGAGGGGAAGGAAGAAAGGGCCGCCAAGCGGGGAGGGGCTTAGTCATAAGGGAACACGCGCGACAGGTTTTCGCCCGCAAGTACGGATACCCAGGCGGTTTGGCTCGGACCTTCTCGAATTTGAAACCGGACTCGAACACACAACGATTGACAACATGGCTGACGAGGATCGTCCGGAAGAAGCCAGTCGAGCAGGCTTTCCTCAGTCACCGTCCTCGTTCGATACCGATCCGCGAGTTTCCTTCTCCAAATTAAACAACAGATTCATTCTCGAGACCGAGGAGGGCAACGAGTTCGAATGGGACACTGCTCTGAAACGATGGATTCCAGTGGTAGGCAATGCAACACATGACCTCCAAACATCCTTAACAGAGATGTCGCCTCCTCCACCTTTTGTTACTCTTGAGCCAAGGTGTCTCGAGTAAGGACAGATTCTAACGCCGTGGATGTTGTTTCATTGTGTAGCTGGACCAGTCGCTGTTGGATCAACAAGGCGAAATCTACAAGGTAGAAGGTGTCGATGAGAATGTTCCAACTGTGCCGAGGAAGAAGAGGAAACAAGCCAATGGCGACGAGGTGAGTTTGAAAGACTACAGCATGCACCAGATCAATTCTAAAGCTAGCTACAGTCTGGTCAAAAACCTAAGAAACCTCGTGTCAATACCGCGGTGTATGTGACGTCGATCCCTCTCGATGCCGATCAAGACGAAATACAACATGTCTTCTCCAAGTGTGGCGTAATTGCTGAAGAGATAGATTCGGGCCATCCAAGAATAAAGATGTACGAAGACGATAGCGGCAAATTCAAGGGCGATGCGCTGGTGATATACTTCCGACCTGAATCGGTCAATTTGGCAATCCAGATGCTCGACGATACAGAATTTCGGCTAGGCACGGAAGGCCCCATGGGGAACATGAGAGTTCAAGCTGCAGATTTCTCATACAAGAATCAGAATCAGAATCAGCAGGACGCGCCAGTGACGAAAAGCAAGAAAGAGCAGAAGAAGATCATCAAGAGGACACAAAAATTGATGGGGTAAGCCCGGCGCTGGGTTTCTGAGTATTCAAGCTGATATGTTGCAGCAAATTGACGGACTGGGACGATGACGACCCTCAAGCCATTCAGGAGACCAGCTCGAAGTGGGACAAAGTCGTTATCTTGAAACATATGTTCACACTCGAGGAGTTGGAGGCAAGTGACTATCTTCCGACCTCAGGATACGGTCTGACTTGAAATAGAAGGACCCTTCAGCGATGCTCGAGATCAAAGAGGATATCAGAGAAGAATGTGCAAAGCTAGGGCAAGTCACCAATGTTGTACTCTTTGACAAGGAGGAAGATGGCGTTGCAAGCGTGCGTTTTTCCAATGCTGAGGCAGCCATTGCTTGTGTCACAGTATGTTCTCCCTTCAGCACCGGTCCTCATGATTTAGGAGTTAATATGTACACAGCTCATGAACGGAAGATGGTTCGACGAAAGACAACTCGAAGCATACATTGCTACTGGCAAAGAGAGGTTCAAGAAGTCGAGTGACAAGAAGATCGGGCTGGATGACGAGGACGAAGAAGAGGAAGAAGGCGAGCGATTGGATAAATTTGGCTCGTGGCTTGAGCAGGACGGATGAGTTGACGATAATTGATAGTTTGGAATACCCTGGATTGACTGACAACTATGTTTGACTGCGGCCTCCCACAGATGGCGTATGGCTAGGACGGGAGTTCGCCTATAAGGAAAATTATGCTCTTGCATGAGCTGGCATTGAAAAAAATTTTATTTTTCTCAATCCCCCCATGGCACTGCACTGGACTTTCTCCGCCAGTATGCAGGAACCGACTAACCGATAAGATAAGCTTGCCCACCGCTTCTGATCAGCGTAAAACACGGCCCACCCCATTGATGCACGATCGAGTCTGCAACTGGAAATTTTCTGCTTGCTTGGACATTTACCGGAGGTTTATATTCTAAGGTATCTCGATCTTCTCCCGAGTCCGCCGTCCATGTCTCTCACGTGCCTTCTAACGTGTACTTGACGTCGCCCTCATTAGACCGGAAGTCGCTCAGGAGGAAGGCTCTCAATCCATCTCCCACGGATGCACTCAATGACCAAGTCGGCTTTGAGCTGGCCTTCTACGCTCTCCAGTCCTCCATCCAGATCATTACCTCCTTAGCGAATCCCGGAATTCAATGAGACCTTCAAAGGCCGTGAACGACCTACTCGGCTATGCCACATAAAAAAGGCATCTCCGTCCACATCCACAAAGTCCAAACTCTGGTCCATGGGACGAGAATCTTGCACACTGCAGCAACGAGGCAGGCGACCCCAACACCTCACCATCCGGCGAAGTACGGTGTCGGCCGCATCGCCATTGTCGAGAACCGCGTTATCGATCTGAAATCCCGAGGCTGCTATGAGATTCCTGGTCTCACCACCGCCCGTAATGTTCATATCGACTTGGAAGGCTTGTCCCTCGACCGTGAAGTCCGTGCTCTTGCGGGATCAATTCGTTACCACTTCCTGGAGCCGAGTCCTATACAATGGCCTGTATCTCTCCCAAGCGGGGAATTCCTTGAAGCCAGCATCATGAAATCCCAAAAGAGTGTCAACGGCCAGGTCCGTCTGCGGCTGTACAAGGGCAATTGTATCATCCTTGGCCGCAGCAATCAGACCGGAAAGTTGTACGACGAGAGTGAGAGCAGCATGGATGAGATCGGAAACTTCGAGGCCAGCGAGACAGGGGGGTTCATCAAGGTCCAGGCTATCCGGTTGAAGAAGTCCGGATTGATGAAGGCGGTAAAACGTAAGAGATTGTAATAGCAAGCCAATAAAACTGGGATATCATAAACGTCAATGCGATGGCGGTGATGATCAGGTCAGCATTAATGCTGGACGGAGTATTCGAGTCTTAGAGATGCTCCTAGGTGAAAATAAAATGGAATTCCTCATGACTTCTAACGTGGCAACAACATTGCCAACATCCTTGTGTAAATGGTGAAACTCTCTCGAGCTTCAATAAAACTGTCGTGGATATGAAGTATGCAGGTCGCTCCGGATTATTTTTAATCCAATGGAGAAAGTAACCGGCCATTTTCCCGTTCTGCTCTGTGCAGAAACAGATCGCCAACAATACATGCAGCTTGTTACTTGAGCAGATTTAAAACTCCTGTGGCTGTTATGTATGGTAGAATGCTGCCCAAATAGAGGAGAAAGGCAGTCGGCTGCCAAATTCTAGCTGATTTTGTAGGAAGCAGGTCAACGGTGAAGGATTGATAAACATGTATATTGCTGCATTGCATGAGCTCGCGCCCTCCTTGTAGTACATCTCCATAACGCCGACCATGCTTTGGACGCTGGCGGTGTTGATCATTTGGACCAAGTTCGTTCGCCGACAAAAGCCCAAAGGCCCATAATATTCATTTACTGGAATGCCTCCTCTTCGCTCGAATTCGCTAGACTCAGATATGCCGTCCATGCAATGCCGACCGCGCTCACAAAGGGTATTTGAAACTGAAGAGGCATCACCCGGAAATTGAGAATTTGTACGGCAGGCCAAAGAATGTAGTTGGCTCTCAAAGTAGGAACGTAGACGTCCTGGAATTTCTTGATGATGTCCGGTCGGCCTCCGCCTTCGGCAACTGTCATGAAAGTAAAGAAGGCGGAAAGACCGATGGGGGCGAAAATGAGTTGATCCATTGCCACTCTTTTCAGCGCGGGCACAGTGCCACTTTTTGAAGTGATTGGAAACCATTTCGTGAGATGGGCGAACCACACAAACTGGATAGGGGCCATCAGGAAGCCATAGGCCATGAATCTCGTCAGGCGTTCAAAGTCAAAAGGCTGAGGGCCCGGGTATCTGGGAGAGAGTGTAGGAGAGAGTCTGGCAGGTTTCTCGTTGAGGTCCTCCAGTTCGACACCAGAAGAGATGAAGGACCTAGAATCAATACTGGTGCGCAGCATTGCCTGTCTCGCTCGGATAGCGGTTATTGACTGTGCTACGGTGTCTGCAATGCCGCCAAGGATCTGTTTTCCATCAGCTCGCTCCAACCGCAGGTAGTGTTTCACATACCGCATTGGTAATCATCGTAGTCAAGATGGGTTTCTGCCTGTAATATGAATTGAATTTGGCCAGGAGCCGTGCGGCCATGGCTATCTCGACGAGAAAAATGATTGTGTGTAGCAATGGCTGCGTGAAAACCAGTCAGCGAATGTTTCGGGAGACACAAAAGACGCCAGATCAGACTTTGGTTGGGGGCGAAGGTGCCGACGCACAATTCTGCCATAGATATAGCGACTGTTCAGCCAGGCCAGAGATTTCCGCCTTGACGTTTCCAACATGATGAAGAAGGGGAAGGAGGAAGAGAGGAGAATCTACGGTGTGAATAGGGATGAGGTCGAGGGGGACGAGGTAGATGCGGTGGGTGACGCCAGAGGCCAATTTTAGGCGCAGGAGACGCAGACAACGCGGGAGGCAATCGGAAGCCTCTTGTCGTGATGGAAAGAGTGGATGCGGTGGGAACAGGTGTATTCTATTGCAGTATTCGGCTACTCGATAATCGTTAAGGGTGGAAAGAAGTGTCTCGATATAATGAGTGAGTTGCGCAGGATGAAAAAGGGAGGTTGGTTAGGTGAAAAGGGTGGGAAAAGGCTGCGCTCGGCCTCTCAATCAGCCCCGCTGCACCTTGTTCCGGCCGACTTCAAGTTTTGTGCAGCGCATGACCGGCAACCGCCAGTCAGGATATGGCCCTGTAATTTGAGGCCTCAAATAGCATTGGTGGCTGCCTGGGCTAATCATGGTCACCGACTTCAAAGAGAATGTGGGTTATATAATTCCCTTTTTCTTGTTTGCAAGCGTACCTCTGTCGGGTCATTTCATCATGATAGACCCGGCTTACCACGCTTCGTCATGCCACTTTTGCATGCGGGCAGCAGGCCTCTGCCTGGTGATTTTTACTGATGAGAAACCCAGGAAATGCCAGGGCCACCACCAACCACTGTGTCCCTTTCATCCATTCCGTCACGGTCGAACAAGCACTTCGGCGTGAACAGGCGAGAAGGATGGACGGAGTATGCCAATGATCTGTTGTTTGGGAACTACGAACGCCGTAACCACCAGTAAGCTACGTCAGTTTTCACACCAGACTGTGCGCAGCAATTGCACCCCCACCAAATTCCTCGTCCCGATTCAACCCCTCCTACAGGTTTGTTTTCTTGTGCTGTATAAAAAGCTCAAACTGAGAAGATTCCCCCATCCTCCCCCTTCCGCGCCACGTTGTATCCTTCCTAGCATCTCAACATGTCTCTGTCAAACAAGCTTGCCATCACAGACGTTGACCTCAAGGACAAGCGCGTCTTGATCCGAGTATGTCCACCTATTCACTATTTTCCCCTTCTCAACTGATTTGGTGTCTCTAGGTTGACTTCAACGTTCCGCTGGATGCCGAAAAGAATGTGACGAACAACCAGAGGATAGTTGGAGCTCTCCCTACCATCAAATACGCCATCGACCATGGCGCCAAAACGGTCATCCTCATGTCGCATCTCGGCCGTCCTGATGGAAAGAAGAATCCGAAATACAGCCTGAAACCTGTGGTCCCGGAGCTCGAGAAGTTGCTTGGGAAGAGTGTCATCTTCACCGACGACTGCGTCGGACCCGAGGTTGCGGAGACGGTCAACAAAGCCAGTGGCGGTCAGGTCATTCTCCTCGAGAATCTGCGTTTCCATGCCGAAGAGGAGGGAAGCAGCAAAGATGCAGACGGTAACAAGGTCAAAGCAGACAAGGCCGAGGTGGCCAAATTCCGCAAGGAACTGACCGCTTTGGGAGATGTCTACATCAACGACGCTTTCGGAACAGCTCACCGTGCACACAGCTCCATGGTCGGCGTTGACCTGCCGCAAAAGGCCTCCGGTTTCTTGATGAAGAAGGAGCTGGACTACTTCGCTCAAGCACTCGAGAACCCCAAGAGACCATTCCTCGCCATTCTCGGTGGAGCCAAAGTATCAGACAAGATTCAGCTGATTGACAACCTGCTCGACAAGGTCGATAGCCTGATCATCTGTGGCGGCATGGCTTTCACCTTCAAGAAGACACTCGAGGGGGTCAAGATCGGCAACAGCTTGTTTGATCAGGCAGGCAGTGAAAAATGCGCGGAGCTCGTGGAAAAGGCCAAGAAGAACAATGTCCAGATTATCCTCCCCGTCGACTACATCACAGCAGATAAATTCGACAAGGACGCCGAGACCGGGACGGCAACCGATGCTCAGGGTATCCCTGATGGGTGGATGGGTCTGGATTGCGGTGAAGAGAGTATCAAGTTGTACAAGCAAGCCATCGACGAGGCCCAGACCATTCTGTGGAACGGACCTCCGGGTGTCTTTGAGTTTGAAAAGTTTGCCAATGGCACCAAGAAGACCATGGACGCCGCAGTTGCTGCAGCGCAAGGTGGGAAAATTGTCATCATTGGCGGAGGAGACACAGCCACTGTCGCAGCGAAGTACAAAGTCGAAGACAAATTGAGCCATGTGTCCACTGGCGGTGGCGCAAGCTTGGAACTGCTCGAGGGTAAGGATCTGCCTGGTGTGGTCGCCTTGTCCAGTAAGTAAATCAAAGCTCCTGGGATGATCAGACGGGCATCATCGATTCACGTCGAAGCGAGCGGTACTGCAAGGTCCAACCCATGATGGGAAATGATAAAGAAGCAGCGTTTTGGTGAATGGATAGTCATTCATGGGATGCTGAGGCATCTGATAGATGGAAATGCGCCCTATCTTTAATCTCGATTCTCTTGACAGATCCAAAAACGCCACGCAATGCCATAATTTGTATGATCGGGTGTAGAATCCTCGTTTATTTGGTTGCTTCGACCTTCTTCAACTCCTCCCTACCCAGCAAGTCAGCCATTTGGGCGATCACGAGACACCGTGTTTTTGGGAGCTTCCATACTTCAACTGTTTACCGAAGTCCTCGTTCTCATCGTCGTCGTCCCAGCTTTCCTCCCAAAGATGGGTGGTGCCGCCCGGTACTTCAGTGTCTTCTTGCGCCCAGTCTGTTTATGCCATGTCAGCCATGCCGAAGTCATCCCTTCATCACACTGAATTGCAAGGAACTCCTCTTGCGAATTTGCGCCGCATACCTTCAACAGGGAAATCCTCAAACTCGTCGTCCTCCTCTAGCATCGCCGGCGGTTGGTTTGACGCGGGTTTTGATGTCTGAGATGGGTCCGCCTCGGTTTTCTGAGGAGGTTGCATTTTCGCCGTGGGTGCGTTGGAGGGGCCTGAAGACGACATTTTGGAAGACAGGAGTAAGTTTTGCGTCGGATGATAGCAGCGCTAGGCGAAGAGGCAGGCTGATCGGAACAAGACCTTTTCGATGATAAACTTCGCGAGTGAAAGGGTGGCTGAGCACGCCAGTGCGCGTATATGCAGCTCTTGGTGAAGACGGACTTTGGGTACAGTGTACTATCTATGTGCTAGTAATATCCTGCACAAATTGGGAATATTCTGAAGTTGGCCTGCGATCAAGTGGGTTCGGATGAAATACCGCGAGCGAGCTCCGTGCTTAACTCCTGAGATCCAGGCATCCCGCAGCACGCAACCACAGCCACCCCCCTCCCCAAAAAGTCAACTTCCATGGCCCAGAGATACAAAGCCTCCAATTGCCTTCGATCCAATCCTTCGATCCTTCCTACGGCGAACACTCGTTCCCTTCCAGTCGTTCCTGCTGCGGAGACCGGGACTAATAAGCCCATGGCCCTTTGAGCCTGTTGCATTTTCTTTGTTTTCCCCTCCTTTGTCGTTGCTGTTCTCGATATGGCCCCTTAAAAATCACACATTTCTACGAAGGGTTACGGCGTTCTCCCCTACGTATATAACGCTTCTAGCACTGGAAGCTTGCCTGCTTGTATCGAAAATATGTACCGGGTTGGGAGGTGGCTCGATCGGGGGCGAGCGTCCCTCAATGGCTCGTCCCAGAGTTTGGATTCTCTGGAAGAATCTCAAAATCTAGAGACAGCCCTTCGAGCTGTAGAGTTGGTCCTCAACGATGACATCCTAGGGGCGGAGAGGGGCCTTTCAGAGGGTAATTCTTCATTCCACAAGCTTGCTAGAGGCACTCTTGGGTTCATGAAGGCCGCCTTGGGCTTTGAGCAGGAGGTCATGAAGGAGGCTTCAGAGACGCTGTCTGAAGCCGAGTCAAGTGCGTCGTCCAGTTATTACAAAGCCCAGCACGATCCACGGCCCTTCACTTCGAACATCTATGAAAAAGGCTCCGAATTTGCGTTGTGCCAGGCGGAAGCCCAGATTATGTCAGCTGTTGTCGGCGTCCTGAACGAGAGTCTGACAGAATCCATAAGGGGGTTCTACAAGCTCAGGAAGGCCTATATGACTCTTGACGGCCTGGTGCAAATGGAAATGGCATTCATGAAAAACCGAGGGGCCAGGACACAGTCGGCGTCGAGGGAACGATCCACGGAAAGTCTGCTCTCGCTTGCGTCTGAGAAGTCAGCCCAATCCGCCGCCGACCAGGCTGAAGCTGCGTCTGAGAGAAGGACGCGAGACTTGGTTCGGCCGACACATCCATCTGCATTGCGAAATGCAGCGGTTGTTGATGGGGATTCGAACATTGATCCAGACGAGGAGGAATTCCACGAAACAGAAGTGATTCATGAGTATAATCCGGTGACGGAAGGCTACACTGGACGACTAGAAGTGACGGAGGAATCGGAGGATATGACAGAGCTGGACCGCAAAATCGAGAGAATGAACCTTAGCCACCATTCCAACGAATTGCAAGCGGAAGGACTCATGAAACCACCACCTCCAACGACTCTGGGTATGCTTACGGAGGACGCTGACTCAGAAATCTTCTCAAACTCCCTCGATGCGTTCATTCATTCCGGCACAAACCTCATGTCCGGAATCTTATCTCTTCTCATCTCCATTATTCCTCCCGCATTCGGCAAACTTTTGTATATAATCGGATTCCGCGGCGATCGAAACCGAGGGATACGAATGCTGTGGCAAGCAAGCAAATTCCCCAACATTAATGGTGGCATGGCCAGTCTGGTTCTGTTTGGTTGGTATAACGGACTGGTTGGCTTTTGCGACATTATCGCGGACTCAGACCCATCCAAGCCAGATGACGCCGAGGGCTATCCTAGCGCACGACTCCAAGTCTTACTCAGTGATATGCGAAGAAGATACCCGAAAAGTCGTCTCTGGCTAGTTGAAGAATCAAGAATGGCGTCGTCAAACCGACAGCTGGACAGGGCGTTGGCGATCCTTTCAGAAACGGGAAAAAGCCAGCTCAAGCAGATTGAAGCGCTCCACATGTTCGAAAGGAGCTTGAGTGCCATGCACGCGCACCGGTACAAGTTGTGCGCTGACTCGTTCCTTGCTTGCGTCGATCTCAACGCGTGGTCACGTGGCTTGTACTTTTATATTGCGGGAGCCGCGCACCTTTGCCTCTACCGCCACGACAAATCTCTCTCCCAGGCAGACACACAAAAGCATGCGAAACTGGCCGAAGAGTACTTCAAAACTGCACCTACGAGGGTGGGGAAAAAAAAGATGCTGGGCCGACAACTCCCCTTTGACGGTTTTGTAGTTCGAAAGATTGCCAAGTGGGAAGAGCGCGCTGCGAGGTGGAATTGCAGCTTCATTGACGCTGTGGGAGTCAGCCCACTGGACGAGATGATATTTTTATGGAACGGGTACAAAAAGATGAATGAACAACAGCTGCAGGAGTCGTTGGACAATCTCGCCTGGTCGGAGACGACCCCCCATTGGGATGAAGAAGACATTGATGAGCTATCAATCCTAGCAGTGCTGAGAGCGGTCATTCTCCGTAATCTTCGACAGCATGACAAGTCCAAAGAGGAGTTGAAAACCAATTTGCTCAACAAGAGTGCACAAGATTTCAAAGGCCAGAACAGAGACGACTGGATGGCACCGACAGCACATTACGAGATGGCCGTGAATTTGTGGATGCAGAGGACCGGCTATGTTCGACTTTATGGGAGTGAATTTATCAGAGATCCGGATGAAAAGGCACCCCTCCTTGATCTTTCGCACGATTCCAAGCTGGTCCACGAGTGTAAGACGCACCTCGAAACGGCCAAAAATTGGGAGAAATATGAGCTTGACGCTCGGTTGGGACTGAAGATCACCGCGGCGCTCAGTGCCGTGAAGCAATGGGAACAGAACCATTCCAATGGTCCCAGATGAGGGACTTGGAATTGGGGAGCTGGATAGTCCGGAATATCGGTCAGCTGCGACGAGTTTGGAGTAAATTCAGATTGGACAAAACCCCGTGCAACTTTTGCTTGGTGGCTGCGGGACAGCACACATCAGAGGACATGATGTTCTGTGTCATATCGGACTGGCTAGCTATCTACTGCCGTCTAGGGAGTCTGAGGGACAGAAAGTGAGTTCCTTCCATCGGCGTTTCATAATACGCCGCAATATCCTCGAATCCAAATGCGCGATACATGTTGAGAGCAGCGACCATCCTCGGTAGAGTGTCCAGCCTCATCTCTCCATATCCGAGTCTCTCCGCCGCGGCGATGATCGATGAAGCCAATGCCTTCCCCACCCCAGTACCCCGTCCTGATGGAGTGACGTATAGGCGCTTCATCTCGCATACAGTCGCGCCCTCACCAGTGGAAGGGAGTGGACGCAACCCAACACAGCCAATGGGTTTGCCAGCCGCATTCCGTGCCAGTAGTAGTTCTCCTTCGGGCGGAGAATACTTACCCGGCATGCCCGCCATTTCTGCATCAAAGTTTTGAAAAGCGAGATCGAAACCTAAAGAACTGGCATAAGCATAGAAGAGGGAGGTAGTGTCTGCTAGGTCGGTGGTGTTTCGGACGGGGTTTATAGAAATATGGTGTCCTGTTGCGGACATGTCGATTCGACACTGGACAACGTGACTTGGCATAGAAAAAGATTAAAAAAAAGCCTTTTAGTGTGGTCTCCTTTTGTTTCTGTCAGGAAAGTGCTATAGATGCACTGGATGTTTCCTTTTTTTTTTTTTTTTTTAATAAATCGATGATACCTTCTGCTCCGATATCGACCGGTGTCTTCCATGAGGGATTTCGACTAGGTGGAGGGAGAAATTTTTGTGTTTTCACGTGTGCAATTACCAACTTGGCGCGTCTGCCCAGGGGTCACTCCCCAAAGAGGACAGGGATGGGGGCCTGTTAGGCGGGGAAGGATTTGTTTTGTTGCAAGTCTGGCCATCGTGAGCGTGAAGAATTTTTTCGTGTTGCTTTAGCGAGGGGCGTTTGCTTCTGATAGAGCCGGGGCTGATTCCTGGCCTGGTCGATGGGCTAGAGTCAGCGTCCTGAAGAGATGTCGTCAGCGACATCGGATGGTGGAAATTTGCGCGGAAGAAAAGCAGAAGGATGCACGCCCGGCGACAAGATGTCAATGGTGGAGATGTTCGCTGGCTGATGTTCCCAAGTTGAGATAGGAATGCCGCCCAAAAATGCAGCTCCAAAAGCTAAAAAGCTCAAAGCTCTATCACCAGCTTGGTTCGTTATCGAGCCAATCGCCTCTCGTCCTGCCATCTTTTCATCCCTAATTTTTGTTGTTCCGTCGACGTCAATTCGAAAACAGCGCTGGCGATGATTTGGACGCCTCCTCGGTGGTACTGTATCGATTGATATCCCTTTCCACTGGTAGCGATGAAAATTTTGCCCTGGCAGCCACATCTGCATCTGGAAAGGCCGTGGTTGCTATCACTTCCCAATTGATTGACCGATTGACCCGAGATCTAACCAAAAAAAAAAAAAAAAAAAAAAAAAAAAAGGGATTCGAAGCCCCCCATTGATGATGGCAGATTGCCAGAAGCAAATAGCTTATGTTCAACGTTCACAGTTCAGAGCTCATCCTGGGGCCTGGAACCAGCAGCCTTTTTTTGAGCTAGGATCCCTCCATTTTTCTTCTTCTCTTCTCTTGGATAAATTCTGTCGTTCTCCCGGCCCTGAGATCTCTTTCTTGCTACAACATTTCCTTCTCTACTCCCCTTCCTAGAATCACTCCGCTACCCGTATCGCCGATATGTCCAATCTCCCCTCTGAGCCCGAGTTCGAGCAGGCCTACAAAGAGCTTGTCTCTACCCTTGAAAACTCCTCTCTTTTCGAAAAGAATCCCGAGTACAGGAAAGCCCTGAAAGTCTGCTCCATTCCCGAGCGAATCATCCAATTCCGAGTGGTCTGGGAGGATGACAAGGGCGAGGTTCAGGTGAACCGGGGCTACCGAGTGCAGTTTAACTCGGCCCTGGGCCCTTACAAAGGCGGTCTTCGATTCCACCCGACGGTGAACCTGTCTGTCTTGAAGTTTTTGGGCTTTGAACAGATCTTCAAGAACGCTCTCACGGGCCTGAACATGGGTGGTGGTAAAGGTGGTGCAGACTTTGATCCTAAGGGCAAGTCGGACAATGAGATCAGGAAATTTTGCTGTGCTTTCATGAGCGAACTCGGAAAACATATTGGAGCTGATACCGACGTGCCGGGTGAGACTGACGACCGCTGCTGCCAACACCATGACTGACTTTTGTACAGCTGGCGACATTGGTGTCTCTGGTCGTGAAATTGGCTGGCTTTTTGGACAATACAAGAAGCAGACGAAACTGTGGGAGGGCGTCCTGACCGGCAAAGGAGGTGAGTGGCTTTGATATTGAGAATGCACATCGTCATTAACAAGATGCAGGCAGCTGGGGAGGCTCCCTCATTCGACCAGAGGCCACTGGCTACGGTGTTGTATACGTAAGGACAAAGAATTTCTGGAGGATTAGGACTTGAGATTCACTGACAACCGCCAGTATGTTGAGCATATGATCAAATATGCCACCGGCGGAAAAGAATCCTTTGCAGGCAAGAAAGTCACTATCTCTGGCTCTGGAAATGTCGCCCAATTCGCTGCCCTCAAAGTCATCGAACTCGGCGGTACTGTCCTCTCTCTCAGCGATAGTAAAGGTGCTATCATTGCCACAACCGATGCAGGTATTGACCCCGAGATGATTGACATCATTGCGAAGTTGAAAGTGGACCGGAAACAACTCTCTGAGGTCGCCACCACGGCCGATTTCAGCAGCAGGGTGAAGTACATTGATGGGGCTCGACCGTGGTTGCATGTCGGTCAGGTTGATGTGGCGCTGCCCTCTGCTACTCAGAACGAAGTGTCTGGTGAGGAAGCCGAAGGTCTGATCAAGGCTGGGTGCAAATTCATCGCTGAAGGCAGCAACATGGGTTGCACCCAGGCCGCAATCGATGTGTTTGAGAACCATAGAAAGGCCAACAAGGATAAGGCTGTCTGGTATGCCCCTGGTAAGGCTGCCAATGCCGGCGGTGTGGCTGTCTCCGGTCTCGAGATGGCTCAAAACTCTGCACGCATCAAGTGGACCACTGAAGAAGTCGATGCTAAGTTGAAGGACATCATGAAGAACTGCTTTGAGAATGGATTGCAGACCGCAAAGACATATGTCACCCCGGCTGAGGGTGAGTTCCCCAGTTTGGTTGCCGGTAGCAACATTGCCGGATTCAGCAAGGTTGCCGCTGCTATGAAAGATCAAGGCGATTGGTGGTAGATGATATCTAGAAGCAAGGGCCATGTCTGGATGACCTAATGATACAAATCACACATTGGTGTCTCTTTCTGCAAATTCTATCCCGCCGCTGGATGTACCGGATACATTGACATGGAATGGTGATTATCACAAATTTTGGATTCCAAAGTCGAGCAGCTCTCGTAGTGAAAATTTCGTCTAAAGTCGGCGGCAGAGTGTGGTGGAGGCTCGTCCCAAAAGTCTTGGCGGCAATAGAAGAGGTAAATCGACGCCAAGCTCACCTGGACACTCACCCAACCCGCGCCGCTTTTAACCTCCCGCTCACCTCTCCTCACCCTTAATCCCTCTCTTTCCCTTTCCACTCACACTCGATCACGCTCGACCCTGCTTTCCCTTCTCGATGGCGACCGTCGCTTCTACGCTAGACCAGGATCCCGCATCAACGGGCGAGACGACGACACGACTTTCTGTGGGTTGGATGCCCCGTCTTCAGAATCCGCTTTCCGGCGCAGGTTCCCAATTTTGGGTCTCCTCGAAATGGGTCAGAGATTCTCTCCCTTTCGACCCTCTCCCACCCTTTCTCAAAGTCCTCTCCGTGTATAAAAGCAATGGATTTTCTCTCGGCTAGAGAGCCACGAAGACCCTCGAGAAAATCCCCTCCCACCCCTCCCCCCCTTTCTTCTTTTTCACCTCAACACCTGGTCAACCTGTTTATTCTGTCGTCTATACCTCTCGAACGGCCTTAAGGCCCACGTGTACCTTTCTGCTATCTACCTACCCTCATCCAGATGGACCGCCGCACACGAAGACCACCTACGGTCGACGAGCTCGTAGCTCGAGCTGCGGCCAGAGGCTATAAAAGAGGTGCACATATAGAGAAGGACAAGGTTCGCAAACAAGGAAAACACAACTCCACGACCAAGACGAATCAAAATGCGACCCTTCATCGCTACGATCTGTGAGAAATTCCTTCCCCTTCTTCTCCTTTCTTTACCTCTCGGGGGGTAGAGGGTTTCCCCTCTCGTTAAAGTCACTAATTTCTCTCGTCTTCTAGTTGGACGCTCTACGAATTACGGGATACTGCTATTCAGCAAGGGTTGTCGCCTCCTAACGAGGAGATGGCTCGAGAGCATTGTTTGCGACCCGAGATGAAAGTACCTGATTTGGCGACCATAAAAGACTTCATCCGCTTCTACGCCGCTACGAGCGATCCTAGAATTGACGAAGAGGTGTCGACCGTCGACTCTCTCAACACCGTGGCCGAATGGTTCTTTGCGGGTTTCGCTCGAGTTACCAAAACCGAGATTAAAGAAGAGGACAGAAAAGAAGTCTATGACGTAAGTAAAAGCAAAGAAGGCCGTCCTCTCGATCTGAGGATGACTGGGGACTTACAATTAATAGTTCGTTCGCACAACGTTGGTGGAGGAAGGGTTGGCGGTCAACAAACACCGACCGAAGTACAACTTCACCGTTGAAGTGCTTACCCTAGTCCAGATCACCCTCTGGACCAAGGATGATTTGATCTTTATTCCAGAGCGGTACAGGATCCAGACAACTTTTATCACTAATGTGTATTGCTGGACCGGTGCTAGAATATCCGCCTTTTTCACAGGCGGCTTTCGATACGGGGTAAGAGTGTTCGTTTGACCACACGAAGGCGTTTGGGGCTGACATTTCCAGGATACTGAAATTGTGTTACAGCGTGCGGAAGGAAGTCGACACTGGAGAGCTACCTGGAGACTTGATCAGCGCTGGGTGAAGAATAATCGTGACCCTGATAACATCGTGGTACGTATCGATGATTTGTTCGACAGTTTCTTTCGAGGTCCTTCCTTTCTCCATCTTTACCTCTTCCACATTCTATTACCTCCCATCACTAACCTTTCGGTACCGGTTTTCTATTTTTTAGATTCGGAACCGCCCATAGAGAGCACGAAATGTTCATTTACAACGAAACTGGGTTTCTTCTGCAAATGGCGCTCGCCGATGGCGCCTTGTTTGGAATTCATTCGATTAAAGACCTCCTGAAAAAGCGGATCCCGTATGGGGAGAACGTGTTAGTCCTAAGATACAATGAATCAGCCTTGAAGAAACCTATCCTGCGTAAATGCACCAAGGAGGGCGGAGTAACGGACGAGCCTATGCCCAAGTCGGCCTTCGTAAATATCTGGAGGAGTAATTGTTCCAATGCCGGCCTCTTTGAAATACCGACGATCCATGCGATTCGACGGGGACTGGGCAAGAAAGTCGATAGTGAGTGCATCTCCTACTCTTTTTAATATATAATTCCCCCCTCTTCCCTTTAGTGAATATGGCCACCCGTTAACCGTCCTGCCATTCCCTCGCGGCCCTTAAAGGCTCTACATGATCAATGTGCGGCGTGTCATCTTCTTGCCGTTGTGGATCCTCAGCTAACGTGCGCCGCTACAGAAAACTACACCCCTGTCCAGCGCAGTCAACACCTGACACAGGCGGACCTCGGCGTCTTCGGCCAAAGTTATGTCGCAAATTGCTCGTCGGTCGATGGCCAGGCGGCTTTCTTGGGAGAGCCGAGCGATCACCGCCACATCGAATATTTCCAAAGCGTGGAAAGATTCTTGGAACCGGGCCTACCCAATGAGCTCCCCGCTCGCCGTCTGGACGAATTGAGTCGTGATCCACGCCTTTGCGAACTCCAAGAGCAATTAGCTAGCCTCGAGCGCGAGGGGACGACCGGCCCCGTCGTCAACGAGGCCAAACGCTGGTTATCAAACTACCGTCGAAAATTGTACAAAAAAGCTCTCCGCGGATATCAGCAGTGGTGGGTGCGCGATCGCAGGGATTGGAAAATCCTCACGAACGGCCAGGAACGACCGAATGATCCCAGTAATACCGACCTCGTTCAGCATTTGTCTCTCCTCATTCCTGAACGAGGCCGTCTCGCTCAGTGGATGTGTCAAGACGAGCCGCTATCCCCCGAGTCAATGTGGCAGGCCATGCGCGACTTACATTCGCTATGTACGCGTGATCTCACGGTCCTTTACCTCCCTGGCCTAAACCCGCGGGAGGGGAGATGTCCCGTAAAGTCGTGCCAAAAGTTGATGGATGAGTAAGTCACCCCTTGCCGATGGCTTCTTGTTTAACGAAAGCAAAACTAGTCTACCCAAAAACCGACGTAACCATCACATTCAGACGTGTGTTCACCACGATATGGCGAAGAAACTTCGTCAACTGCCGTCGCATATCCACTATTGCCATCTTTGCTTTAACTGGGTGGTCGGAGAAGACGAATGGGAGTCACACTGTGCCTCGCACCTCTCATCGCTAGCCACGAAAAGATGCGGAACGCTCTCATATGGCTACACACTCGTCCGTCCTGCCTATTCTCCATTTCGTCTCGGAAAGAAAGGGTTATCTGCCGCTGATCGATTACAGTCGTGGAATCGAGACTTCGACCTCTGGAAAGAGGTGAACAAGGAAATACAGAGATGCCGCTGGCCGATGATGTGTCCATATCCGCTGTGTGACGTCTCTCTTACAGATGACCGCGATCTCCGGTTTCACTTTATCGACGACCATAAATTGAGCCGAACACGACCTGGTAGATCTACAGCGAAGGACCTCCCCCCGAAAGTGACCGCTTCAATTCGTCCACACTCGCCGGACGAGAAATTAACACTCGACGAAGGTGCTGACGGAATCCGCTCATGTCGAAAGCGAAAATCACCGAGCAGTTCTGGCGCCCTCAAGTGGATGCCACCACAGTCGCTCGACTCCACGGCCGCAACTTCGGAAAAGCGATTACCCGACCGCCCCCCCAAGCGGAAAAAGCAGAAACAACAGACTCCTTCCCCTTCGACTATCTGTCCCGAAGTTATTGTCATCGATGAAGAGGTCTCTGATGATTATGCCGCCCCAAGTACCGTGGACTCCATCATGTTTTTCCCTCCAGGCCCTCTAGGCATCGAGGATGACGACAAATGTACTGATCTCAAATGTGATCCATTCCCGCGCCATTGCGTCACTTCTATCGAAACCATTCACTCGCTCGAGTCTGCAGATTGCAACGATAACTCCAATTTGGACGTTATATTCGATCAGTATCTCCGCTCCCCGTCGCTCTCGCCTCCCCCTTCGCCCCCTGGTTCATCAGAAGATGGTGCTACCAGCGAATCAAGCGGAGCAACGCTGATTCACGCTGAACGTGACCTGCCTCGTGGTGGCGCGGAGCTACACACAGAGACAGTCAAGAGTCCCGTTCTGGAAGAAGTGTCGGACGACGTGTCGAGGAGGGAGGGAGCTCGAGATGAGGAGGGACACTTGTCAGAGTCAAAATGGCCCTCGCGTTCGACTGCGGGTCCGTCAGCCTCAAATCACGCTCCGCCTTAAACTCCAGAATATAGGTCAACTAAGGAAGACCAGGAAGACGAAGAGGCAGAGAGCGAAGAAAGAGACGGAGAAGAAAGCACCTAAGCGGAAGAAGGAGAGAAAGGGAACTAAGGGCGAGAAGGAAGCGAAGAGAAAGAGGCAATGTCGGCGGTCGTAGCGAGATGGATGGGTTCGTAAGTGTGATCACGGTGCTTCTTGCTTTTGGTTTTTGGTTCGCGCCATCATCTTTTCGTATCTCATGAGAAGGCGTCGAGACTTCGATTCCTTTGATCCAATTTTAAATTGCTTGAATGATGAGCGTACAAACGATGAGCGTGCTCTATTAATGATTCTCACGCCAGAATATATAGATGGGCTCTATCCTGCACTCGTTAGAAGAGCCAGAGCACTCCTTCAACTCAAGTAGCACAAAGAAGATTGACAAGAGAGAAATAGCTAACGAGGTAGAATCTAGGTAGGAAGGCGTATAACCAGAGGGGTGGATGGATAGAGGGATTGTGCGTCAAAACTGTGGCGTTTTTAGCGTCGGCAAAGACTTTTGAAAGGCACCTTCGTAGGTGAAAGGAGACTACTATGGGTATCAAGGGAAATTTTCGTCGGTAGGGGTTGACGCGCGTGACAGTCGGTTTGCAACTCAACCTGAAAGTATGGGTGGTACAGTGATGTGCGAAATCGAAGTCCTGTTCAATGTGCATGGAACTTCTTGGAGTTGTTGAAACGTGGCAACAATGAACTGCGCTTTACGGAGGTCGGTTCCAAAAGTTTTTGCCTCCCCCCCGGTCATGTGGCGCGCGCTAAAGTCTTCGGTCCTTCTTGGCATCACTAAAACTTTCCAACTCCATCGGATCCAGCCCGTGGACGACATCTATTCCCCCTCTATCGGATCCAGTCTGTGGACGACGTCTATCCCCTCTTTATCGAATCCAGCCTGTGGACGACGTCTATTTCTCCTCTATCCGATCCAGTCTATGGGCGACGTTTATCCCCCCACGAAGAAAGGTGCGCCTTCGAGCTCGAAGGCCGCAAACAAGGCATGGATCCAGGCGTGGGATGAGCTTCCTCAACACCAGATTCAGAGGTGGATCGAGCGCATTGTACGGCATATTCGTAAAGTGATCCAACTAAAAGGAGACAATAGCTATAAGGAAGGAAGAAGAGACTCGAAGATCTCTACATAGTCCCTATAGATATCCCTATTAGTTTAAGAGTACATCTGGGAATGTATCGGGAGAGCGGCCACCCACAGCGAATCGCGTACAACAGCGACCTACTAAACACCAATTGAGCCTAGTTGTACAAGCGTTGTCCGAAAGGCACCTGGTACCTCCCCCAATTTTCCTAGGGGTTTGAGGTACCTTTCCATCCACTTTGCCGCCTTCGCGTAGATAGCGCTTTTTGGCGCCCATTGAACGACGTCGTTAAGCCCGTTGACAACGCCTTCCGCGCTCGCCCTTACACCCCGTTTTGCACTCGATTTTGGCGTTATTGCGTGTCAGACTGTCTCTGTTGTCTATGAAGCCTTTCTATCATCTATACAAATCGCGAATCGAGCAGCAATGAGGTAAAGAGCTCGCAGATTCTAAAGGTATGTCGGTGCCTCAATTTTGATGTTTTGGTACCTCGATTTGTGCGATTTTACCAGGTTATTGGGGGGATTGTTAGGTACCTTTACATCATTGGTTGCGCCTTTCCATCCACTATGCCAAATCGAGCTTAATTAAAGTCGCTGTTGTACGAGGGTCGCTATGGGTGGTCGCTCTCCCGATACATTCCCGACTCGAATCCGTGATTTAGAATTGGGTCCGGAAGGGCCCTTTCCTAAACATTAATTCTCGAACATTCTGCTTTAGCCACCTTAGCCACAGTGGCTGTCATTTCCACATCTAAAGCCACTTCTGGAGTTGCCTGATACACGTGATATCTCGTCCCCGCCATCAGTTATGACTTCGAGTTTCGGGGCTGCGCTCTCAGCCTGACTGCAGCGCCTCAATATGTTCCCCAGATCTCTATCCCGAAAGCAGTCCTAACCCAAGCGTGACTATCTTGAGCATCGTATCTCAACGAAAGCGCTTGCAGGACCTCGAAATTCTAGCTCACTCGTGGCCGCTACTTAATTGCCACCATAGGTGCGAGAAGGGAAAACGTTCTCTCTAGATTGCGACCTTAATTTCGCCATTCACTTACGTTCCATCGAGAAGCCTATACCCTTCGATCGGACTAAAGCCAAGCATAGCAAAGTGGACATGTCTGGTATCGGCGAGGCCAGCCTCGTGCTCGGCCTGATTTCGTCTATCATCGCGATATACGATGGCGCTCACGAGATCTACGACGCGGCGAGCGACGTCAACCGCCTCCCTCGGAAGTTTCAGCTCGCCGCCGAGCAGATCCCCTTGGTGCTCCATATTCTCGGTCTTGCAGAACGGAATATCAGAGCCAGCGGTGTGAGCCAGGATGCGCTGCAGAATGCGACTCCAATTCTAGAACGGTGCAAGGAGAGTGCCGCGGTGGTCAAGGAGATTTTCGACAAAACTGTACCTTCTAAAGATGCCACGAGGAGCGAGCGGTACAAGAAGGCGGTGGGGATCAAGTTGAAGAGCAACAAGGTGAAGGAGCAAATGGAAGAGGCGGTCAAGAGCATGCAACTCCTTGCGCTATATCAATTGTTTCAAGATGCTGAGGCGCTGAAGGATATCCAGGAGGCCCTCGAGCAGCTTGGCCAGGTTCCTGACGAGGAGCCGCCACCTCACTTCGTCCACTCCGGCTGCGGGCCACTGAACGCACATACGGGGACAGGCAACGTGGAAAGTTACAGCCACTTCGGACCCGGTGATATTTACAAGGTAAACAGTCAAACCATCTACAAAAACCCAGATACGAGCTCCACCTAATTCAACATACAATGGGTGGATTTCTTACGGGTGATCCGAGAAGAATAATGATGGTTGTGGAGTCTAAATGAATTATGTTTACCCTTATATTTCCGTTCTCGCGATAGGGCCGATTCATATATTTAATCACATTTTCCTATCGGCCTACTCTTCAACTTAACATAGCAATACCATCGCTAATGATCATTCTCGGTAGTGCACCACCATCATCCACCTCAGGAGAAGGTAGACTTCAGCTTTCGAAAACCTGTCGGAGTCTGCCTCGGCCAAGTGCCCTGTATCGACTCGAAACTTTTCGTCGGACGCGAATCTGAACTCGACGAGATGAAAGTCGTTCTGCAGTCAGTGGACCCGTCCTTCGGGGAGCGACGGGTAGTTCTCGGTGGAACAGGTGGCATCGGCAAGACGCAGCTGGCCATCGCCTACGCCCGGCACAACCACAACGTTTACGATTCGGTACTCTGGTTCGATGCGGCCTCGGAGATCACACTCAAGGACAGTCTCCGGTCGATGGCTCAAGTGATCTTTGATGCCCAGGAGCCCGGAGTCCTTAAGGGCGAGCAAACTCTAGCTCACGTGCATCGGTGGCTGTCAGATCCCAAGAACACTCGATGGCTACTGATATACGATAATTATGATGATCCGGGACGATTTCGTATCGAAGCCTACTACCCACCCGTTTCTCATGGAGCTATTATTGTGACCACACGTCGGCCTGATTTGGTTCACGGAAAGCCAGTCCGTGTCCAGCCGATCCTCGACGTTGAGGAAAACCTGAAGATTTTGCAAACTCGATCTGGACGGGAAGGCGTTGAAGCTGGTATGCCATTCACACCGACCGATCTGAGTCGCTAACTGATGTCACTAGACCCTCATGCGAGACGCCTGGCGGAGCGACTTGATGGTCTTCCGCTGGCTTTGGCCACCGCCGGGGCATATCTCTCTCAGAGCACATTCACGTTTGAGCGATACCTCCAGGAATATGAGTGCCGCTGGAACTTTGACGTGCGGCGACCTCAGCAACTCCAGGAGTACCAGAATCGGACACTTTACACGACCTGGGATCTATCCTATACCCGCCTCGAGATCGAGGATGCTGAAGCCGCGAAGTTCTTAAAATCACTGGCCTACTTCGACCATCAAAGCCTGTGGTATGAACTATTCCTTGGGGGACTTACAGACGACACGCCGCAGTGGCTCCAAGATATTGTCAGCAACGATGTTGATTTTGAGAGCGTGATGAGAAGGCTGACAGCTTACTGCTTTTTGGAAGTGCGAGTGCCGCTCCAGTCGTGGAGTATGCATACCTGCGTACACGACTGGACCTTAGCAGCGCTGAACACGACTATCGACGTCCAGCAGTATTGGTACGCTGTTGACTCCGTTGGTGCATCTGTCGATGAGGATGACTGGCAGATTCTAGGACACCTCAAGTACACTCGGCTAGTTGCTCATGCAAGGTGGGTCGCACAAGACCGCTTTTGTGGACATGGGCTGGGCGACAACATTGTCCTCGACCGACTTGAAAAAGTATTCACAATTGCACTTTTACTTCAACAACAAATCCAGCTGGGCGAGGCGGAGCAGATGTATCGACGGGCGCTGACTGGGTATGAGAAGACACTAGGAGCTGAGCACATATCGACCCTCGGTACAGTTAACAATCTCGGCCTTCTCTATACTAAGCAAGGTAAGCTGAGCGAGGCGGAGCAGATGTATCGACGGGCCTTAGCTGGGATGAAGAAGGTGCTGGGAGTGGACCACCTATCGACCATCAATACCGTTAATAACCTCGGTCTTCTATATGCTGAGCAGAGTAAGCTGAACGAGGCGGAGCAGATGTATCAACGGGCGTTAACTGGGTACGAGAAGGTATTTGGAGTGGACCATCTATCAACCCTGAGTACCTTTAACAATCTCGGTAATCTCTATGCTGAGCAAGGCAAGCTGAGCGAGGCGGAGCAGATGTATCGACGGGCCTTAGCTGGGCGCGAGAAGGTGTCTGGAGTGGACCACCTATCAACCCTCGATACTATTAACAATCTCGGCCTTCTCTATCGTTACCAAGGCAAGCTAGGTGAGGCGGAGCAGATGTATCAACGGGCGCTAACTGGGTACGAGAAAACACAAGAAGCCGGGCACACATCAACACTAAGTACCGTTAATAACCTCGGACTACTCTATCATGACCAGGGCAAGCTAAGCGAGGCGGAGCTGATGTATCGACGGGCGCTAGCTGGATACGAGAAGGCGCTGGGATCGAACCATACATCTACCCTTATTACCGTTAACAATCTCGGTAATCTCTATGCTGAGC